CCTGAGGTCAAGCACAACCCTGATGTGACCCTCAATGAAATCAAGTTTGACACCCCTGTTCTAGCTCAATTGACAAAATTTAGACAAGAGTCTTAATTCTCTAGGGATCTTGAACACCCTTGCTTCAGGAGTAACCCTTTCTCCCACCAAATTAAGCCAAATGAAGTTGACTTAAATTCACACTGTTATCTATCTACATTTAGCAGAATTTTCATGATCTGACAGCATAGGCAAGGAACTGAATTCAGCAAAAAGAATGCCGAGTTCACATAACACCATGCCCTGTCATTCTACAGAAGGTCTCTTAATACAGTACACAAGATTTCTTTTTAAAAACCTCTAGTGATGGAGCACCCAAAACTTCTGAAAGCAATTGTTCTCAACTAAGAAATTTCTCCTTAGTTCTAGGTTGCTTCTCTCCTTGATTAGTTTCCATCCATTGTTTCTTATCGTACCTTCTGATGCTTTGGAAAATAGTTGACCTCCTTTTCTAAAAAAAACATTGCAGCTAATATAAAATGCCCATTCAACATTGATTAAAACAATACCAGCAACCAATGGGACAGTTTTTAATTGTGGTGGATTTTTCAAGCATGACATACCTACAGTGCAAACTTCTCCTCCACCATATGTAGTCTTCTTAGACTTCACCGTTTTATATCCTACATTCCAGTGTGGAGTCCAAAGATCCCAGCAGATTCTTATTCAATAACTGAAGTAGCAGATAAGAGTCAACAGTCTCATGTTGCTAAGCAATGATTCTCAGCTTCTTTGTGGATTTTTCAGTTACTATGGAGACAACAGGGTGAGCATGCACATCATACCAAATTTTGTCTGCCTTCCTTAAACAGTAAGGACAGATTTGATCCTTCCATCAATGAGTGCTCCAGGAATGAGAAGACAGGGCTGGATCCAGTTCACAACAGATACTGATCCCCCTCATGACTGAGCAATATTTGATGGACAGCAACTTTTTGAAACTGGATCCTTTGCAAGGTTTGGACCTATCATCCTTAACTAGAACTTCTTTTGCCCAGAAATGATGAATATGGCAGTATGTGGAAATAGCAGACTTTTGCCAACCATTTCATATTTTATTGACCTAGTTGCATTCACAGTGTTGATATCACTTAGTGTCCCGGGATGAAATAAACTGAATGTTACACACACACACACAAGAACACACCTGCTGGAAACTGGATGGTGTAGATAACTTTCTAATTAACTGCATTAATGGTTAGAGGGCCCACGTTAAGTTACCTTTCAGGTCTTTACTCCGCATTCAAACAACTGCTTTTCTTTTCAGCAACTGTGCCCCAAATCAATTTGCTCATCGAGACTTCAGCCATTAAGGCATGATTTTATGACAGTCCTGCTTAGGGCTATTTTAACTGGTTTTCCTAGCTCAGTCTTACAATTAAGAGCCTATAAATGACATGCAGAATGGAACAGTAACATTCCAGCACCTGGTTAAATGGTGTTCTTCAATCTCTAGCAGTCCATCTCATTAATTTAGTGTGGTTGCAGACAGGGCTTTGGATGTGAAAGCAGAAGCATGCAAGGGTACAAATGTGGCGCTCATTTGCAGCTTCTTAAAGCAGCCACTCCTTTTCCTAGATCACATAGTTGTTTGCTTCATTCCAGAAAAAGGAATGAACTGTTGACTGCGGCTACCACTGCATTTACATATCCCCATGCCAGCCAAAGCACCATAGTCCTAACAGACAGCACTATAATTCAGTTCATCAGACTAGACAAATAAGTCTGCTCTTTTGTAGGGAAACATGAATATATATCATTCACCTCGGCAGAGTTCAATATCCTTTGACAACTGCAGGATAGGCAGAAATTAGGCAGATGCAGGTTTACTTCATTTTTTTCCCCTAGAAAACATTAGATTTCCCAGGATTATGATTAAAAGCAGCCTGAATGTTACTTGAATCTTATTCCGTATCTTACAAGATGAAAATTGTTTTCACTGTCGAAATTGAAGGATTCCGAAAGATCTCCTGTATGGAGAATTAGTGCAGGGAAAGCGCCTCAGAGGGAGACCACACCTGCGATATAAGGATATTTGCAAGAGGGACCTAAAGGCCCTGGGAATGGACATTAACAACTGGGAAATCTTGACCTCCAATCGTTCAGCTTGGAGGCTAAAGTCACAGCACGGCCTTCTCCAATCCGAAGAGACACTTGTTCGGCAGGCTGAGGCAAAGAGGCAGTCCCAGAACCAGCGAAATCTGGGGGCTGGGCAGGGGACAGAATGTATCTGCCCTCAGTGTGGAAGGGATCGCCACTCTCGAATTGGCCTTTTTAGTCACACTAGATGCTGTTTTAGGGCCTCTTTCCAGAGCACGATACCATAGTCTCTTGAGACTGAAGGATGCCATTGAATGGCGAAGGTTTTTAATTTAGGAAAGCTATAACTGCAGTTAAACATCAACTAGAACGATATAATTTTTCCAAATTTCTTCTACATAATATTTTTCCACTGCACAGAGCTGTTGCATGAAAGGATTTGTTTTAATAAAACTAAGAGGAAAAAAAGGATAAATCAAGAAATTGTAACTTGTGTTTTACGTTTGACAAGACCATCTGATTCTCTTTGCTTAGCAATGTACCAGTGTATGTTCATTTGGAGTAAATATTAAAGATTGTTCTAATGTGCATATATATATATAAAACTTTCATAACGATTGCAACCTAACTGTATGAAAGTATAACCATTTTTATACTTCTCCTCCTCCCTTCCACCAGGCATCCATAGTTACACTAGAGCAGTGATGGCAAACCTTTTCGGCACCAAGTGTCCAAAGCGGAACGCACACACGCATATGCACGCGCGCACATGCTGGAGCGCTAGAAACCGGAAGACCACCTGGTCATTCCGGTGCATTTGAAGACCAGCTGGCCGGCACACATATGTGCGCCAGAAACCTGAAGATCCGCTGGTGTTCTGGTTCCCAGCTCATCTTCGGGTTTCCGGTGCTCCGGCGTGCGCGAAGACCAGCTGGCCGGTGCGCATGCGCGTGCTGGAAACCAAGAGAGCAGCTGGTGTTGGTGCGCATGCCCACAGAGAGGGATCTGTATGCCACTTCTGGCACACGTGCCATAGGTTTGCCATCACGGCACTAGAGCATGTAAATTAAATGGATTAATATATGAGTTGTTAGCTGATTTATATGAGAGTTATGGCTGTGCTCTAAACTGAGTGAAGAATAGAATTGCAGATTAGTTCAGTTGCCCCAAGATTAATTGGTCTGTGCTGAATCTAAACCTTGCTAAGCTAAAAAGAGACAGGTAATTTATTTGTTTTGGAGCTCCTGTTGGATTAAATGACTGAGTCCACACAGCATTCTAAGCTTTATTTAGCCATAGTTACTGAACAAACCACAAGGGTTAGAGTTAACACAATATGTTAGTCTAAAACCAAATACATCCCACAAAATGGCTTTGTGCAATATGTGCTTTATGGCTTTATGTCAAAGGCATGGCGGCCAATGTAAAAGGCAGCTCAGTTCAGCTGCATAGAATACAGACTTTGAACACTGCTATCATTCAAGAAACTCTTTCAATGGACACCCCTCCCCCCCTGGAAATATTTTTTCAGGGTCAATAAATCCATATCAAACTAATGAAATCCTGTATCACAAAGATTTCTAACTAAAATAAGACACTCAAGATATATTCTAAGACTTGAGCTGGATTTCAGCCTACCCCCAGGAAGTTCCTATTTGCTGTTCTTAAAGTGGGAGGGAATGAATTACTCATCTTTCTGGATGATCTAAACATTGAATGATGCAGTATACTGCAGAGAGAGGAAATTCAGTACTTCATCTTACATAATTGAAACAATGACTAACTGCCGTCTTCTTAGGCTGACTATTGGGCATCATGAGGTAACTTACGGTATTCATTTTTTAAAAGATCCATCCCCCCCATTGAAAAAGTATAGACAGGAATGGCATTTTAAAGCCAGCTATTGGTATTTCATAAATTGAGAAGTGCACACTTCATTCTTCTTATCTGACACAGTAGATGGTATGTTTTTGAGAAAACTGATTTCAGATTATCTTGAGTATTAAAAAAAAAACCCCAAGAAGTTAACAGCAATGCTGGTCAATTAATAAGTGACTGTAGATGAAAGATAATCCAAAGTATATCAACACAGCCATTCTATCTCAGACAAACTGAGTCTCTCAGTCAACAATAAATAAAGAGAAGACTATCCTCTTCCTGTATTTTCAAGAGAATCAAGAATGGATCCTTTGAAAAAGCACCTCTGGGACAATTTATAGAGGCCCATCCATAAACCTTGCATCCTTCCTTTCAAAATGCTCCTTACAGAAAGAATCGGAACTACAGACTTTTCTCTCATAAAGTGCATTAGTTGACACAAAATGTACCACCATAAATGACCTGATCCTGATCCATCGGAGTTCATGTTCCATTATCTTGATATCAAATAATCCTTGTTTCCTTCTTTCTGTCTGAAGGAGAGGCTACAAAAAAATGGGATTTGGACTGAAGAAAGGAGATTTATCCCTTAACTAAATTAATACATACATCACAATTTAATGTATGGTAGAACCAAATTTAACCAAACCACACCATACTTCATCGAATGTAGAACCAAACTTCATTACATTCAACGACATTCTCTTGATATTTGGAAACTGATTGTTCTTACATAGCAAAACAATTGCATATTTCAATAAAGCTCAAACAGATATTTTTTTGGAAAACAGGTAATTCCCCAAATGTCAATTTAAGATGGAAATGCCTTGAACATCCTCCTAAAACGAATAAAAGAATGAAACTTTTTATGAACACTCCACTCTGCAACTTTTTGTTGCTGCACTCACACATACAATTTAACAAACATCTCAGCCCCTTCCCAATGACAAAGGCTCTTTTCTTCAAGCTGCCAGAATGCTATGAAAAAGAGGCATGTTTCCAGTACTGATATAGCTTTTTCAAGATGCAAAACAAACAAGAAAACCAATATACAACTTTTATTGAGTCCTAAACATGTTCCAGTGAAACATTTTGTAAACACTGTTTGTACATGAGATGTACTTAAAAACCCATATGAGTGTAAGAGGATCACATTAAAACAGAACGGCATTGTAGTTAGTTATCCTATTGCAGGCCGCTCCAACTTTAGAAGCTTGCTGGGATAGAACACAAATTGCTTTGGAACCATTGCAGTACATTCCTAGGTACCAGGAATACCAAAATACATAATTTGGCATGCTATGTACAAGAAGATTGTCCACCTCTTGTAAAGCTGCCTCCCAAGATATCATTAGTTATCTAGTAAGGACTAAAGATGAATTTAGAGAAAGGCCTTTTTAGACTGACTGCCCATTCCAGCCAAAATGATTGGGATTTACCCCCCCAGTTTCTGCTGTTCACTTATTTGAGGTTTTTCATCATACACAAACACATAGCAGGTTTTCACTAATTTAATACTTATTTATATTTGGTGACTTTAAGGCTGTTTAATTTTTGCATTATTCTCCTAGCTGGCTTTCTTTTTATATTAATTACATCAAAGAAGCAATTGTATGTCATGGATTTTGGGTCAGAGACCACAAGGCAGTAAAATGAGGCTCATATGGTCAATACATACTACAACTGTGTTGTATAAGCAAGGCATGAATAAGGCCTGAACAGAAATAGAAAACTGTTCAGATGTTCCCATTCACTCCACAGGAACTAACAAGAAACCATGGCAAACAGCACCAAATACCTGTAAGTGCAATCACATGTTTTTATATCCGTGTTATCTATTACTTAAATTCTATCCTGAGAATTAAATACATTATGGCCAGGTCCCAACATCCCATTGCTTCTTGGAATGTCTTTGGTACCATAACCAGCAATGCATTTTTAAAAATTAATATAAAAAGGGAAATTAAAATCATTTTCCTTTGCTCACCACAGGAAAATGAGGGATGGGGGGAGGGGAATTAAACATCAATACCTGTTAATAGCAGCAAAGTCTTCTATCAACAGCATAACCACTTTGGTACTTTGGAATTGAGAAGGCAAGGGTGTGATTGTGAACTCCTGTTGAATTTCTCCACAGGAAGAGATTTGGCTCAAGATTCCAAACGGCAAAAGGGCACCACCCAGAAAGCGTAAGGCAAAAAGATTAATAGAAAATGAGTCGTTTTATAGCTTATTTCATAATTCTGATTTTTCTCCTCCAATGCAATTACAATGCAGCTCTTTTCCTTGCCCTCGGGTTCCTTTAGGATCGTACTTTTCGGTCATCATAAACCTGGTGCGATCCAGTGAAGAAATTTCATGGCAACTTCAAAGCCAAGGAAGCATGCCTGGAAAAAAAATACATATAAGTATATGCATAAATTCACATTGTTCACATTTTTAGCAGAATATTTTATATACCGGTATATATATTTTCCTATAGAAGAGTTTCCATTAATAATGTGCTGTTTCACAGCATGAATTGCTCTACATAATTAATAGATATAATACCCACAAAAAATGGACTGTTTCAACATTAACCTTTGAAATGTCTCCAATAAAAATACTGCATGGGCATATATAATAGCTAGGCATTCAGTCAAGTGGAACATTGCTCAAAGGAGACCTGCTGGAGACGAAGGAAGGAAAACAAAATATCAGTTTGGCATTCTGTTTCTCCAAAAGCTGCTTTGGAAGGGTGGGGAATCATTCAGAATAATATGCACGGAGATGCTGAATTCTATGTAGAAAAATGAACAATAATCAGCTTTTCCAGTTGTCTGCAAGAAATTTCCACTGGATCTTATGTCTTTTCAATAGCAACTTTGCTTAATGACCAGGCTGCGGGTCCAAATTGTGGTTACTAAATGAGGACTATCTGTAATAAGCATGTGGTTCATTGATTACTGTTTTCTATTTGTTTTATTGTTTTAGTGCAGGTAGTCCTTGACTTAAACGACCCCAATTGACCCCACTTTCTGTTGTGAAGTGAGAGAATTGTTAAGTGAATTTTGCCCCATTGTACAACCTGTCTCGCCTCGGTTGTTAAGTGAATCACTGCAGTTGATAAGTTAGTAACCAGGTTGGTATCTGAATCTGGCTTCCCCACGGATTTTGCTTGTCAGAAGGACGTAAAAAGGGATCTCAACGACCCTGGGGCACAGCAATGGTCATAAATATGAACCAGTTACCAAGCATCTGAATTTTGATCACATGATCATGAGGGTGCTGGAAAAGCTGTAATTGTGAAAAACAGTCATACGTTTTTCAGTATTGTTGAATGATCACTAAATGAACTGTTGTAAGTCGAGGACTACCTATATTGCTGTACAATAGCTACAGTTGCTTAGATGATTGAAATGGCTTCTAAATTCAACTAATAGAATTGAATAAACCTATAAACCAATATAGAAGTCTAACTAAAGGTACTATACTTTTGGTGTAAAATTGGCCAGATGTATAAAAAAATAAAGTGTTTTCCAATGGATCTGTTGGGAGGCTTCACTCCTTACATTTCTGTCTTATTGAGTCTGTCATCTGTACCTCTATAACTGTCTGGTTTGGCTCTGCAACCCAACAAGACAGACGCAGATTTCAGAGGATAATTAGAACGGCAGAAAAAACAATTGCTACCAACCTGCCTTCCATTGAGGACCTGTATACTGCACGAGTCAAAAAGAGGGCTATGAAAATATATACAGATACCGTCACATCCTGGACATAAACTGTTTCAACTCCTACCCTCAAAACAACGTTATAGAGCACCGCACACCAGAACAATTAGACACAAGGACAGTTTTTTCCCAAACGCCATCACTCTGCTAAACAAATAATTCCCTCAACATTGTCAAACTATTTACTAAGTCTGCACTACTATTAATCTTCTCATCACTCCCACCACCCATCTCCTTCCACTTATGACTGTATGACTGTAATTTTGTTGCTTGTATCCTTACAATTTATATTGATATTGCTTCCTGATTGCTTATTTGTACCCTATGACTATCATTAAGTGTTGTATCTCATGATTCTTGATGAATGTATCTTTTCCTTTATGTACACTTGAGAGCGTATGCACCAAGACAAATTCCTTGTGTGTCCAGTCACACTTGACCAATAAAAAATTCTATTCTATTCTATTCTATTCTATTCTATTCTATTCTATTCTATTCTATTCTATTCTATTCTATTCTATTCTATTCCTAAGAGGAGAAGCGCCATCTCTGCCATTGCTCCTGCCCTTTGGTACAGATTACCTCTGGAGTGAGGTCAGCTCCAACCCTCCTGACTTTCCGCAAGGGTTTAAAGACCTGGTTCTGTCAGCTGGCTTGGGGCTCCAATGCGAGGCCTGCACATCGGGCCTGGTTGACAGACTAATAACGGATCCCTCTTCCCCCCCTCCCGCCGCTCATCCTACTCCTGCTCTTCTGATCTTTTAATTAGGGTTGTGTATTTTTTTATTATTATTACTATTTAGTTCCTATTGTGTATAGGTTTTGTAAAATTTTATCTTTTTAATATAGGTAATCCTCAACTTACAATTACAATTGAGCCCAAATTTCTGTCGCTAAGTGAGATATTTGTGGGGTGAATTTTGTCCCACTTTACGACCTTTCTTGCCACAACTGTTAAGCGAATCACTGCAGTGGTTAACTTAGTAACACGGCTGTAAAGCAAATCTGGCTTCCCCACTGACTTTTGTTTGTCAGAACGTCGCAAAAGGGGATTGCGTGATCCCAGGACAGTGCAACCGTCATAAATATGAATCGGTTTGCCAAGCGTCTGAATTTTGATCATGAGGATGCTGCAACGGTCATAAGTGTGAAAAACGGTCATAAGTCACTATTCTTCAGTGCCGTTGCAACTTTGAATGGTAACTAAATGAACTGTTGTAAGTCGAGGACTTACCTATATTGTAAACTGCCCAGTGTTACCTTGGAGTAAGATGGGCAATCAATAAATTTAATAAATAAATAAATGAACCGGAAGTCAAAGATAGCATTCACTTACTGCATTGGCAGGAAAGGCTCTGATCATCACAGCGCTGAATCCCTTGTACAGAGATAATACTCCCTCCTCTCGAACAAGCTCCCGCAGGACGTCTCTGAAGCCATTGGGGTACTTCCCTGGAGGAGCTATAGAAAAACGCAAAACACATTTCGTGAACCTCATCCCCCAAGAGGCTTTCATCAAATTTCCTCTTTCTTTCCCAATCCTCTTTCTTTCTATCTCTTGCCATAATGCTCCTCAATTAACAACAGTTAATTGATTCTCTGTGCTCAATGGTTCAGTCCCTGATCATCTCACAGTTGGACTATTGTAACATGCTTGACATGGGGCCACCCTTGGAGAGCAGTCGGAAACTAAAACTGGTCCACAATGCAGCACTGCGGACAATTTTAGGTGGGGGGAAGAATGGCTCCTGTAACACCACTGCTCCATGAGCTGCACTGGTTGCCCGTCTGCTTCCGGGTGCAATTCAAGGTGTCAGTGATCACCTTTAAAGCCCTTCATGCAGTGGTGGGTTTCCACCGGTTCGGCCCAGTTCAGGCGAACCAGTAGTGGCAGTGGCGGGAAGCTCCGCCAACCCGCCCAGACATCATCACAGACGCTCTGCGTATGAGTGAGGTAAGCGTGTGCACACTCAAACTGCCAATTCGGAACCAGTAACGAAGGTAAGTGGAACCCACTACTGCCTTCATGGCATGGATCTAGGTTACCTGAGGGACTGTTTCACCTCACTGGGATTGGTCCGTCCCACTCATGCCGATATAGGAGGTTCCATCAACCTGATTATTCCAACTGGCAGGGTCCAGGACAAGAGCCTTCTCTGCTGTTGCTCCTGCCCTCTGGAACATCTTGCCTCCCGACATGAGGTTGGCCCCAACCCTTCTATCCTTTCATAAAGGCCTAAAGACCTGGATCTGCCAGTTGGCCTGGGCCCCCAATGGAGGAACAGCACAATGGAGGTGGTCGATCGAGTAACTCCCTGCCTTCCCCATGGATCCCCTTTGGTTAGAATTTATTTATGTTTTCATGTAGATCTATAAACACATTTTTCTGACCGTAAGCCGCCCAGGGTTACCATTTGGTAAGTTGAGCAGCCAATAAATTTTATAAATAAATATAAATAAAATAAACTATTACTATGAGGCAGGGGTGAAATCCAGCAGGTTCTGACAGGTTCTGGAGAACCGGTAACGGAAATTTTGAGCAGTTCGGAGAACCGGTAGCTGAAATTTTGAGTAGTTTGGAGAACTGGCAAATACCACCTCTCACTGAGTGGGGTGGGAATGGAGATTTTGGAATATACTTCCCCCAGGAGTGGGGTGGAAATGGGGATTTTGCAGTATCCTTCCCCAAGCCACGCCCACAGAACCGGTAGTAAAAAAAATTGGATTTCACCACTGCTATGAGGGAAGATTTTTCACATTTCTGTAGTACCAAAACAAGGCAATAGTCCCTGCCCCTACTGCTTACAGAAGTCTTAGATTTAGCAACCTGCCTGAATTTCTAGGAAACAAGTGAGAGGGTTAACTGAGAATGCTTGAAAACTCTTTCTTCTTCAACAGCCTGATTGGTTTCAGTAATTGCTGATGGGAAAAAAAGAAAAAAAATTCCTTCCTGTGCAAAACTGTGGGAGCCAAGAGACTGGCAGAATGACAAGTTGCCTCATCTCTCTTGTCCAATCCATTTGGTAGAAATTTATTTATTTTTGTTAATGCACAAGGGATTAGAAACTTGTGTTCCGGGCAGACTGTGAAGCATGGAACTTCCCCTCCACATCAGTTAAAAAAAAAATAAAAGTAAGATACACTCTTTGTAGTAAACATTTTAATAGCCAATTATGCACATAGCCTATTTTGCAAACGTAAAAGAGGGAGAGAATAAAAACTGGCAAAAGAATATAAATGTAAAAAGGAAAGAAAGAAGAAAAGGAAAGAAAGTTTTCACTAATGTCCATCCTATGAAGCACTATTTCTCGCATGAAGAACTTTGGACACAACTGCAGGTAGTCCTTGACTTATGACCATAATGGAGCCTGCCAAATACAGTGGTAAGTCATGATGGCTCATCAAGTGAACAACCTGATTTTATGACCATTTTGGCAGCAGTTGTTAAGTGAATCCATAGTTCACTATCGGGAGTTTTTGCTAAAAACTGGAAGAAAAGGAAAGCTTTTGGCAATAATATTGTAAATTGTGGCCACATGACTGTGGGATGCTGCAAACAGCTATAAATGCATCCAAAATGCGGTCATATGACCAAGAGAGGCAGGGCCGACCATCAGAACTATGAAATTGGGCCATAAGTACCTTTTGAATGGTTCACGGGTAACTTCATAGAGTCACTAAGCAACCAGTAGTAAGTCGAGGCGTATCTGTAATAATCTTATAATTAGTCACTTGCCTGTTCAGTCAAGGCAAATACTCAGTGTTTCTCAACCTCAGCAGCTTGAAGATCTATGGACTTCAACTCCCAGAATTCCCTGCAGGCTGGCTAGGGAATTCTGGGAGTTGAAGTCCACACGTCTTCAAGCTGCCAAGTTTGAGAAACACTACTGCAACTGATTATATTGTAGCTAGCACACACACAGGGAAAGGGTCAATTAAGAAAATCTTTCTAAATTTATCGAAAAGAACTGTCAAATTGCAAAGCACATTTAGGTCACTAATCTTCAAAAGAATCCCAAAAAGTTTTAGCTCAATTTTGTTTTCACTACCGTGTTTCCCCGAAAATAAGACATGTCTGGATAATAAGCCCAATCGGGCTTTTCAGCACATGTGATAATATAAGCTAGCCCCTCAAGAAGTTTGATTGAAGTTGCGAGAAGTTTTTCTTTTACAGTGTGTTTCCCTGGACACAACGGCGAGGAAAGTGACGGAGCTTGAAAGTTAAGGCCTGCGTCCCACTTCTCACCCGCCCCACCTGCCACCCCCAAATTGCATCCCTAACGGGGATGGCTAAGCAAGGGGCAGGAGCCCCTTTCATGCCTGGCGAGTGGGGGGGGGGAGAAGAGACGGCAAGGGGAGCCACGTCTCGCTCCACACATCTTGCTTCTTTCCCCACTCCACCTGCCACCCCTTTCGATAAAGAGACGGTGGAGAAGGAAAGCAGCCAGGCTGCTGTTGCCATTGGGGTGGGGTGGGACCAGGGATGGGTTCTACTTACCTTTACTACCGGTTCGTAACAGGGCCGCGTGCAGAAGCATTTTGGTGACGTCGGGGTTGGTGGGCGGGGCCTTCCGCCGGTTTTATTACCAGTTCTGTAGAACCGGTGCGAACCGGGGGCAACCCACCACTGGGTGGGACACGTTGGGACACTCAGCCGGCATGAAGAACAGGGAAGGAAGGCGACGGCAGCGACAGGACATCCAGTCCCACGCTTGCCGCCTCCTGCACCCCCAAAATAAGACACACACACACACACCCCGATACTAAGGCCAAGCCCTTATTTGGGGAGTCAAAAGAAAATAAGATCCTGTCTTATTTTCAGGGAAACATGGTAGCTACTCAGCTATGTGACACTAGGACTAGGACTAGGACCTAAAAAAAAAAAGCAATTTTTATAGTACCGTCTTTTTCGGAGTATAAGACGCACTTTCCCCCCCTAAAAGGAGGTGAAAATTTAGGTGCTTCTTATACACCAAATGTAGCCCCGCCCACCCACTGGCCCCCACCCTTTGGCCTCTGCCTCCCAGCAGTTACCTCATTGCAGCAAGCAGCAAGAAAAAACAGCTCCTTTTAGCTTCAGCACAGCCTAATTAGCACAAGTTGTTTTGCCCGGCCTCTGCTGCTTGTTGCAAGGAGGTAAATTGCTGGAGCAGATTTTTTTTTTTCTTGTGCTAATCAAGCTATGCTGAAAACGAAAATGAAAGTAAAGCAGGCTGTTTGCTGTTTGCTGCAACGAGGCAAAATTGCCGGGAGGCAGAGGCAGAGGCAGATTTCTTTTTCTTGTTTTCCTCACCAAAAAAAGTAGGTGCGTCTTATAGTCCGGTGCATTTTATACTCCGAAAAATACGGTACTTTATAGAACTTCCAAATTCTTTGCCTGGAGGCAACTATATTTACTATAGCTGAGCAAAGTGTGATTTTCAATCTTTAACCCAACTGCAAGAACCAGCTTCATATCTGCTATGGAAAATGATTAATGTATGATGAAAGATGGGATTACAGATCGTCTTCCTTTAGTGACCATAGCTGGGGCCACAATTGGTAAGTGAAATGGTTGCTAAGTGAAACTAGAACTGTGCTCATGATTTTACTGCGGCTTTCCTTTGCTTTACAGATCTGTAAATGTCCTAAAACGCAAAGACTGGTCATAAAGTTATGTTTATCACTTATTGTAACAGCAATCGAGTGCCAACTGAGACTATCCCTAACAAGGACTGTACTGTACTCTCCTTCTACTCCAATTTCCATGGTGACGAGAATTATACACATTAAAGATAGCAATTAGAAGAGAGGCGGGAATGGAGCAGAACAATGAGAGTGTGTTCTGCACCATTAGCCTTAGTCAACCCACCTAAGAAAATGCAAATACCACATCTAACACCAGTTTAAACCAGAGACTGTCATGGACTATTGCCCAGGAATGATTTTCAGAAGAGTTCCAGGAAATATTATAAGCAAATGTGTGCTAAAAGATCTAATCTTCAAATGTGCATTCTCATGGGATTACAATCAGATGACAACGCAGTTCAGAGAATGGAGAGGGAAGAAGGAGAGTTGTTAATATTAACCCTCCATGGTCCTCTAATAAAAGAGAATATTTGTAGCTCAGGGTTGAAATAAGAGGTTTTTGGTGCTCTTTGCTTGTTTTCTTGCAAATGTCAGAGGGCACCTAGGACACCTCAATACAGCAGAACCTCTGGTCATAACTTTGGTCGTTCCATAACTTTGGTCGCAACCTGATATGGCCGTGATTTAAACCTAATTTTGGAAATTTGGCGCTTACAAAAAAAATGGCGCGAAAGGAAATCGGCCGCAAAAAAAAAAAAAAAAAAAAGTGAATTTTTTGGTCAGAACCAGATTTGGTCGTGGTCAGAAGCGTTTGTGCCCAGAGGTTCTACTGTATGTGTATATATGTATGTGTGTGTGTGTGTGTGTGTATATATATGTATGTATGTATGTATGTATGTATGTATGTATGTATGTATATGTTTTCTTTTCTTTTCGTGGGCCTTTATGTGTATTTCTCTTTAGCCAGGTTCTTCCTATGTAAACCAAGTTTTTTAATCAGCCCTAGTTCAGCCTTAGTCTCCCAATGGGCAGCAGGGAGCTTGCTGGCTGCCTGAAAAAAGCCTAGAAACTAGTGGATTGTGATTTCACTGAACTAGGACTGCATAAAAATCTTGGTTTACATAGGAAGAACCTGGCTAAAGAGAAATACATACATACATACATACATACATACATACATACATACATACATAATGTTTTCGTAGACACCAGCCTGAAGATGACGAGTGGGACCTCGTCGAAACGTCGCCAAGATACTCTCAATCTTACACGGGAAAAGACCCGAATACACCAAAACTTGTGTGTGTGTGTGTGTGTGTATAAAATAGCAGGCAAAGAAGATGTTTGAACAACATTGTTCTATTTCAATTATTGTTTTGCCTGATTTAATAGGAAAGGATTAAGTATTTGGAGTAAGAACTGCTCTGAACAGCTTTGACAACTAGTCCTCATTTAATGACCACAGTTGGGGCTGGCAACTTGGTCATTAAGCAGAGAAGTTGCTAAGTGAAACCACAACTGTACTTGCCATCTTACTTCAGCTTCCCTTTGCATTACAGACGTGCAAAGGTCATAAATGCAAGGATTCATCATCACTGTGGTAGCAATAGCTTTTAGACTTACATACCACTTCACAGTACTTTACAGCCCTCTCTAAGCGGTTTACAGAGTCAGTCTATTGCCCCCAACAATCTGGGTCCTCATTTTATCAACCTCGGAAGGATGGAAGGCTGAGTCAACCTTGAGCTGGTGAGATTCGAACTGCCAAATTTCAGGCAGCCAGCAGTCAGTAGAAGTAACCTGCAGTACTGCACTCTAACCACTGCGCCACCATGGCTATTATGCTGGTAACTGAGAATGGTTGCTAAACAAGGTGATTTGCTATATGAGGACTATTTGCATAAAAACCTATTGAAAACTTTTCTCCACAAATCCTACGGTACTTTTAAATCTGCCTTCTATCGTCTTTAGGAGAGCCTCAGTGAACTCACCTGTCTGGAATCTTGACTTCAGCACATCAGGAGGGATTCCCACAGCCCAGTTGAAGATCCCTGCCATGCCTCCAGCAAAGAGGATTCTGGGTACACTGAGGTCACTGACACTGTGGAAAGCAGGAGATGGACAGAAAAAGGGCAAGCATGAATTCATCAAAATGGCTACTAAAAAGAAATAGAAGAAAAGAAAGATTGGGTGCATCTCATTCAGACTCACTAGGGGGGCGGCGGCAAAGGCAAGCACTTCAGTGGTGGGTTTCAAATTTTTTTACTACCGGTTCTGTGGGTGTGGCTTGGTGGGCGTGGCATGGCTTGGTGGGCGTGGCATGGTGGGCGTGGCAGGGAAGGATACTGTAAAATCTCCATTCCCACCCCAATCCAGGGGAAGGTTACAGCAAAATCCCCATTTCCTCCCGATCAGCTGGGACTCGGGAGGCAGAGAATAGATGGGGGCGGGGCCAGTCAGAATTTTTACTACGGGTTCTCCAAACTACTCAAAATTCCCGCTACCGGTTCTCCAGAACTGGTCAGAACCTGCTAAAACCCACCTCTGAAGCACTTTTTTCAGGTGAAGTCAGCAGTTTTACTTCAAAATGGGCTGTACAGGTAGTCCTCGAATTACAACAGTTTGTTTAGTGACCGTTAGAAGTAACCATGGCACTGAAAAAAGTGACCTCTGACCATTTTTCACACTTATGATCGTTACAGTATCCCCATGGTCACATGATCAAAATTCGGATGCTTGGCAACTGGCATGCATTTATGACGGTTACAATGTCCCGGGGTGATATGATCAACTTTTGCGACCTTCTGACAAGCAAAGTCAATGGGGTAGCCAGGTTTACTTAACAACCGTGTTACTAATGTAACAACTGCAGTGATTCACTTAACAGCAGTAGCAAGAAAAGTCATAAAATGGGGCAAAACTCATTAACAGCTGTCATGCTTAGTAAGAGAAATTTTGCCGTAAGTAGAGGAATACCTGTCTTTGCCCAGCAGAAGGCTACTTCTTTGCCAGGATCTCTGTAGAAAAAGTTACTGCTACAACCACTGGCACATCAAGGTTAATTTATAGTACAATTGACTTATGTTGTCAGAAGTAGCCAATCTAACTCAAATTGCTACAGATTCAGCAAGAAGCCAGGCTGATACTCTTCAAACTGTACTGTGCTGAAAGAAGAAAATGTCCTTTTCCAATTTGTTGTTAGAATAAAAGCTTCTAACCATATGTAGATTCATATAATCCGTGAGTTAAAATGTTTGACATGAAAGTATTGAATTATAGCTAACAGTGGCTTATTCAACAAATTATCGTATTTTTTGGACTATAAGACGCTCCGGACTATAAGACACACATAAGCTTTAGAGGAGGAAAGCAAAAAAAATAAAATAAAAAATCTGCCTCTGCCTCCGCGACCCGTTAACCACCGCCACGGCCCATTTGCCACGGCCCATCGCTGCCCCATTTGCTGTGGCCCATTCGCTGCCATTCGCTGCGAACAGGCTGTGGCGATAGGCGGTGAGCCCCACTGCCTAGAACAGCTGATCGGCTGCACCAACCACCACCACCCCTGCCACAATATTCACTCTATAAGACGCACAGACATTTCCACCCAATGGCGGGGGATGTATCTTATAGTCTGAAAAATATGGTATATTTAATCAAGCAATGGCTTATCACAATATAGAAATCCAGTAATTCTGTCTTTGTACCATATATGCTACATTATGACTGATGAATCCATTAGTCTTCCTTATAAGATGCACTGGCTTGATCCCTAAAAACATATTTTATCAATGCCAAATTATATTATTCACTATTTATGTCTTTAAATTTATATGCCACCCATCTCAGTGTCAAGCGACTCAAAGCAATAATCCTTTGTTCATCTCATTGAACTATTATTATGAAGCTCTTACTTCAGAATAAAAATAATTTCTTAGCTGTTCTTGCGAGAAATCCAGCATTCTCCTTACCTCTGTCCCTGAGGTGTCAAAATACTTTTCAGCCATTCATAGGTCATGAAGTACATCCCACTGGCTGGAACATCTGGTCCAATAAACAGAGCCAACTTAGAAAAATGAGAGACACAACTGCCCACATTGGCAAGGCCAAAAAGGATAAAACCTGCCAGCTTTCTGTAAGCAGAATTATAATAATGGCATAAACAATGCACTCCACTTGCTGCTTTAGACCTTGATTTGATTGACAGAGAAAACAAGATTTGAAGGACCGTCTCTTTCCAGTTACATCTACCCTATTAGGGAAGAATGGAGTGGGGTGGAGAAAAAGGGCCTTCTCTGTGATGGCTCCCTCCCTATGGAATATCATCCTCCTACCCCAGCAGATAAGATTGACTCTCAACCTGAACCTGAAAATAAGACCTATCCCAAAAATAATAAGCCCTAGCATGATTTGTACGTGTGCGCCTAATGTAAACCCTGCCCCCAAAATAAGCCCTACTTTTTTTTAAAAAAAAAAATTTGATTTATATGCCGCCCTTCTCCGGAGACTCAGGGCGGCTTACAATGCGTTAAGCAATAGCCTTCATACTTTTGTATATTTATACAAAGTCAGCTTATTGCCCCCACAAACTGGGTCCTCATTTAACCTACCTTAGAAAGGATGGAAGGCTGAGTCAACCTTGAGGCTGGTAAGATTCGAACCTGCAGAAATTGCAGGCAGCTGTGTTAATAATAGGGTGCATTAAACCACTGTACTACCAAGGCTCCTTAAGAGCCTGCATAGCCAGCTGACCGTCCATTCTGCCTGGTTGTTTGCAGTGCCACCGACATGAGGTGAGGAGAGGCAGGTGGATGGCGGAGCCACCCCATGTGCCCCGCTCTGGCTTACCTCAAGGCCCCCAGTCAGGCCATCCACACCCCGAGAATTGTCTCATGGCGGCAGCACCAGCAGCCATGTCCAGCAGGAGCCCATGTGACTGCCAGCCCACTTCTTCTGCTTGCTCGCGGCCACAACGGAGCAGGAGGTTGAGCAGCGCGCTGCTTCCACGGCCACAAGGCAAGGCAGGTGTTGGGGTATGGATGGCCTAGCTGTGAAGGCCCTGAGGTAAGCCAGGTTGCAGCCCCAATTGCAGCTGCAAGCAAGCAGAAAAAGTGGACCTCGCTTACATGGAAGAAAAAAATAAGACATCTCTCGAAAATAACCCCTAGCGCTTATTTTGGAGCCCCCAAAAATATAAAACCGAGTCTTATTTTCAGGAAACATGAATACTTTTCCAGAAGGCCCTGAAGACGTGGTTCTGTCAGCAGGCATGGGAACCCCAAACTGATACAGATACGATCATGTGGCTGGTTTGTGTTTGTTGCCGCTATAGCAGGGGAAAGGTTAGGAATTTTATACTACGGATTTTTAATGTTGTAAGCCACCCAGAGTCATCGTGTGTAAGTTGAACAATCATATAATTTTTTTCATACTGTAAATAAACATTATGTTAAGATATAGAAGCACTGTTCACACAACAAAAATGTTTCTGTCATTCCCTCTCTCAGTTAGCTGGCTGGACATAAGGTTAGTCACATTGGGCTCTTTAATGTACTGACTACAGTGGTGGGTTGCCCTCCGTTCGCACCGGTTCTATAGATCCGGTAATAAAACCGGCGGGAGGCTCCGCCCATTGACCCTGACATCATCAAAATGTTTCTGTGCATGCGCAGAAGAGTGCACACATGCTGGCCCTGTTGCGAACCAGTAGTAAAGGTAAGTAGAACCCACCCCTGACTGACTATCATCTTCGTCCTTGTAGCTAGTGAAAAGGAGGCCTCAGTTTCTTTTGGGGGAGAGTGAGCAATTTTTTAAAGAAAGAAAATACAGGTAGTCCTTACTTATGACCACAACTGAGGCCAAAATTTCTGTTGCTAAGCAAGGCAGTTGTTAAGTGAGTTTTGCTCCATTTCACAACCTTTTTTTGCCACAGTTGTTAAAGCAAGGGACTGCAGTTGGTAAGTGAATCATGCAGTCATTCAGCGAATCTGGCTTCCTCCATTGACTTTGCTTGTCAGAAGCCAGCTGGGAAGGTTACAAATTGTGATCACATGACCCCGGGACAGTGCAACTGTCATAAATACATGCCAGTTGCCAAGCACCCAAATTTTGATCATGTGACCATGGTTGTAAGTATGAAAACTGGTCATGGGTCATGTGTTTTCAGCGCCGCTGTCACTTCAAACAATCACTAAATGAATGGTTGAAAATCGAGGACTAGCTGTACAACTGTGGTGGCATGGTCACAAGCAACCTCCCATGGACAGGTCTGAAGGACCCTACCTGCCTCCCATTTTTGTTCATTTTTTACCCTTCTCCTCACGTGTCTACAGTTTGTCAGAATGGCATTAGAAAAGGGGCCTTAGAAATGTGGGATTGGGTCCGTGGTGGGTTTCAAACATTTTTACTACCGGTTCTGTGGGCGTGGCTTGGTGGGCATGGCTTGGTGGGCATGGCAGGGGAAGGATATTGTAAAATCTCCATTCCCTCCGCACTCCAGGGGAAGGTTACTGCAAAATCCCCATTTCCTCCCGATCAGCTGGGACTTGGGAGGCAGAAAATAGATGGGGGCGGGGCCAGTCAAAATTTTTACTACTGGTTCTCCAAACTACTCAAAATTTCTGCTACCGGTTCTCCAGAACTGGTCAGAATCTGCTGAAACCCACCTCTGGATTGGGTGTATTTGGGGCTAAATCAAATTCCTGCAGAGTTCACTGGATGTATGAATTCAGATCTTCGATTCAAAATCTGATTTAATTCAGCCAGCTAACTCTGCAGGGATTAGACTTGCATGATAGGCTAACCGCCGCTCTATAATTATCTAGTCAAGCGTGCTACATAAACAGGGTTTAAAAAGAAACATTGGGAGGGGGTGCTTCTATACTTCAATTATTTTAAGAACAATTCTCCACAAACTACCTCTCATGAGTGTGAGCACTGTTCCTTTGTACACGCCTCGAATGCCAGCTTCACGATACAGTTGTTTGGCACAGTCCAAGGGGCCAGCATATTTTTTTTCACCAGAGGCTGCTTGGATCTAAATGGTTAAAAAAAAATAATAATGGCCTCATCAATTATAACCTACTATTCCTTAAATAATTCAGTCTTCCTAAATCTAAGGTACTGTTGAAATGAGTCTGTGCATCTAAACTTTTCCTAAGAAATCCCCATGAGATGAGATTCAATCAGGAGTTTATTGATTATGCACCAAAACAGTAAAAGAATGAAAAAAACAAATAAATCCATAACTGCCATCTCTCCCAGAAAGTTTTTCTAGCTGTTTAAGCACCCACAGCAGGCTTCTAATAGCTCTACCCATTCAAGAAGCCCCAGTAGACACTTTTGTGAAGAACGTTGTCCATAATTGTAACTGGGACTTTGTCTTCGAAAACTTTCAAAATATATCTGAAAATAAAGGGATAGGACAGTGATGGCTAACCTTTTCCGGACCAAGTGGCCAAAGCATGCACCAGTGGTGAAATGTAAAATTTGTTACTACCAGTTCTGTGGGCGTGGTTTGGTGTGTGGGGGGTAATATGACTGAGTGGGCATGGCCAACTTTTTTTTTTTTTTTTACTTTTAAAACCATTTTTCTACAACCTCTTCGGCTGAAGAGGTTGTAAAAAAAATGCTTTTAAAGCCTCTAACGATCCCAGCTGACTTGCCTGATCTGCAGAGGCTTTCTTTTTTTTTTTTTTTTTAAGACTCTGATGATCCCAGCTGAGCTGCGTGATCATCAGAGACTTTTTTTTTACTTTTAAAAGCATTTTTTCAGCCAAAGAGGTTGTAGAAAAAAATGCTTTTAAAAATAAAAAAAAAAGCCTCTGATGATTGCGTGGCTCAGATGGGCAATGGGCGGGGGGAACAGGGATTTTTGCTACCAGTTCTCCGAACCACCCATCTCCATCGCTACCGGATCGGGTGATTTGGTCCAAACCGGGAGCATTTTACCCCTGGCATACACGTGTGTGCCTAAACACCCAAAATACAATGCACACATGGGCCCCACATATGTGCCCCACACCGTGCACATGTGCATGTGCCCCCGCACATGCCCCGCCCATGCGCTGACAGCCCCCTGCATGCGCCCCACCTTCCGCGCATGCGCAGGAGAGACCCAATGACCAGCTGGCCGGTGGGAGGCCCGCGTGCATGTGCGGCAGAACTGAACTGGGGCGACAGCTCACATGCCCACATGGGCCCTGCGTGCCACCTGTGGCACGCGTGCCATAGGTTCGCCATCACGGAGATAGGATGTTAAAAGGACAAGTAGCAGAGTAACAAGGAGTTGTGACCGACAAAACTTTTAGATAACAGAAGTTTGGGCTACTTTAGAGAAGAATTTTTAAATGAAATGGAACAACTGTAGTCCGAGCTACTTATTTTTCTTCATCGTAGACAAATTTCTTTTTTTTTAAATTCCCACAGAAAAGGTTTTGAAGGAAGAGAGCAAGAGAAGAGACTCTTCTGGTCCATTGAATTGGCCCTGCCTTGACTTTAAGGAACAAATCAGTTTTAAAAACACAAAGACAATATAACAGCTACATATAAAATTTCACTGATACGTTAACAGGGTTCACACATCTTGCCAAGCCATGGTTTGCTTAACCTTAAATTGCTGAATAAAGTGCAGTTAGCTGGATTCCCACAACACATTAAATGAATATTTTTAAAAGATTACCGGTAGTCCTCGACTTATGACCAGTTGCTTAGTGACTACTCAAAGTTAAAACAACCCTCCCCCCCAAAGCTCCTTATGACCCACTTGCAACGTCCAGGCTGTTCAATGGTCACATGAACACATTTTGGGCACTCAGCAACTAGTTTGCACTTATGGCTGTTTGCAGTGCCCTGCAGTCACGTGATCGTGATTTATGACTTTTTCCCAGAAAGTAGCATTTGTGTCTGGTTTCTGGGGAAAAAACACTTCATAGTGAACAATGGGTTCGCTTAGCAACTGCTGCAAACTGAGAGCCAGTTTGGTCTAGTGCAGGGGTCCCCAACGTTTTGGACCTCAGGGACCACTAAATTCATAATTTATTTATTTTTTAATTTGATTTATATGCTGCCCTTCTCCGGAGACTCAGGGAGGCTTACAATGCGTTAAGCAATAGCCTTCATACTTTTGTATATTTATACAAAGTCATCTTATTGCCCCCACAAACTGGGTCCTCAATTTACCTACCTTAGAAAGGATGGAAGGCTGAGTCAACCTTGAGCCTGGGGAGATTCAAACTAGCAGTAATTGCAGACAGCTGAATGATAATAACAGGCTATTAGTCTGCTGCGCTACCAGGCTCTTTTAAATAATTTTAAATCCCGCGGACCACTAGTATGAGCTGCCTAATGACTGGCTGGGTGGGCATGGCTAGGTGATCATATGACTGGGTGGGCATGGCCAACTTGATGTCACTCGCATCAAGGGGTGCCTCTTTGGCCTCTACTCACCCACCCAGCCTAGGCTCCTTAGGGGCCCAATAGGAAGCAGTTGTTGGAGCTAAGCAGTCACCATGAGAAAGAGTTGGCAAAACAGCTCAGTTCAAATTGGATCTCACCAAGGAGGCTCAGAAGAAGCACCTCACTGAGGACTATGAGCATGAGGGAAGATCTGCGGGAGTGCAAGGCCAGGTACTGGCACCTGGAGGCCAGCAGGCTGAGATGATCAGCCAGTTCCAGGCCATGATGCAGTCCCACTGGAACAAGGCCCTCTGGCTCCTTGCCACCAGTGGGACTTCCCTCCAGCCTTTGCCCAAAGCCCCGCACCAGGAGGCTGAAGCAGAATTTCTGCCCTCCCCCAACCCACACAAAAAGACCCCGAAGGGGGAGACTCTCTGTAGCAACAGAAGCATTCATTGCACATATCCAGCCCAGGGGCCGTAGTTTGAGGACCCCTGGGCTGGATATAAATATAAATATAATTTGCAATATAAAAAATGCAAATAATCTTTCTGCAGACCACCATAATTTTCTCACGGACCACCAACGGTCCACGGACCACCAGTTGGTGACTGCTGGTCTAGTGGTTAAGGCACCAGACTAGAAAGCAAGAGACTGTGAGTTCAGGTTCAGCTTTAGCCATGAAAGCCAGGTGGGTGACTTTGGGCCAGTCGCTCTCTTTCAGCCCAACTCATTTCCCAGGATGGTTGTTGTGGGGAAAATAGGAGGAGGAAAATGTGTTGGATATGTTCGCTGCCTTGAGTTATTTGTGAAAATAAAGGCAGGATATAAATAAATAAATGAAATGAATGCATTTGCTTTACAACTGTCCTGCTCACTTTACAACCAAGATGTTTGCTTAATGACAGTTACAAAAAATTGGGGCTGGTCATTGGAGCCACTTTATGACCATCATGGAGGTAATTGTGAGGCTCAATTACAGTCATAACGTGAGGACTACCTATTTTTTGACATAGTATGAACTCAGCCACTATATAAATCCAACTATTATGTATAAGCCCCAGCAAGTAGCATGTTTGGGTGAAGTTGTCTAAACTGAAAAGCTATGGTCAGGGCTGGTTTGTACTTGCATGGGACACTTCCCAGGAATACTAGGACTTAAGTTAGACTAGACCCTTGAAAGACCTACCAGAAGAAGGGAGTGATCAATCAGGTTTATATTATTGCCAGAAAAACTGCACTGGCTTGTCCATGAAGTCACCAGAATTGAGTGTGTTTCAAAGAAGATCCCATCTACTAATATAATGTGCATAGATATGCCAGGATTTTCAATCTTAATGGGAGAATGTTGCTCAGGACAGAATTAATTAAATCTCTAACCAGACAAGAAGATTTCCAACTTTGCCTATCTTGCTTCTCTAATTACTTCTGGGCTCTGGTTTTAGCCATCAGAGGAATCTAATATCACAATGAAACAGTGCTAAGGAAATCGGAATACTGATACTTATAGGAGACAAGACGTGTTCTGAAATTTGAGCATTTTTATCTCCCATACACATAATACTTTAATCTAAATGTTTGCATATATTCTCTCTCTCTCTCTCTCTCTCTCTCTCTCTCTCTCTCTCTCTCTCTCTCTCTCTCTCTCTCTCTCTCTCTCTCTCTACATACATACATACATGCATACATACATACATACATACATACATACATATCTACACTGACATGGGCATGTCAAAAATTTAGAAAATCATGTTGTCAACAAGATTATGATTATGAATATGCTCACTTATCCTAAAGAAAGATAAATAATGTGGATAGCAAGATATTGTTCAGTTGTGGGATGGAGCATGAAAACTTCATCTCTTACCTGTAGTAGGCACTTGATCCTTTCTCCTGGTGCCATAATTGCAGTGGTAAACACCCCTGATAACATTCCTGCTGCAAACAGCTGAGGATATCTGTATAGTGGACAATACAATGTGGGATATAGATTAAACATAAGAAATGCATTAGGCTATATTAGATACAGTTTAAGAATAATTTGTCCTTCCAATGAGTTCCTTTTCTAGAAATAAAAAAACCCCAACCAACAATTACATAACAAATGAATATAAAGATAGTCCAATCTTAGAGGCGAAAGTTCCAATTACAGCATGTGTCATGAAAACCAATGTTCTCAACAATGTTTGATTATGCCATTAATTTTTTTCCATATATATCCCAACAGATGGCTTAGAAAGAGCCAAGGAGAGGTATTCAGAGCTCTAATTTCCTCCAGCTGGTCAAATTCAGCCAAAACAGACATGGGTCAAGTAAATATTATGGCTCAAGATTTGTGCCTCAAGTATCAATATGACATATCCAGGCAAATGCAGCCAACAAGGCAAAATCATTTGCAAAATAAATCCAATGTTTGGTATAAAAACAATATTTTTTTTAAAAAACTATGTTTTCTAAATAAAAGTAAAGACTGGAAAGGTTCATCCATTAGTGTTGGATCTTTAATTAAAGAGAATGATGTTATTGTTTATACATTGCACTATAGTTTATAAAACTGAGGAAAGAAAGAAGAAAATAGAATGGTTCATGTACCACTTTAATTCATACTGCTGAATATATATGCATTCATATGTTGCGTGACTCAAGCCACAATGACTTACAAACTATCATTTATGTAATCTATGAACTGTCAAGTATTGTTTATTTTAGAAATAGTGGCTTGGCATTATGATTCAATCCAGCATCAAACCCTCCTAACATTGCCTGCCTATCTAGAAGCCATGGTGGCACAGTGATTAGAATGCAGTATTGCAGGCTGACTCTGCCCATTGCCAACAGTTCAATTCTGACCAGTTCAAGATTGACTCAGCTTTCCATCCCTCCAAAGTCGGTAAAATGAGGATTCAGATTGTTGGGGGAATATGCTGACTCTGTAAACCACTTAGAAAGGGCTGTAAAGCACTATGAAGAAGTATATACTGTAAGTCTAAGTGTTGCTATTGCTGTCCGTCCTGTCCTGTCCTGTCCTGTCCTGGTCAGTCGGTCGGTCTGTCTGTCTACCATATTTTTCAGACTATAAGATGTACCAGAGTATAAGACGCACCTTAGCTTTTGGGGAGGAAAATAAGAAGAAAGCTGATTGGGGGTGGATCAGCATCCCGGAATACCCCCAAACACCCAGAGGTGACCTTTCATTACAGGTTTGTTGGTTGTGAGCTCTGCACCTTGCTTTTTTCCAGCCTCTCAAATGGAGGTTTCAGAGACTTTGTTCAGCCTCTGAAACCTCTGTTTTCAGAGGCTGGCGGGGCTACATTCGGACTATAAGACGCACCCAGATTTTCGCCCTCTTTTGGGGGGGTAAAAAGGTGCATTTTATAATCCAAAAAATACAGTATCTATCTCTATCTATCTATCTATCTATCTATCTATCTATCTATCTATCTATCATCTATCTATCTATCTAATCTATCTAGTTTACCGCTAGTAGACTAGAGAGGGAGAAAGATATAGATATATCAAGTGGTTGGAGAGAAAGAAGCAAATGAGATATGTCATTAAAAATAGTCCTCAAATTACAACCATAAGCCCATCAGTCATAACTTGTGACAATCATGAATTGAGTCAACCATGTGACCGACCCGATTTCATTGCCTTTTTTGTGGCAGTCATTATGTGAATGCTGCTGTCATTAAGCCAACCAATGATTTGGTATGAGTCAGGTACTGCTGAAAACTAGAAGGCTTGTTTTCAGCAAAGCCATTGTAAAATGCCGTCATGTGGCCGCAGGATGCTGCAAATAGCCATAAATGTGGGCCAGTTGTCAAGGGCCCAAAGTACAGCCACATCACTGTAATGGGGAGGGGGGCATCAGAATGTCGAATCTGAGTTATAAGGGAGGTCTGTCGTAACTTCAAATAGTTGCTAAGCAACTGGCCCTAGGTTAAGGAACTACCTGAATATGAACTATAATACACTGACGATTGGATAGGAGAACTGTCTATCTTAAGCATGGCAACACAAGGGCCCTCACCCCGGTTTATATTCTAGAATGATGTAAGCAGTGGAGGGATTTGAGGAGTGAAGGCGTGAAAATCTTATCTGACAGATACCTAGGATTAAGAATATATTTACTGCCAGAGTAGGTAAGTACTGATTGACTATAGATACCCTGTAGAGTCAAGCGATGGTATTTTTAAAATTATTTAAAGCTACTTAATAAAAGTCACTTTGCTTTTTTTCTTTAAATCTTAACCAAATCACTGTGCTTTACTTTGAGTTTCCCACACAGAACAGGATTCAGTAGCAAGACAGATAGAACCTATAGAGATCTCCAACAAGATTCAGTTTATTTTTAAGCAACAGAAATATGGTCACAATCAAGACTTATGTCAAATACAAATAAAAAAAAATACCTTAGTGTTGCAAATCCTAATCTGTGGGATTTAGGCAGTGAATCTGGCTAAATACATGTAACAGTATCTGAAAGCTTCAAAGTAATAATCTTGTAATCTCAATGTTTTATATGCTTCGTGAATATGCTGATGAATACATGAGTATGAAAACTGAAACACCATATGCTGCATCCTGCAAATATTGTTCCAGAAACGAATACAAATATGAATGTGCTTTATTTTCTAAAGCCTCTGTAGGCAATCTACTAGAAGTGAAGGCACCTCTGAAATTTGCAGATAACATGAGGAGTGCATCAACATGTCTACCATGAAGTGCCTGGTAAATTATTAAAAAATATGTGGTATTGTGTTGATTGAAGGATGAGTTAGCCTCCAGACTGCTGCCTATGGTCCCTATAGGAATTTTACAGTATTGAAAGATATTGCTGCAAATAAATAAGACGGTAGAAGTTGATGCTTTGCAATAAGTCAAAGCATCCCAATATTATGGGAAAAATTAAGTGAGGGTAGTGAAACCTGGTGGACAGCAAGGGAAGTATCTGGAAACACCCTGATGCCTACGGACAACATCTTGCTACTCCTGAGCTAGAGTTCTTAAATCTAAATGGGAGATAAACAAAATTCTTTTATCTCTTTGTTTTTATAAACTTTTATAAACTTCCTTAATCAAACTTCAGCTACACCAAAAATGCCATCTCACAGAGAACAGCATGGCTTCTACAACCATATTCATTCAGAATTCAGTCCTACTCATTTTAGGATGCAGAATTGTTGGGGGCAATATGCTGATTCTGTAAACTGCTTAGAGAGGGCTGTAAAGCACTATGAAGTGGTATGTAAGTCTAAGTGCTATTGCTATTATCAGTCCTTTTTAATTGTCTAAAAACTACAGCCAGGTAACCAGGATTCTACATGTTTATGCAGAAGTACCTCTTTTTAAAAAAAATCTTCATGTTCAAGTAATTATGCAAGGAAGTGTAAGACAAAGCAGAATGGATTTTTGTAAAATCTGGTAATTCCTTATGACCTGGATGTTGTTAAGAGAGAATTGAAAATGTTGGGCAGATGGCTAATGTAGTGAGGTTGAGTGATGTACATCACAAAAGTGGGCCTTGCGGAATAGTTATCATGGCATATAGAAGAGATTTATATATACCGTATTTTTCAGAGTATAAGACGCACCGGAGTATAAGACGTAGCTTAGTTTTGGGGGAGGAAAATGGGGGGGGGGAAATCTGCCTACCAGGTATTCATCTGGCTAGCGTCCTTAGTCTGGTCAGCTTCAGCACATTAGTTTGCTGGTTTTTATCCCCTGCTTGGGGATAAAAAACAGCTTCTAAAGCACAACTGATCTTTGGAGAGAGAAGCAATGAGAAAAGCAGGCAAACCACGGAGATCGCTTCATTCGCTAGCGCCTCATTAGGGCTGAAAAAAAAACTTCACAGCTGAGAGTCGGAGGGAGCAGGCAAAGCAGGGAAGTGGCGATTGCTTCATTCGCTAGCGCCTGGTTAGGGCTGGAAAAAAAGCTTCGAAAAAACTACATTCGGAGTATAAGACGCACCCAAATTTTCAGCCTCTTTTAGGAGGGAAAAAAATGTGTCTTATACTCCGAAAAATACGGTGGGTGGTCCTTGCTTAACGAACATTCTATCAGCAACTGCCCAAACCAACGATGGTGCTGAAAGGGATCTAGCACAACTTGCTATGGCTACCACATCACGGCCAACTCACTGTGGCCAACTGGCCATAGGAAAATTCAATGCTGCACCACCATGATTTGCTTAATGACAGCAACTGAAAGTGCCAGAATTTCCATTGCTAATCAGCATAGTTATGTGACGTCGCATTTATGACCATGTTGCTTAGTGACAGAAATTCCGACTCCAATTACCGTTGTTACATGAAGACTACCCGTATTCTGAATCACAGTTAAGAGAAAGTGTTACAAGCCTTTTAGGATGTCACACGCCATACTGAAGTAAAAACCTCCTAAACAGACATCTGTTTTGCCTGGGAAGAGAACTACACGAAAACAACCCACATGATGTCTGTTTATAGCTAGTGTAATCAGTCCCACGTTTTTACGAACTTTAAAATTTGCCAGATTTAATTTTTTGTAATTAAAAAAAAACCCAGCTCTATTTATAACCAAGAAAAATAAAACTTCCATTTTGGCTGCAATGACGGAATGCGTAATTTTTGAAAAATAAGAACAGATTGGAAAACCTCAAGAGAGCATCCCTGAAATAGTCTGAACAATTTCATTACTCACGTCAAGATGTCATCCGGAGTCTTCTGTTGCAGCTTTTTGCCCAAGCCAAATCCAAAGAAGCACACAGCAAACATGGGAGTTACTCCAACAATGGGGGCTGCCATCCCCTTATACAAGCCACGGACGCCCTGTAAGAAATAGGTCGGTGGATTATTTATTTAGTAAATATAGATGGTCACTCATCTCAAGCACGAACAATAAAACAGAATTAATCTATGAATCATATACTGTAAATAGCAGCCCAGCAACCAATCTATACAACATCAAGGATTACCTTCAAGTTTCTGCCCAGTTCAAAGGGATCTCAATTCTTCAATCACATAGATATCTTTTTCCAAGATCCCATTTACAGGAAGAGGCTGTTTTGGGTGATCCAGTTCAGCTAAGGCAACACATGGGTTTGCCTCGAAAGGCATTCAGAAACTGCAGCTGGTATGAAATGCAGCAGCAGCCTCCACTGGCATTAGATGCCGTAAACATATTACTCCTATGCTGCAGAACCTGCCTTAGTTGCCAAGATGGATGCAGTTTAAAGCTCTGTGTTTAAGTTACAAATCTTTATTTAGCTTTATGCCAGGTATCTGCAAGACTGCCTTCTTCAACCCAAACCCACCTATCTGATACAAACAACTTTTAAAGCCCTTCATGGCTTGAGAACAGGTTATCTGAGGGACCATCTCTTGCCGGTCACATCTACCTGACTCACTAAAGCGGGGTGGCAAGGAATTTTGCGGGTTGCGTTCCCTAAGGAGATATGATTTGGCGGGACCCAGAAGAAGGGCCTTCTCCTTGATGGCTCCCTCCCTCTGGAATATCATCCCTCCAGAAATTAGACTGGGCCCCACTGTAACACTCTTTCAGAAGGCCCTGAAGATGTGATTCTGCCACGGGGCCTGGGTCAGGGGTGGGTTCTACTCACCTTTACTACTGGTTCGCAACGGGGTCGCCCATGGGCGCTTGCTTTGCTCGCATGTGCGCATGCTCTTCTGCGCATGCGCAGAAGCATTCTGATGACATCGGGGTCGTTGGACAGAGCCTCCCTCCGGTTTTACTACCAGTTCTATAGAACCAGTTCGAACTGGGGGCAATCTACCACTGGCCTGGGTGAACCCAAAGCGGGATGGAGACCATTAAATGACTGGTATGGATGTGTGTTGTCATCTGGGTGAGGAGGTTATTATTTTATTATTTTTATTTCTTTTATATTGTGTTTTTATGTCCTGTAAGTCGCTATGAGTCGCCATGTGCGAGTAGGAGGCAATATAAAATTTTTAAATAAAATAAAAATAAATAAAAATTGTTACTCTTCTCCCGTAATTAGAAGGACCAAGGTGAGAAGGAGACACGAAACAGAATTCTTCGGGTGGATTGTTTCAGCTAGTGAATACTGCAGGTTAGGAATGTTCCAATTGAAACACAGGTGGTCCTTGACTTACAACAGTTCATTTAGTGAGCATTCAAAGCAGTGGTGAAATGTAAAATTTGTTACTACCGGTTCTGTGGGCGTGTGTGTGTGTGCGGGTAATATGACTGAGTGGGCGTGGCCAATTTTTTTTTTTTTTTACTTTTAAAACCATTTTTTCTACAACCTCTTCGGCTGAAGAGGTTGTAAAAAATGCTTTTAAAGCCTCTGACGATCCCAGCTGACTTGCCTGATCGGCAGAAGCTTTTTTTTTTTTTTAAAGCCTCTGACGATTCCAGCTGACTTGCCTGATCAGCAGAGGCTTTTTTTCCTTTTAAAAACATTTTTTTCTATAACCTCTTCGGCTGAAGAGGTTGTAGAAAAAATGCTTTTAAAAGCCTCTGATGATCCCAGCTGAGCCGCACGATCATCAGAGGCTTTTTTTTTTTTTTACTTTTAAAAGCATTTTTTCGGCCAAAGAGGTTGTAGAAAAAATGCTTTTAAAAATAAAAAAAAAGCCTCTGATGATTGCGTGGCTCAGCTGGGCAATGGGGGGGGCAGGGATTTTTGCTACCGGTTCTCCGAACCACCCACCTCCATTGCTACCGGATTGGGCGATCCGGTCCGAACCGGGAGCATTTCACCCTTGATTCAAAGTTATAACGGCACTGAAAAAAGTGACTTATGTTTTTCACACTTACGGTCATTGTAGTATTTCCATAGACATGTGATCTACATTCAGACGCTTGACAACTGATCCATATTTATGACCGTTACTGTGTCCCAAGGTCATCTGATCAAATCTTGCAACCTTCTGACAAGCAAAGTCAATGGGGAAACCAGGTTCACTTAACAACCGTGTTACTAACTTAACAACTGCAGCAATTCACTTATCAACGGTGGCAAGGAAAGTCATAAAATGGCAGAACTCACTTAAATGTTTCATTTAGCAACATAAATTTTGGCCTCCATTATGGTCGTAAGTCAAGGACTACCTGTCGTTAAATTTTTACTGCCATTTTTATTATTACTGTTTTATTATATGACAGATGTTTTTGTAAACCACTGACAGTTATGATTGTGATGGTGTAAAGGATCAAGATGCATGAACCCAAGGCAAACTCTTGCTTGGGCATGCAAGAATAAATCATGATTGATTAAGAAGAAAGAACTCTTACCTTTTCAAAACTTATGCCTAAAAACTGGACAGCTTCCTTCCGTCTCACCATTAGCTTTTCTCATTGAAAAAAAACCAAGCTCATACTCCTAGAATCTACTAGTCTCAAGTATCATTCCCACACAAACTCATTTCAATAATATGCATAAAAATATGACATCTCTGGCAGGCATTGCAAGTGAGCTGGCAAAATACCTCTTTCACAAGAGTCTTTCTGAAACAGTCAAAGGTCCCAGCATAAAGAGGAGCCTGTCCCGGCAAAGGCTTCAGCTGAGTTTGTAGTCTGACCTACAAAATATAAGGAACATGGAAGGAATACAAAAGATGTGCTTGTGTTACATAGTTCATTTATTAAGTGAAAATATCCATCCACATCAGGGGTGGGTTCTAAATTTTTTTACTACTGGTTCTGTGGGCGTGGCTTATTTTGTGAGCGTGGCTTGATGGTCATGTGACAATTTTTTAGGATTTAGCAAAGGTACTGGTCTACCAGGGTTTTAACTGCTTGCAGAGCTGTACTGGTCTGCTCATTTGTTTTTAGAGGCACCGGTCTATTCATTTGTTTTTGGAGGCACTGGTCTACCCATTTATTTTTGCAGGCACCGTTCTACTCATTTGTTTTTGGAGGCACCGGTCTACCACCACACTGTCCTGCTGCAAGAGTTTAAACAGTTTTTTTTTCCCTTCTAGCTGATCAGCTGGGACTCAGGAGTCAGCAATAGATTGGGGGTGGGGGCCAAATAAAAGGTAAGAATAACGCGGGGAGGGTGGGGGGGCGGGGGGGCAGAACCGGTTCGGTGATGTCATATCGTCACCGCTACCGGCTCGGTGGAACCGGCCCGAACCGGGAGGAACCCACCACTGATCCACATCTGATTTAGTCACCCATTCCTCTTCTTTTCCAAAGAACTCAGAAAACAATCTTATAATAAGACAAACTATTGGTCTGTCCATCTCAGCAGCTGACCAACAATGGTCAGCAGCAGCTTCAAAAAGTTTGGGTAAGTATGCTGTGTCTGTTTTTCCCACCCTCTCTGGTGATAGAGAGTTGAACCCAAGACCTTTGAAATATACTCTACCATTGACAGATTTCCCCTTCCCAATTCTACCAGTTACTTTTTAATGAAAGGTGGATGAGAAGACGAAGGGAGGAAGACACAGTTCATCCGAGAAACAGTTGTTATCAATAAGCATTCAGGTCAATCAGGAGATCTCCAGATCTAAGAAGTAAATAGCAGTTTTTTTCTACTAGGATTAGTACAACGTACAAGGCCTAAATACAGGTAATCCTCAATTTACAACCATTCATTTAGCGACCATTCAACATTACAACAGCTTTAAAAAAAAGTAACTTATGATGGTTTTTCACACTTATGGCCTTTGCAGCATCCCCATGTTCACATGATCAAAATTCAGACGCTTGGCAACTGAAGTCATATTTATGACGGTCGCAATATCCCGGGGTCATGTGATTGATTACCTTTTGCGACCTTCCGACAAGCAAAGTCAATGGGAAACCAGGTTCACTTAACAACCATATTAGTAACTTAACAACTGTAGTGATTCACTTAACAACAGAGATTTTGCTTAATTGGGTTGTAAATCGAGGACTACCAGTATGGTATCTCCTGAATCACAGAAGAAATAGAAAATACAGAATGCTAGTAGCGTTGCTTCTAGAATCTAGACCAGGGGTGTCAAACTGAAGGCCCAGGGGCCAGATCCGGCCTACAGGGTGCTTAGATCTGGCCTGCAGGACTGCCCTGAAAATAGTGAAGAACTGGCCCGCGGTGCCTCTGCCAGCAAAAAGGAGCTCGGGAGGGCCACAGATGGCCCTCTGGAGCTCTGTTTTTGCTGGCAGAGGGTTGCGAGGCCGTCACAGCCAAAAACAGAGCCCGGGAGCCCTTTTTTGCTGGCAGAGCACTCGGGCAACCACTGGCGCCCCCAACCTGTGTGATGTTAAGCTCACCCTGGCCACGTTCAACCCGGCCCCCCGAGGTCAAACACAACCATGATGCAGCCCTCAATGAAATCGAGTTTGACGGTCCTGGTCTAGACGAAGAGGCATGGACAATCATGAGCTTGGCATTCCAGCCTTGGGCTTGAGCACTTGGGGTCCTTGTTGAATTTTTTGGGAGGGGCTACATGTGTTCCTATCTAGACACACCGTAAGTTCTTGTTTTCTTTTATAATTTTATTACATTTTCTTTTTTGTTTGGTTTTGTATAGTGCACCCAGAGTCAGATTGGAGTTGAGCAGCCTAGGTTGAATAAATTGAATTAAATGAACAAAACTGTTGCCCTTACCATAACATTCTCTAAATTCTCACCCCCATCAACCCTAGATTTTGTTGTTGTTGCTGTTGTTTTGGTGCCTTCAAGTCAGTCTTGATTTCTGATCAATAAATCAACAAGTACCTGAAGTTTTCTTAGCAACATATTCAGAAGTGCTGCTTGATGCCAAAGAAGGTATCCACAAGCTCATTACCTATCCCCCAGCAAAATTGCAACTTCCAGCTATAAAACTTTGTCTTGGTATTTACAGATTAGATTTTCAAGTATCCTTTATCACACCCATTTTTAAGTATATCTGGAAGGTTCCTGAAGACTGACAAATAAATCTTTGCAAAGATGCATGTGAAAACTTCAGTTGTCAGAGTGTGCTTATCTCCTGACTTTTATTGTTTTAAATTTGACACACAAATGAAACTGTTTATTGAATAGTTATATCATTTTAGAATCCTATCTTTTCATATCTCTATTAAAGAGGCTTTGAATGATAGATTTGTTGGTTAATAGTTCCTAACAGGCAACGGTCCGGTACAGGGGTTGGGACCTGTGACTTACATATAGAAAAGAATCAGTTGATCTGTGTTAATTTGGAATAGCAGAGCATTTAAGATTTCTCTGCTTTTATTTCTGCTTTTTTAAAAAACAAAATCACCGTTCACCTTTTTATTTAGTTTATGCCTCACTTTTCTAGTCTGGCAAACAATCAAGGATTATTTTTCCCCCTTGCATTTAATCCCGTCTGATTCTCAGAGCCTGCCTCGACAAGTCTCTGCAGTTTTCTTGGCAAGGTTTTAAGAAGTTGTTTGCCACTGCCTGCTTCCTAGGGCTGAGAGAAAGTGACTGGCCCAAGGCTCACAACTCACAAATCTCCTGGTTTCTAGTTGATGCTTTAATCCAGTACACCAAACTGGCTCTTCTCAAGGAGGATTACAACATAAAAAAAATTAATAATCAACAGAAGACAATCTCTTACATGCCAGAAGGCAAAAAGGCGTCTCCTGGAGATCTTATCAGCTAAGCAAGCCTCTAAGGACAAAGGTGGTCCCGTAGATCTAGCAGGACCCACAGCTGTCTGAGAAAGTTGGACTTTAAGAAAGGCTGAGGGCCAAAGAATTGAGGCCTTTGAACTATAGTGCTGGAGAAGACTCCTGTGAGTCCCTTGGACTGCAAGGCGATCAAACCGGTCAGTCCTAGAGGAGATCAACCCTGACTGCTCTTTAGAAGGCCAGATCCTGAAGATGAAACTCAAATATTTTGGCTACCTAATGAGAAGGAAGGACTCACTGGAGAAGAACTTAATGCTGGGAATGATTGAGGGCAAAAGAAGAAAGGGACGACAGAGAATGAGGTGGCTGGATGGAGTCACTGAAGCAGTCAGCGTGAGCTTAAATGGACTCCAGAGTATGGTAGAGGACAGGAAGGCCTGGAGGAATGTTGTCCATGGGGTCACAATGGGTCAACAGCTGTCTGAGGCTTTAAAAGTCAACTGTAACATCTCCAATTACACCCTGTAAACCATTGTACTCAGCAATTGTTTCTGACCTAGAACAGGGGTGTCAAACTCGTGGCGTCACATTGTCATCCTATGACATATCGCAACTTTTTCCCACTTTGCTAAACCGGGGGTGGGTGGGCGTGACGTATCCAGCCTGCGAGTTTGATACCCCTAACCTAGCGACTCTGTTGTGTGCATTATGCCAGCAATTGAATGGACATGCCCACCGTGAGACTAAAATAGCTACTCTGTAGTTCAATGTGTTTGTGATCACAGCCAGAGTAGTTTGGTTCCGATTCATCGTATTGGTCCAATCCAACCAATTAGGTTCGTCCAACAAAATATAGTTCACCATTCCATAGGTTAGTTCAGTGTTTCTCAACCTTGGAAGCTTGAAGATGAGTGGACTTCAACTCCCAGAATCCCCCAGCCAGCAGCGCTGGCTGGGGGATTCTGGGAGTTGAAGTCCACCCATCTTCAAGCTTCCAAGGTTGAGAAACACTGGGTTAATTTGTTGCATGTACACAGGATTATGAAGAAGAGTAATGATCCAAGGGTCCAAAGCCAGTGTGCTAAATAAAATTTAAATTTAAATTGGAAAAAATATTCTCAGCTACCGAAATTCAGAGTGCCTTGGGGACCCATCACCCAAACAAGCACCCTTCCACCAACCACACAAGTGCGAATTCTTTTTCCATGAGAAAAATAATTCTTTCGACAAAGTGCATTCTGGGAACGGTAGTTCGTTGACCCTAGTTTTAAAGCCGCTCCTCCCCACCCGCGCAGTGTCTATCGGGGGTTGTAGTCCTTCCCGCCTCCCCCCCCTCACCTTGATAGTATCCAGCGGGTGTCCCACGAAGACCAAGCAGACGCCTCCGAAGCCACCCGCGAAGAAGTTTTTTACGGGGCTAATAGGTGCCTGGGGGGACTTAGGTTGTTCCGCCATGGCTGCTTCGGAAGCGGGACCGCTCAACGCAAACTCTCCCAGCTTTTGGCTTCGCCGCCTCTCCCAACAACCTTTACCCTGCTTTTCCTTCCCCAGCCAGGCGGAAAAAAGGAGGACCTCCGAGATGCCTAGAGAGGCTGCTATTGTTCCTGCTTCCGCCACCCGCGATCTATTCTATACCTACCCTGGAGAGACTTGCTATTATATTTAGCAAGTTGTTCCCATAAGAAGCTGCTGGTGGTTTTTGCAGTTTCTATTATTCTCTATTAAATATATATGTCTTTTCCTTCAGAAGTTAGTGCCAAATCTTTGTCTCAGCCTTGCTCCCTTTGCATACAAAAAAATCACACAATGACCAAGGGGTCCCTCTCTCTTCCCCTGTCCCTACAGGGCAGGGTAGGTCCGCAGTCCAAAAATCGGGATTTTTTTAAACCGACGCGGGACAAATTGTTACAAATCGGGACTGTCCCGCCAAAAGCGGGACGTCTGGTCACCTTAAGAATTCAATATGGTTACTGCCCTGGGATAGATGCTGTTTTTCAGCCTATCTGTCCTTGTTTTTTTAAGCACGCATGGAAGAATCTCTGCCAAACTTAAGTTTAAAGCAAAGCTTGCCTTAAGGCCTCTTCTATGCCTTGGTCCAATATTGAGACTTTACCATTCCTGTAATTTCGGGGAGGATTCGACGCTTCCAAACAGTTTAGGAAAACACACTTAAAGGCCGGGCTCTTGTTAATACCCCCCCCGTCCCATATTTCGCTTTATTCCTTCATGGCACCATAAGTTTCTTTTATTAAAGCCGGTCGCTCTGAAGCTGATGAAAAACAGTAGGTTGATGATCGCCTACACCGCCACGTCCAAGTGGTTCAATCCCAACACTCGCTTCCTTCGCTCCGGCCAGTGAAACGCTCCTCCGGCTTTTATCAACTCTTCTAAATAACTCCTGCGCGCGCGCGCCCCTCATTTGCCCCCCCCCACCAACCGCCACCGCGGGAGGCCTTCTTTTGACGCTCTGGGGGGTTTCTTTGCCTCTTTCTCCTCCTGCCATTTCTAGCGGCGGAAGCGACGCTCCGCCAGGGACTGGAACTTCCGGTGCTCAAGCCATAGTGGGCCGGCTAGAGATGGAGAAGCTTGGGAGAAGGTGATTTTTTTTTCCCTTTTCTCTCTCTCCCTCCCTCCCTCCCTCACTCTCTCTGTCTCTCTCTCTCCTTTTTCCCTCACTCCGGGTTACACCCGCCGAGTCGGCGGTGCAGCGGCCGAGGCTCTCGCTCTGAGGAGCGACATCCAGTCCCGCCCGGCCTTCTCCCCGCTTTGGGTGAGCGCAGAGAAGGGGGGAGCCGGGCCTTGTTTACATGGAGGGAGGGGGGGATGGAGAGGGAGGCTTTGCCTTTCCTGGGGCGGCGGCGGCTCTCGTGGAATGGCAGGCGGGCTGATTGCCGGGCTGAGGCGGCCCTAGTTCCTCCCTGCCTCGAGTCCCCGGACCTGGAGGTCGAAGAAAAGGAATGGGGGGGGGGGACTGGATAGCAATTCGGGTGGGGGGTGGGGGGGGAGCCTGGGACAAATCGTTGATTCTCAACGTATCCAAATTAAACAGACTTTACAGGGAGCTTTTGGACTTTTTTTTTTTTTTAAAAAGGATATTGGGGAGTGGGCGATGGTTGGGGGGGAAAACAGTTGTGGGATATAGCAGGGTTTTTTAAAATAATAATAATAATAATAATAATAATAATAATAATAATAATAATAATAATGCAGTTATTCTCTTTATCCAGGAAAGATCCCATCGCTTCTATTGTTGTCCGAGTGACACTTAACAATATAAACTAAATAAGAGTAAAAATGACCCTATCATTCTTGTAGTCTTACTACTACAAAGTTCAATTACTGGGATATTATACCAGCTTGACCTGCTTTAAAATGAAGCACAAATGCAACTTCTACTTCAAAGTGTAGACTAGACAATAAATTTAATGGTGAAGAGTTAAATTAATTTGAACATCTACAGCAAGGGTGTTCTTAACTTTTAATCCACCATTTTCCTGCACTGGCACGATTATGGAGCCTTCTAACAAGAAATTTTCTTCTTCCAAGTGAACTTTGACTTGGCAAAAAAAAAAAAAAAAAAACCTAGTTCAGAATGCTCCAAATTTTGTGCCAGGATTGCTTTTGTGAGCTTTCTTGTTGCAACGAACTGCCATTCAGCTAAACGTTGTTACTTTTATAATAGTCTTTAAAGAATGTGCTGGTAGCGAATTTATTGAATGGATCAAAATGATGATTGACTATAGTGGGAACTGCTACAATAAAAAAGTTCTTTAATTTTAATGCAGCAGGCTATTAGTTTGTTGAAATGTTTCAGTCTGTGAACATTTTTAAATTAGTCTTGGCTTTAGTTATTTCAAAATATAGTATTTCTGGATAACATTTTTTGATTAATACTACATTATCTACTATACTATAGAATTTTTGGTGACACAACTATAGTTTTAAATGAAGTTGGTCCAAATTGGTGCTAGCCAAAGAGGTGAAGAGATTTAATTATTAACAGCATTTCCTGTTGCTCTTCAGCCAAAAAAGGTTCCTAGGGCATCCTACAGGATTTCATTGTGTAAATATTTGTGCACACAAAATTACACTCTTCTTTTTGCCATAGTGAGACATTATAAAAAAAAGATTTTAAAGTAAAAGCAAATGCTGATTAAATGCACTATGGTGTATCCTTCCAAGGAAAGTCAAATGTTACTATAACACTCAGCAAAAGCAAGAATCTTGTGATTCTTGAAATGAACAAATTTAATATTTCATAAGCTTTCACGGTACTTCCTGGGTTCATCAACAGCTTAAATATATCTTGGGGAAGGAATGATAATGAAGAGGAGCACTTCACAGGATGCTATCTTATATTTATAGATTAAAAATATAGCTTGAATGTAAAGTTAAAACCTGGCAAGCACTAATAGACGTTCAAAAACTGCAAGGACAATAGTAAAGGTCATTAAGAAATCTTCCAACTATGCGTTTAAAGAAGATATTTTGAATACCAATGGGTATTATATAACTTAGTAGTTAGTAATGGGGGAATGTTAAATGCCTCAAATGCATTTTTGTGGTTCAACCAAACATGAATTGGGGTTTATTTTAGGTATCTGTTCTGTAAATCTTTTGAGTTTACAAGTAGTCTAGAAAACTGTAGCTGGAAATTTTAATTTAATGTTGGATTGAAATAATATTTTAAGAGAAAAAAGGCTAACTGCCAGCACTGGAATGTTCTTCATGGAAACAACTGGGAATTTTATTTGGTGAATATATAGATACAATTAAATCCCAATGAGTAGGATTATACTTTTTATCAGCCCTATATGGCATGTTTCAAGATGGAACCATTTCTTTAAACTTCTTTGGAATTCAAAGTTTGATCGAACAGATGCAGTGGAAACAGGAATATAAACAGGATAAACTATTGCCTCCTTGTTTGAGATTTGAAAAGTAAGATTCTTTTAGAATACTTCATAGTAATTTACAATGAAATTCTCAACTTACGGCATTTTTGTATTGTGCTATATACTTAAAAACACCCACACACAGAGACTCGCTTCCATGCATTAGTGCGTGTAACCTGGTTGTGTCCACCACTAGGGTGGTTGTTTTAGGCTCGATATTATTACTACCCAAGTAGTAGTAGGAAGCTAAAGTTTAAATATGTTAATATTAAATTATATCGCCAGATTTGAAGGGCTTTGGATATTATGTCTGGGTTGTGGTAAAAACGATTATATGGACTATACCACATCCTGTATAAAGGAATGAGTAAAGAAATATTTTGAAGAAAATGTCACAAATTCAAACAATGTAATTTATAATTGTCTGATTTTTCATACATCTTTTGTATTCTTGAGAGAAGCATACCAGACTCTAAAAATTGGTTTAATTAAATTTGTCCACTCTTAGCCTTTGAACTAGCTGTCCTTTGGCACAGATGCAAAATTGAAGAATGGGATTTCCTATAGTCTAGGTTTAATCTGTGTTCAAAAACTGAATTGCAGTGATTTATATAGTCATGCCATTACTATTTTTTACAATTATTGAAAACTGCAAACATTTTATTATCCTATTATACTGTTTCAAGCCTGTTTTAGATTTATAGGTTGTATTTAAATACAATTTTAGGCATTCGGGTTTTGTTGAATAGTATGGAATGAAGTTAGTGCTTTTTTCAATTTTTTAATTTAACTTAGTAAAATATTGTTTAGGAAATATAGTTAGAAGATACCTGTGTGCACGCTAGATCTCTAGATGTTGTGTTGAGAACTCGGCCCATCATATATAATCAGTGATAGTTAGCAAAATTAAAATTTAGTAATTGATTATAGTTTCAGAGGAACACACACTGTCATGAGAGAAAGTAATGTTCGGTTAATGTAATATGTAAAATATCACCTAGTCTTATATTAATTTTTTGCAACAAAATCCTATGCTTTGGAAGTTACAGATGAATTTTATGCTGTTCTCCCTTCTACTTGGCATTTTTGCTTAATCTTCATTGCCAGGCCCAGTGTAAGTTACTGCAGCTCAGGGGGGATAAAAATCAATGATTTTTTAAAAAAATCAAAAAAATCAGATTTTTTTGATTTAAATCAGATTTTTTTTATTTAAATCAGATTTTTTTGATTTAAATCAGATTTTTTTGATTTTTATCGAATTTATTTTAATAAACTTTTTGGGTAAAAATCTATCGTAAGATAGTTTTCTATTTAAGATACATAAATAATTTAGTTTATTCAGCATGAAATGGAGCTTAGTTATGTAGCATGAGGCTGTATATTCTGCAACACTGGGACTATCGGTGAGTCAACAGTGGGTCAAAGGAGTAGCAGAGATGACAGTTGCTCTTTAAAAATTATGATTTAAATCGAGTTGATTTAAATCAAGCCTTTTTACTAGTGATTTAAATCATGATTTAAATTGTGATTTAAATCAACTCGATTTAAATCAAATCCACCCTGCTGCAGCTTCTGTATATGTGAAGACAATAGATAACCTATATGAGTGAAAATGTAGAGTGAGTAAAGGTTTTAAGCCCTTGAATACTTTTAGTGTGGTTGGTGTAAAGTATTTTGTGTGACAGTCTTAAATTATTTAATGAAGGAGTATAATATTGATATGCTGAGATTTTCTTACCCTACATTTCTTATCACACATACAGTTATATATGAAAATGTTAAATCAACATCTCTGAGGGATCAACTTGTCTTTGGTTGTATAGCGTATTATAATTTTCCCTCCGAATAGCCATAGTATGAATGAGCCTGTTTCTATGTTAAGGTTCTATGTTATGGTTAAGTTAATTTGGGATATCAGCTGTTCTCACTATTTTTTAATTTTATGTTTTAATTTTGCCTGGTTTCTTACTGGTTTTTTTCCTGCTAGCCACCAAAAGTTATACATGTGTTTAATACACATTTAATCATATTAAATAAATTTAAAAAAGAAATGTGCTATATATGTGCTGCTGCCTATCCCCGCTGCCTGGAAAAGGACGAAAACTGGGCGCATGGAGGCCGAAAACGGGGCACGTGGCAGCGGCGATAGATGGTGGTGGCGATGGGCATCAATGGCGCCGATGGGCGGTGGCGATCCCCACAGCCTAGAACAGCTGATCAGAGGTATTCCGGGAGGCAGATCCAATCGCCAATCAGCTGCTCATGCTAAATCAGGCTTTACTGAAGCTGACCAAGCTGTTTGCTGTTTGCTGCTGGGAGGCAGAGGCAGATTTTTTTTTCTTGTTTTCCTCCCCAAAAGCTAGGTGCGCTTATTGTCTGAGCATAGAATAGAATAGAATAGAATTTTTTATTGGCCAAGTGTGATTGGACACACAAGGAATTTGTCTTGGTGCATACGCTCTCAGTGTACATAAAAGATGCGTTCATCAAGAATCATAAGGTACAACACTTAATGATAGTCATAGGGTACAAATAAGCAATCAGGAAACAATATCACTATAAATCATAAGGATACAAGCAACAAATTACAGTCATATAGTCATAAGTGGAAGGAGATGGGTGGTGGGAACGATGAGAAGATTAATAGTAGTGCGGACTTAGTAAATAGTTTGACAGTGTTGAGGGAATTATTTGTTTAGCAAAGTGACAGCATTCAGGGAAAAACTCTTCTTGTGCCTAGTTGTTCTGGTGTGCAGTGCTCTATAGCGTCGTTTTGAGGGTAGGAGTTGAAACAGTTTATGTCCAAGATGTGAGGGGTCTGTAAATATTTTCACAGCCCTCTTTGAGTCGTGCAGTATACAGGTCCTCAATGGAAGGCAGGTTGGTAGCAATTGATTTTTCTGCAGTTTGAGCAAATTATAATCTGAAAAAGTTGTCTGGCATAGAGTTGTCAAACTCTTTCAACAGATATAGCAAAGATGCATATTGCACAGATCCCTGCATAAAGAAATATTTGAAACTCTTTTTGAAGTGACAACCTTAATCCTTTAGGCTTTACATGTTAAGAAGGAATGCTTTCTTTAATATTTTCTACCTTTAAGCTTATCCAAGTAGACTGTAAGGGCATTGCTACTATCAGATTCTGTTATGTGACATCCAAGATTTATAGCCTCCCAGTAGAGGCCGTCTTCCCTCTGGCCAGCCATAGCATGTTTCTTAAAAAGTTGTGGAAACTCCTTAAAAAGCTTCGTCTTGTTACACATGTAATTGGTACCAGCTTGTATAAGTGAGCATATTATAAACATATACTGTGTGTGTTGATAATTTCAGTTAAGGAATTTTATGGTGTATGTATGCTTTTTGACCTGATGGTTTTTATGGTTTTGCTGGGAAGCAGGATACTTACCTAATAATTAGAAAGCAGCCTAAATTATTCAGAGAATGAGGAACTGAGTCACTGCATCACACTACAGTATGCATTTTTATAGCAGTACTGTAAGTACTGTTCCCCCAACATTTTCAGTAACTTCCTATGAAATGGATTTAATGAGGAAGGATTAAAAAAAATTAACATTGGTTAAGGATCCTTGTTTGGATGCAGAAATAATATAGCTGCAGCTAGGGTTTTTTCCTATGTTGAAAGATGTTAAAATGGCCATGGTGGGATGAAATCTCTATTCATCGCTTTCAGGCCTGTCACACATTTTATGTTGTTTCTTCTGAGACTTATGGGAGACTAGGATAGCACTATTTCGGCCTTCTTGGACCTCTTCAGCCAGACACACCCATATTTTATGACTCCTCCCTGTAGAGGTCAAATATTTATTTCTTTTAATTCATAGGTATAAATGTGCGATATTTTTGCAATCAGGGTTTTTTCCTATGTTGAAAGATGTTAAAATGGCCATGGTGGGATGAAATATATATTTCATTCAATATATATGTATATCAGATGTAAATAAATACTGATTCTTTTAAATTGAATTCCCCATAAGAATTGAATTGCTGTTAGATTCTTCGTTTATAATCAAACTTGCAAACATTTTCCCCCACTCCCTTCTTCTTGGAATGTTCAAATTTAGGTGGCAGAAAAGTCAGATGAAGTCCAAAGAACGATAGTACTGTCTTGTAAAACCAGAAACTGTCCTAGTTCGCTTGCCTGGTGGTTTGGCAGAGCGTGAAGATGTCCGTGGACATGAACAGCCAAGGTTCTGACAGCAACGAGGAGGACTATGATCCAAACTGTGATGAGGAAGAAGATGAAGATCCTGGGGACATTGAGGGTTACTACGAAGGGGTTGCAAATGACGTGGAGCAGCAGGGAGCAGATTCCTTTGATCCGGAGGAATATCAATTTACCTGTCTGACTTACAAGGAGTCGGAGAGCACCCTGAACGAGCACATGGTCCGCTTGGCTTCTGCGTTAAAGGTAAGGGGCTCGGCAATCATTTGGATGAAAGGGCCCTTTTAGAGCCGCAGAACAGGCAAGCTGAATGTCAATCACTTATTTGGCCATCCAAATTGTAAGTGACAATTAACCAGCATCGTCGTAGATCTGGAGTCACTTTTTACCAACAGGGATGTGCAAACAATTCATCTCTGAACTGTTTCAAGTGAGAGATGTCACAATACGTCCTGTCTTTTTTCTTGAGCTTGGGACACTTCCAAAAAAGTTTAAAGCAGCAATTTCTTATTTGAGCAGCAGGATGTTTTGCTTCACTTTCTGCTTAAAGTGGTTCAAAATGAAAGTTTTGCACACCACTGATTTCAAGTATTGCTGCTCTGTAAGTGTAGATCAGATATATCTACACTTACAGAGTAGCAATATACATATCTGTATATATATGTTTTATGCAGGTAGATTTATTGTTCATCTGTTTACTTAATCTTCCTGCATAGAATTATTAAAATACGATTGTTCTCCTTTATTGTTCCAGATAAAAGTGTATGGGCTGTACCCAGTTCTTTTGTTGACTGGGGAGCTTTGTCACAGAGAAAGGAGGGTGTGGTGATTCATCTATCCCCCAAAATTGCTCTACAAGATTGAGGCAGATTTTAAGGTTAAGGAAAAGAACATTTAACTTTGCAAGTAGAAAGGCTGCTTTTGAAGTAACATCAGAAATGCCTCAGTCATTTTACAGTGTTGTTCACTGAAAGCTTATGTTCAAATGTCATTCTGATTTTCTGTTCCTTGTCGTACTCTGATCTTTTCTTTGTCCTAAAAATTTCTGCAACAAATAAATATCCTCTTTTTCTGCTGCATCCTACCATTGGTTTGCTTATTAAAATGTTACAAATTGCCCTTTGTAGCTAATGAAAATCTGGAAACTGGTATCATTCTCTTCCCTTCTTATAACTTTTCATATTTAATTGATTTGGATCTCTAAAATAACAAAAGAGGAAGCTGCTTGAATAAAGGGAAGTATTCCTTTTTCTGTCTTCTTCCTATGAAATGGTTTTGAATCTGGCTGTCATGTTTATCATGCTCTGTGTAATAAGATTATGATTCATTAACAGGGATGTTGGGGAAATTGACAATGGGCAGGTAGTTTTTAGGTTTGAACCTACTAGTTACATAGATTTTATTATTTATGCTGAATCCAGAATTTAAATGTAGAATAAGAAAGACACACCAATGGAAGAGGCCTTTATGTAACTAACACTATTGTAAGTCTTAGTTACTATGCTTAATAGCACTTATCTCCATCTTGATCTCTAGAAATTATAGAAAATTATATAAAAAGAAACCCAAAATGCTGTGCAAATTGTGTCAAGCTAAAATAGATCCAGAGTCATAGGGAAATAAAATACCTAAACATTAGGGGGTTCCAATCTGTCAATTAGCTATTTTGTTATCTGTTTTAAGAAGTAATAATAGTAGCCAGAGCTGTCTCCTGATGACTAATTGTTCTCTAAGAAAAAAAGATAATTTTTGGCAAACTAAACTGAAAATAGCAATAGTCTATAAGTATTTGTGAATACCTAAGAACTTGATTAGTGAATAAATTATGTCTTGTTTCAGCAAGCATCAAAATTATTACATTTATAAATTGCTGCCTCTGTTTGGCAGATTTGCTGATGAATCTGGCATTATCTTAACACATTGTAATGACTGGCCACGAACATTTAAAGACACCAGTAGCTGAATTTCTTATCACTAAGTTTTGCAGAAAATAGTTTTATTATATCTCTAATTATTTTATCTGAACCTAAAGTATCATTAAATTAAATGGACTAAATGCAATTCTGCTTCACCAAATGCTGGAAAATTAATCAAGAAATAATTAAGATGTGTAGTTCCGTAAGTGTACATGTGTGTCACTTGCTTTCTGGAAAGCATAAGTTCGTGAATGTACTCTGATGTTGGCTTAAGTGCTGTGATAATTTTCCTCTCAAGATTCATGCTGCTACACTTAGTTTATTTGCCTATCAGCAGTTGTGTCTCTGTTTACCAGTTCTCCCTGCTGTTTTGGGACAGTTGATATTCTCTACAAGTCAGTTTCAAAGTTGTTCTTGTCCATCATTGAGTTATTAATATGCTCACCTCAGCAGGAACGAGGATGATATATGTCTTGTGAAAACTAAAAGAAATTCAGTCTAAGGAAGTTTAAGCAATTATTTTAGCATGCTGTTTGTTTTTTCTATTATCTGGAAAAGATATTTGCAAAGTCAAAGAAAATGTTAATTTAACAATATCTACTTCTGTTAAATTGTATTTAACATATTCTCTTATAAGCAACCTATTGGGAACCCTGGAATTCACTGATTTGGTGTTGGGAGTCCCCATAGACCAGGTAGACTTGTTTCAAGACAAGATCCAGTCTAATGCCTAAGCTAGACAGCTATTCCACTGACTCTCAAAGCATTTTTTATATTTTTTAAGTCTCAAGCTTGCTATGTGATATGCTGTGTCACCTTTCATAAAATAAAGCTAAATAGTAAAGCATTGGAATGTCTAGGTTGGTTTGTTGACAAGTGTTGGTATAATTCCACCAGAAGGACCTAAGCTCTTTCACTGGTCAGCCATGTACAAACTCCCACAGATTTGAGGGAAAATCCATTCCAAATTTCTTCACTTGAATGAGGAAATCAGCCATATTTTCTTTGTTGTTACTCTGATTCACAGATCCCTTTAAGGTTCTGCTTTTAGGCTTTGCTAAAAACTCATTTTGCAGCTGTTGATACTAGTAATGTATAAAGAGGAGAATTATCTGAATAACTTGTCATTATTTCTGCAAGGAGATTGTGGTAGTCTGTCAGCTATTCTTAAGAGCATCTTAGCAAATGGTTAAAAATCTGCAGCATTTAGGGCGAGTAGACTGTCAAAAGAGTAAAGGATCATTATTGGATTTTAATGTATTAAAAAAATTCCCTTATTCTGCTTGAGCTAGATTTCATTTTCAGTTTCAAAGGCTTAATGCCAGAATTCACATCACAATTATGTATTAAGATACTGCATTACAATACATGTGGTTTGCTTGTATGTATATACAATATTCCAAATTTGCATATCTCCCGAGCAATAATTTTAAAGTTGGTGGGCAGATTGCTATTCAGTTAGAGTGAACTTTGTGAATACTATACTACACAAATGTAGCCTTCAAATTAAAATCAGAATAATTGAAAAACAAATTAACAAAAAAGTTCAAAAAAAAAAATAGATCAAATCAAGCCCTAGTAGTTTGTATTACAGTAACCAGTCAGATGTTTATAACCTATAAGAATAAGATCAAAGGTTACCTTTTCATTTAGTCTCCATCTGCAAGAACTACATTTTCTTTTATCAATCAAATTCACAGGATTATAATCCAAAATCTTTTCTTTGTAATACCGGTATCTCTACCAAGGAAACCTCAGCACCAAGCTTTTTTTTTTATCCAAATCTTGAAAAAAATATATCCTCTTGAAATTGTGGGGAATCATTCTATTCCAATCCCTCATCAAGTCCCAATTTTCATAAGAGAAGCCTATTAATCTTACCATAAATCCTTAAAAGAATGGAAAAATTTAAATAGATGTCATGTAAATCACCCAGAATCTTGGGATGGGCATTGTACAAATTAAAATTATATGGATATGAAATTGCATTTGTGATTGGCAATTGGAAGAATGCAATTATCTTTACCCAATTTCAGATTTTAAAAACCCCACAGGAACTACTGAAGAATTAGTTAGTTAAATGTGCTAAAAAGGATTTTGCAAATTTCTGATTGAAAGAGGGCAGGAGATGAAAATAAGTATTCCATATCTTCCTTGAACATCCCTTTAACTCCTTTTTCATTTAACACACCTAATGTATTTTTAGTATATTTGAAATTTTAAAAGTTCTTATTGTTTTTCTGGACTTGATTGATCCTTTTACATTATGTGATAAATTCTAAATGCAATTATCGCTTTAGATAATCTCTAGGCACTATAAAGAGATCTGAATTTCTTGTTTTCTGTTTTTCCTTTTTTAACCAGTCTCCTAATTTTTAGGTGTTTTTCCTAAGGTAAATAAATTTAACCATGTGAGTTCCAACTGGCAGCTTCTGATTTGCATGTGGTTTAAATGTTACAACATTACAGATACTTTCCTATTTTACAATGCTTACATCTCAGTCTAAATTATGGTCATCTTTTTGGTTGCGTGCCCTCTGGCTGATTCCAAGACCGACCCAGTGTTTTGTGGAAATCAGTAATTTATATATTTATTGTGCATAGATGGGCCCAGTCTGCACCAAGATAAGTAAAACCCCACCACTGTTACAATCTGCATTTCCTATGCATGCCTTTCTAACTCTTTTTCACCATCTTAGGATCATTCTCATTAAATACTCTCACTCAGTCAGTGGTCACTCAATAGATCACTCTTTTGATGAGCAGCAAATTTCCAGATCTAATTTACATTTGTGGCCAAATATTGCTACCATCCTTACCTTCTGTAGGAATCTGATTTTCCAATGTTTCCTAGGATATATTAGATGTTACATATACTTTTATTTAAGCTTATACTACATTTGTTATGGACTGGGGGGGGGGAATGGAAATACCAAGTTTTGAGATGAAGGTAATCATCCAATCATCATTTACTGCCATCTGGCTATAAATCAAAATGATACCAGTTCTTAAGTGTTTTTTGTTAATCAGTTTTGCAATCATCTGCCAAATGATAGGTGATCTGGACTACCCATGCCATCTGTAGGTATTCTGTGATACAAATCATTTTGGGTGGATTCGTCCTCCACTTAACAACCTTTTGTTCAATGACTGTTTTTTTAAAATTCAGAAGAGTGGGGATAAAGGAGAAACCTCAATGGTAGTTCCTGAAGAGTTACAGGACTGCTTGGTACTTGTTTGAAAGTGATTTTTGGAGTGACAAATGCTCTGCTTTCATGGCATATGTGTTCCAGATCTTGTACATACTAAACATGTTTTCAATTTCATATAGGTACGATTTGATAGTGTAATTATTTTTTTGAACTCTGATATTAATCATAAAACATAATTTCTGATATTTTCCCCTTCATTCAGCTGTTTAAGTACAATTTCCCTAGCTTTTGAGAAACACAAATTATTAGCAGTTCCCTTAAAGGTGACCAAGTTACTAGATAGCTAATAGTTGCTTCTAGTGATCAGGTACAGTAATTTTGTACTCAGTTCTTTACCCATTTCTTCTAATTCTAGTTTATTGTATCTTAAGTCCTGGCATTGAGTCATGTCATTTTTTCATATTTTGCATTTTGTGGATAGCTGTTTTGCATTTTATATTTATCATAGATTTTTTTGCATTAACTCTATTCCACGGTAATAAGTACTTGGAATACAACTAAAGTCAGAGACAATATAGTGAAGAAGAAGAATAAAAAAAATGACACTGTGCTAGATATTGGCCTGACAGGCCATTTGTGAAGGAGTTATACTGGCATATGCTAGATATATTTGCTCTGAATGGGAACAGATTGGAGTTGCTTAACCATACAAAATCCATGATGTCCAGTTTGACATGCACTGAGCCATAAACCATGATTTACAAAGCACAATGACAGGATTCCATACTTCATTAAGCCAAGCAAAGCTACATTGTCTTAATAAGTGGAACAACTTGCCTTTAATCATAGGAACAACTTGCCCTTAATGTCTATGATAATATCTATGATATGATAGGAGATTCTCAGTCATCTAGGTCATGGTTCTTGAAAAAGCACCTTTGGGACAACTTGCCCTTAATCAGTGGAACAACTTGCCTCCAAAAGTTGTGAATGATCCAACCCTGAAAGTTTTAAAGAAGAAATTGGACAACCATTTGTCTGAAATGGTATGAGGTTTCTTGCCTGAGCAGGGGATTGGACTAAAAGACCTATAAGGTCCCTCCCAGCTCTGTTATTCTGTTATATTGCTTACTGTGAATGCTGTCCATGAACAGCTGGACTATGTTGCAGTTTGACTGAGATAGGAAAGCCTGGTGAATCCTCTTTCCCAGTTATTAATAGATAAAAGGTTCGAAGCACAGGACAGCACAAATGTTACTCAGTGGAACTTCCATCCTTCTTTATTGTTATTCCAGCTGGGTAGATCTAAAAAGAACTGAAGTCCAAATATACGGATTATGATGAGCCACCTGCCGCTTATCTCTACAGTAAGTCCTAAATAGGAGAAACAAAAGAACAATATTCATATGCTCTATAACTTTGCAGAATGCAGACTTTGGACTTCCTTTTAATGCTGAATTTTTGAAGTTGGAATGAACTCTACACTCTTGCATATGAATTAACTTTTATTATGATATCAACTTGAAAAGCATAGTGCATAATAGAAAAACAATAAACTGAAAGGGACCCTCAACTTTCCTCAAAACATTGCTCAAATTATGAAACATAAATGTAGTTGCAGGGCTTGCATGTTTTGCAATTCTACTATTCATCAATTCACTTTTTTTCTTTCTTTCTCCCCTTTAGGTATCTCATGCAGTGGCTAAACTTGTATTAGTTAGCTTCCATTGGCAAATCTCAGAAATTTTAGAAAGGTAAGCATATGATCAATTTGTAGAAATGTGCAAATCACAAAATATTGTTTCTCTTATTAGACTCTTGTAAAAAAATTATTTAAAAACCCCACCCTATGTTTGGGTCAGAACATGGTAAAATGGTAAACATGGTAAAAAGAAGGGACACAGTGGCTCAGTGGCTAAGACGCTGAGCTTGTCAATCTAAAGGTCAGCAGTTCAGCGGTTCGAATCCCTAGTTCCACGTAACAGGGTGAACTCCCGTTACTTGTCCCAGCTTCTGCCAACCTAGCAGTTCGAAAGCATGTAAAAAATGCAAGTAGAAAAATAGGGACCACCTTTGGTGGGAAGGTAACAGCGTTCCGTGCACCTTTGGTATTTAGTTAGGCTGGCCACATGACCACGGAAGACGTCTTTGGACAGCTCTGGCTCTTCGGCTTTGAAACAGAGATAAGCACCGCCCCCTAGAGTCAGGAACGACTAGCACATATGTGCGAGGGGAACCTTATGGTAAAATACCTCTCTCTGTTGTCCTAACTTTATGGACTTGCTTGTAAGGTTGACATATTGAAATCTGTAATGTGGGTTATTCCAAGAAATTAAATGAGTGAGAATAATGGCAAAGTCTTATTTTATTGTCTTATGTGGAAGATTTTGAAAAAAAATGATTCAATTTATGTATAGGTAGTCCTCACTGATCATAATTGAGACTGGGAATTTTGTCGCTAAGTGATGTCATAAAGTAAAATATGACCATACCAACTTAACGGCATCAGTTCCAGCTGCGGTCATGATGCGAATCATCACAGGTAGTCAAGCACAACGTTACGTGACTGCAAATTGCAGCTTCTTGCCAATTTCCCCCTTGACTGCTTGTTGGAAGCTGGCTGTGAAGGTTGCAAATGGCAATCATGTGACTGACTACAAGACACTGTGACCATTGTAAATGCAATGGATAACCATTTGTCTGAAATGATCTAGAGCAGGCGTGTCAAACTTGATTTCATTGAGGGCTGCATCAGGGTTGTGTTTGACCTTGGGAGGCCAGGGTGGGTGTGGCCAGCTCGACGTCACTCGTGTTGGGGGTGCCTGAGTGGTCCCGACTGCTCTGCCAACAAAAATTGGCTCGCAAGCTCCATTTTGGCTGCAACGGCCTCCTGCAATCCTTTGCCAGTGAAAACGGAGCTCGGGAGTGCCGCCCGCAGCCCTTGCAAGCTCTGTTTTTGGCTGCGATGGCCTGCAATCCTCTGCCAGTGAAAACGGAGCTTGGGAGGACCATCCGCGGCCCTTGCAAGCTCCGTTTTTGCTGGCAGAGGCACCACGGGCCGGTCCTTCACTGTTTCCAGGGCAGCCCTGTGGGTCAGATCTAAGCACCCTGCAGCCCAGATCCGGCCCTGGGCCTTGAGTTTCACACCCCTGGTCTAGGGATTCCTGCCTAAGCAGGGGGTTGAACTAGAAGACCTCCAAGGTCCTTTCCATTCTAATGCATGCGAGTTGCCAAACATCCAAATTGTAATCAGGTGATTGCAGGGACACCGCAACAGCTGCAACTTTGAGGACCTGTCATAAACCACCTGTTTCAGCGTTGTTGCAACTTTGAACGGTTGCTGAATTGGTGGTTAGTAAGCAAGGACAACTGTGTTTCCCCAAAAATAAGACAGGGTTTTATTTTCTTTTGAACTCCGAAATAAGGGCTTGGCCTTATTATCGGGGGGGGGGGGTGTCTTACTATTTTGGGGTTGCAGGAGGCAGCGAGCGTGGGACTGGATGTCCCGCCGCCGCCGTCACTTCCCCTCCGTGTTCTTCGTGCCGGCTAAGTGGCTGGCTGCTGCTGCCCTGACATGCCCCGCTACTGCTGCTGCCTCGTGGAGCAGGACTCTGCAAGGCTTGTTGTGCCATTGCACGCAAGAACTTCATCATATTGGCACAGCTGCCGTCCTGCCACTTGTGGCTGCGCCAGTATGTCGAACCTCGCGGCAGTGCTGCCGTTTGTGTGTGCAATGGCACAACCCTTGCAGAGTCCTGCTCCACAAGGCGGTGGCGGTGGCATGATGAGTCTCACAAAGACTCATTTCTGGCAGTTGTGGCGAGAGGGAAGCGAGATGCGTGGAGCGAAACATGAGTCTCCTTGCCATCTCTTCTCTCCCCCTCCCCCCCACGCGCTGGGCATGGCAGGGCTCCTGCCCCTTGCTTAGCCGCCTGCCCCCTTTAGGGATGCAATTTGGGAGTGGCAGGTGGGGCGGGTGAGAAGTGCGTCTTACCTTTCCAGCTCCGTCGTGTTCCTCGCTGTTGTGTCCAGGGAAACACGTTGTAAAAGAAAACTTCTTGCGAGTGTAAGAAGTTTGATGAACTCACGAGAAGGTTTTTTTTACAACGTTTCCCTGGACACAACGGCGAGGAATGCAACGGAGCTGGAAAGGTAAGAAGTGTGTCCTGCTTCTCCCCTGCCCCACCCGCCACCTCCAAATTGCATCCCTAAAGGGGGAGGATTGCTAAGCAAGGGGCAGGAGTGGAGTGCGAGGCGCGTCGCTGGCCTGCCGCTCTTTTTGCGGCGGCCATCAGCATTACCGGTAGGTACAGTAAGGGCATGTGGGGTGCATGGGGCATGTTCCCCCTCCCCTTTCCCCTCCCTCTTCCGGCCTCGCCTCCTCACATCATGTTGGCATGGCAAGCAACCAGAGGAAATCGCAGGACCAGCTTCACATGTGTATAAATAGTTCGGGGGCTTATTTTGCAGGGGGGGGGGTTATTTTATTGCATGTATTATCTAGAGAAGTCTTAGTTTCGGGGGGAAATGGTATCTCTACTGTCTTTATAGCTAAAGGGCATTAAAGTCATCTGACCCTATATGGTGGGGGAATGTAACATCTCTGGCTACACATTCCATCATCCTGAGGTTTTGATGTGAAGCTCTCTCTTCATCAGCCATCGGAATGGGTAGCAAATCACACACTTGCATTTTGTAGCAAGCTGTGTTTCAGAATAGTATTGGTACTAAGATTAGTATTAAGATTAGAATTAGAAACTGAGCATTGAAAAATATTTAGAATGGCATAAATTCAAAAAATGTGCCTGTGTATACATATCTCTCCCTGAGTCACAACTCTCCTGTAACAGAACTGTTGTTTTTGCTATGTCCCTGTCTTCTGGATCCATTTTTGGAGTGTAGCCATAAAACACTGAGTATGATCTCATCTGAAAAGAAGATTACCGCCTTTGTTGCATTTTGCTTGATAATTCTTCACTATCTCTTAAAATACTTTTGAACTTGTGTTTAAGATTATTTCCAATTTCATGTGATTCTTCAGCTGATCTCTTTTTTGGAAATATCCAATCCATGGATTGGTGATCTTTTTTTAAATTGATGTAATATGTGCTGGTGACAGTACCTTAGAAAAAAACCCAAAAATTGCAGTTGGATATAGAACGCAGAGGCCATATTTCTGTTTTTTGCTTCAGATGAAAGCAAGCAACATAGTCCTGCTCTTATTTGCGCTAGTTTTCCATAGGTTTCCAAGTTAGGTTCAAGACATACATCTCCATATAGTTGAGACTCACTTATTTAAATGAATGATTGCCCCTAAATGTATATTCCAAAAGCTACAATTTGGAATTTTGGAATTTCTTTCTCCAGAGTTCAATCTGCTTCTCTGACTATATTTAACAGTAACCCGGAAATGTATTTGTTCAACTGAAACTTTCCTCCATTTTAATTTTTGTAATGTTTAACAACAATATTTTATGCCAATGCCTATATTTTTATGTGTTTTTAAAATTTACTACTATAATTGCTTTATGATATTGATTATTTTGCATTAGATTTTATTATTAGTAATGTTTTTGTTAACCTCCATGGGCTGGCTTTGTCAGAAAAAGTTGATTATTTAGTGATTTAAGATTATGACCTGATGAATTCATTAATTTCACAGGTGTGGCCCTATGTTTGTCTAAAGTTTACTTTTTTTCTGGCTCTCAGGCACACATCTAATTCAGTTCAGTTGCTAGTGGAAGCAAGAGTTCAGCCTGCCTCATTCAAACACGTGAGTAAATAGATTTTCTAAGGTACTTGGTGTTAAAAAGTATTTATAAGCCGCCAAGAGTCACTCTGGTTAGTGAGGTAGGTAGCACGTACATTTATTAAATATATATTTTGAATATATGTAATTCAAACATGCTAAGCAGTTATTCTTTATTCCAAATAAGACTGATTACAATAAGATTGATTACAATCTTATTTGAGCAGATACTTTCTGCTCAAAACATTTTTGTATTTCCATTGTATTCTAAATAGAATTGAATAATTTAAAAGATTGTTTTCAAAGTTTTTGAAATAGGAAAACATAATTGCCATAGTAATAATATGCCAGTATTACAAAGTAATAGTGATTCATCTCCTTAAATGGAGATCTTGCTTGTTATGACTGGGATTATTGCTTTTGAGAGATGTGAATTTGTGTAGGTGTCACTATTGATTGTAAATCAGCTCCTTACCATTGTATCTATTATATACTGTATATAGGTCAACCTTGTTTAATGACCACCCATTCAGCAACCGCTCAAAACTTACAATGGTGCAGAATGAACGATACTTATGGATTGTCCTTGAAGTTCTTTATCACAGCCTCTTCAACTTGTGATTATGATGTAGCAGCAAGCCATGGTTACATGATCACAATTTCATATGTTCCCTGCCTCCCACGAGCAAAGTCAATGGGGAAACTGGCAAAAAATCATTTGAGGTTCTTGCATGGTCACATCATGTGTTTTACAACCACGGCACTTGGTGACAGCAATCCCAAGGCCTACCTGTATTATGAAGCAAGTCATATGTAACATATAAAATATAGCCACACCTCTCATTGTATATAATAATTTGCTAGGGTCTGATTAACACAGTTCCTAGAAGAAGAATAGGCAGTCTTCAAGCGGCATGTGCCCTCCCATTCAGCACCCTGAATTGCACTGTTAGAATTTAGTGGCAAAATGGCCAACTTTTGGTGACGTTATATTTGTTTAATATTGAAAACTAAGATTGGGATGCAAAAGAGAACATGAGTTTCTGGAAGTGAGACTACCTTTATTTCTATTCTTGCCCACCTACCAACCCTGAACTAACTAACTAAATAATGAAATTTTGGATTGTTCTCAGGATTTGAGGATGTTTTAAGGGTATAAATTGAAGTGGTTTATAGGTCATCTGTTCCCATCCCCATAATTTCAGCTCTGAAAAAGACATGTGGGAGAAAAAAGAATGCCATCCCTTGCATACGATGTTACTAACTGGAGGGCCTCCTGCTGTTCTGTGGAAAGTTGGAAGCCCCCATCCCCTCAAACATTGTTTCTCTTGTCTTGTAAAACTCCTTTAGCATAGTACAGCTTTATGTACTATGCTTTGTTTTATGTGAGCGATATATTTACATTGTAAATATAATCATTGTATATTTACAATTGTAATCATTGTAAAGTTAATGGAAATGTCATTAACTTTATCTCGATTTGGCAAAGTTGTGGTGCTGCCTTCCTGGTCTATATATGTTGCAGTTTCTTCTTCAGTGGGAGTTGCCCAGTTTGAAATTAAGCTGATGAAGGGAGTAGCCACTTTAATGTCCTATGTATAGTGATTGTGGTATGCACATAAACACAAGGAAGGCACTGCTTATTCCTGACAATAAATCAGAACTGAATTTGAGATATCACGATAGGTCACAGCTTTTCTAACCAATATGTTGACATTTAAAGGCATTTACTTTATTTAAACAGGCTATTATAATTCCACTTCTTTACCAATAATTTCAGTCTCTCTCTCTCTCTCTCCCTCCCTCCCTCCCTCCCTCTCTCTCTCTCTCTCTCTCTCTCTCTCTCTCTCTCTCTCTCTCTCTCTCTCTCAAACAGGCCATGGTACATTCCTCCCAGCACTGTGCAGTTTGCATGCAGTTGGTTCGAAAGGAAAACCTATTATCTCTAGCCTGTCAGCATCAGTTTTGCCGCAGCTGTTGGGAGCAGCATTGTACCGTACTTGTCAAAGATGGAGTGGGAGTTGGTAAGCGCAAAGCAATGGGTCATTTGGCTCTTTTGGGGTACACTGGTATCTCTATGTACTGCTTTCTGCTGCTGGTATATCTTCTCACAATCTTAGAAATGGAGCAGTTCAAGGGGAACGTCTTGCATTCTTTTTAAGTCTTCTTTGGATAGCAGCAGATTTTATCTTGGGTTGTGGGGTTGACAACAGCTGTTTCTTGGCCCTTTGGATTGTCTCCCAGAAATTAATATCCTACCTTCTTTGAATGGATTGTTCTCACTGAATTCTTTTTCAGCTGTTTCTGATTAAGAAGGATAATGTTTTCCATTGCTGAACAGTTCTGACAATAGTCTTTTCAGAGCCAGCTTTCCAGAAATTCTGTGAAATTGGATAGTATTTGAAGATTTTTTAAAAAACAATAATGGTCACTGGTGTCATTCAGGTCTCTGTTTTTGGCTTTTTTTTTTTTTTTTTACTAGGTGTCTCCTGCATGGCTCAGGATTGTTTGCTTCGAACTCCAGAAGATTTTGTGTTTCCACTGCTACCTAGTGAGGAGCTGAAAGATAAATACAGACGCTACCTCTTCAGGGACTACATTGAGGTATCATTTGTCACTTTATGTTCAACACTCTCTGTTTTATGCATTAAGGAAATAACCCCAGATCAATTTCTGTGAATTTGTCTGTAAGCTATGTACCTGTAAACTTAAGACTGCATCATGCACTTCCTTAAAAAGTTTCATTTGCTTTTGGAAAATTCCGTTCTGTTTGAAGGGCTTTTATTCTGGCATTGGGAATTGGAAACCTGCTTTGCGATAGCTTTGCTTTTCTCTCAACAAGTGGCTCCAGTCGGGGAAGGGGGGGATAGAAGTCCTCTTGGTGGCCCCTGTCATGTGGGGTGTTTCAGGAGTTGGTCCTTTTTCCCTGTCCTTCAGCATCTACATGTAGTTGCTGACAGAGATTATCTGATACAGGTAATCCTCAATTTATGGCCAGTTGTTTAAGGGTGGTTCGAAGTTAAAAGTGTCCTTGGAAAAAGTGACTGATGACCCTTCCTTAAAGTTATCACTGTTGCACCACTCCCATTGTCACAGTGACCATAATGTAGGCACTTGACAACAGGCTCACCTTTATAAGGGTTGCAGTGTCCTGCGGTCATGTGATTGCAATTTGAGATCTTCCTGGCTGGCTTCTAATAAGCTAAGGGAATTGGGAAAGCGGGATTCCAATGTGATTGACAATGGCCAAAGAATTCACCTAATGACCACAGCAACAATGGTCATAAAATCAAGTCCAGTCATGTGGTGACTTATTTGACAAGTCACTGAGCATTGCTTAGTGACTCAAATTCTGGCCCCAGTTGTGGTTGTCAGGCAATGACTTACTTGTAGGTTGTGAAACAGTCAACAACATGCTTAACATTGCTACCCAGATTAGGTGAGAAATGTCCTTGATACCTTAACTGATTGTCAGGGTTTGGATGGGACAGAAAATTCTGATGGTGAAGCCAAACAAAACAGATCAGTGTTTATTCTGGACTGGTCAGCACTATCCTTGAAGAACCAGATTTGCAAACTAGGGTCCTTTTGCACTCATGGCTCCTGCTAAAAGAGGTGGAAGCCATGGCATAAGAACTTTTTCAACCTTGGTAAGTGCACCAGAACAATAACGTATGTCCCCATTACCATCTGGTAAAGTTACTGTGTGGCCTACAGTTTTTAGTGCTCTGGAGCGGTAGCTGTGTGCTGGCGTGAGCCATCAAACGAAGAGAGAAAAGTGAAGAAGAGGCTACAGTTTAGCCTTGAAGTGTAGCTGCACTGTCATGTAGGCCGATAAGTTCTCCTAGCTGCTAGCCAGAGCTGTTGTGGGAAGCTGTAGAGACAGCAATCCTATTAGTCCAGAGTGGTATGTAAGTGTGAAAGCTTTGGGGACACACCCACCTCCTCAGTTACTGGAGGATGTGCTGCAGTCTGGCTGAAAATTTAAGAGTGAGAGAGAAAAGAAGGAGACTGTAGAACAGAGTGGCTGGAGAGTGAAGTTACATGAGTGTGTGGAGCAAGTTATTGAACTCCAGTTGGAGAGAGAGAAGAAAAGTCCATTGGGGGAGGGGGGGTGCCCTGGACAAAGAGAAGTCCCAGAGAGACAACGTCTACATGCAAGACCGAAGACAGGAAAGGGGGAAATGACAGCTTTGGGAAAAACCCTGGCCTCTAGGAAGTGATTGGACCAACAGCCATGAAACAGGTTCTTCCCCAAGGGAAGGACATGCAAATGGTTCAGCCAAGCAGATCTGAGGAAGAAGACGAGCCACGCTGAGCATACTTAGCCCATTTCTTTGTTTACATTCTCTTGATAAGACCAGAGTATATCGGCCTTATATGTTGACTGTCGCCTATGGTTGGGAGCATGTTATACCTATCATCAGGCCAGTGGTGAAATGTAAGATTTGTTACTACCGGTTCTGTGGGCATGGCTTGGTGGGGGGTAATGTGACGGTGGGTGTGGCCAACTTTTTTTTTTTTTTTACTTTTTAAACCATTTTTTCTACAACCCCTTCAGCTGAAGAGGTAGAAAAAATACTTTTAAAAGCTTCTGACAATCCCAGCTGAGCCACGGGATCATCAGAGGCTTTTTTTTTTTCTTTTAAAAGCATTTTTTCAGCCGAAGAGGTTGTAGAAAAAATGCTTTTAAAAATTAAAAAAAAAGCCTCTGATGATCGCGTGGCTCAGCTGGGCATGGGGGTGGGACAGGGATTTTTGCTACCGGTTCTCTGAACCATCCGCCATTGCTACCGGATCGGGTGATCCAGTCCAAACCAGGAGCATTTCACCCCTGCATCAGGCCTTTGCCATGGCTTCCAGTTGGCTTCTGGAGACATGCTAGTTTTGACTTCAAAGCCCTGTACAGGTAATCCTCAATTGAGCCGAAAATTTATGTTGCTAAGTGAAACATTTGTTAAGTGAGTTTGCCCCGTTTTATGATTTATCTTGCCACAGTTGTTAAGCAAATCACTGCATTTGTTAGGTTAGTAACACGTTTGTTAAAGTCAATGGCTTCCCCATTGACTTTGTTCGTCAGAAGATCGCAAAAGGGGGATCACATGATCCCAGGGCACAGCAACCGTCATAAACATGAACCACTTGCCAAGCGTTTTGAGTTTTGATCATGTGACCATGAGGATGCTGCAAGGGTGGTAAGTGTGAAAAATGGTCATAAGTCACTTTTTTCAGTGCCATTGTGACTTTGAAGGGTCACTAAATGAACTGTTGTAAGCCGAGGACTACCTGTAGTTTTTAGCCGTAAGACTGCTTGCTGTAATCGGAATTAGCTCTAGCTTTCAGTTCATTCCAAAGAAAACTGTTCCTGATTCCCTGCTTTCGGAGGCCCTTCTTTTTGGTAGCAGCACCAATTCTGTGGAAGAGTCTCTCTCAATGGAGAGCAGTCTACTCCCATGTTTTCCTTATATTTATTTCAAAAGTATATTTTCCTGGGAAGGCTTCCTTAAACGTTTTCCCAGAAGAAAAAAACAATTGGTCCTCCAAAAATAAAATCCACCTCACTTAAAACCAGATACAGTTTTGTTTCGATGGAGTTCTCTAAAATAATTTTTAAAGCAGACTTACAATGTTTGTCCCACAGAGCCATTTCCAGCTGCAGCTCTGTCCTGGCGCTGACTGTCCTATGGTCATACAAGTACAGGAGCCCAAAGCCCGCCGAGTGCAGTGCAATCGCTGTAATGAGGTTTTCTGGTAAGAAAGGGACATTGCATATTTGATGGACACAAATGATAGAGATGGGAAAAATAGAAAATACCTTCTTGAAAGGAGGAACAGCCTGAACAAATGCAGCAGTGACAGAAGTGACTGTCAAACTGTTGAATTTGCCATCCAGCTCCTTGGGTATAGATAGGTTTGAGAGTCTAATGTGGCTTGAAGAAGCAGGCAAATGATTAACTGTTTTGAAGATTAAACTGTGAATAGGTGAATTGCTATTACAATTCACAGGGTTGTAATATTATTACAGAGTTGTGAGAACAAGTGGACAACAAGAACTAATAAACCTCTGAGTAATTTTACAAGGAATGAGCAGCGGTTATGCAAATCAACTTCATTCTGCAAATGCCAGCATTTAGAATCAAAGAGATTGAATGTGATGGGAAAAGGGCAGTAAAAGTAGCATTTGGTAGTTGTAAATATGATTTGGAGAGATATATGTAGCTTATGGATCGTATAACCTCCTTTTGATGATCCCACTATTTCACTGCCATTTCTAAAAGCTAGGGGTATATATGGTCTGTACAAAAAAAGTGGAAACTGTCCCATGCTAATTTAAACATCAGCATATGTAGAGGTTTTGTGCTATTTTGGCTTTTTTTCTAAGTGAAATAAAAAGATGTAGGGAGTTATCAGTGTAGTATAGCATTTAAGATGTTGGACTAAAAGTGAGGAAATCCAGGTTCTAATCCTTCCTTAGACATAGAAGCTAGTCAGGTGACTTTCAGCCAATCAAAAATATCTTTTATCTACCAGCGCACTCTAGACCAGTGTGATAGATTACAGTCCATGACCTTCAGTGAAGAGGCTGCCATCCTGCACTGGATTTATTTGTGTTGATACTGTGATAACATTCCTCAGGATATTGTACTCTACTTTCTACTGCCAAATTCTGCTATTAAGTGGGATACATACAACTCCACTCAGTTTTTATGCAGAAGTATTAGGAATGCAAGCTTTGCGTATGGGTGCCGTTGTCTTTTTCAAATAGTATTTGCTTACAAGTAATAGATTTTCTTTAAACTGGACATAAATTTCTTTTTGCTTAAGTTTCAAATGTCGGCAGATGTACCACGCTCCTACAGATTGTGCTACCATCCGAAAATGGCTCACTAAGTGTGCAGATGACTCTGAAACAGCTAACTACATCAGCGCTCACACTAAAGATGTAAGTGTGTTGGGGAGGGAACACTTTTAAATATTTGTAGTTTCAAACAAATCTCTGTTTGGCTATTAATGGAGGGGTTGGTCATTGAATTATATGTCCTATATCTGAAGTGCTTATTTTACTTATCTATTTATTTATTGAATTTATATTGCGGCCTATTCACCCATGGCAACTCAGGGTGGCTTACAGAATATAAAACCACATGTAAAATAATAAAAATAATCAAATAAATTAATATAATATAATAAAATCATCCCTACCCTCCGCCCCGGCGACAGCAGATCACACAAGCTATTTAATGGGCTCCATCCCGCTCTGAGTTCCCCAGGCCCACTGGCAGAACCAGTCTTCAGCGCCTTCCGGAAGAGAATTAGAGTGGGGGCCGTTTTGATCTCTGGGGGAATGATGTTCCAGAGAGAGGGAGCCACCACGGAGAAGGCCCTTCTGGGTCCCTCCAGGTGTATCTCCCTCGGGGATGGGACCCATAATATTCCCTGCCTCCCCACTCTGATGGGTCGGGTAGATGTGACCGGCAAGAGACTGTCCCTCAGATAACCTGGTCCCAAGCCGTGAAGGGCTTTAAAGGTGACAACCAGCACCTTGAATTGCACCTGGAAGCAAATGGGCAGCCAATGCAGCTCCCGCAGGAGAGGTAATACATGTGCACACCGGGGTCTGCACAAAACCATGCGAGCTGTTGCATTTTGCACCAACTGGAGCTTCTGGATGCTCTTCAAGGGCAGTCCCAAGTAGAGCGTGTTGCAATAGTCAAGACGGGAAGTGACTAGGGCATAAGTGACTGTGAGTAGGGATTGTTGGTCCAGGAAAGGGCATAACTGGCACACAACCCGCAAAAGATTCCTCCTTGCGTCCCCTCTTTGCCCACTTATCTTGTCATTTGCCACTTATCTCCCAAATAAACAAAAGCCAAAATGGAAAGAGGGTGAAAGGGAAAAAAGGGATATTGCGAGTTCCAACCAGAAGCAATGTGGATGGACTCAGTTACAACAGTAATAAGTACACATTGGAAGACCTGATACACCAGCTTGGGAACAAATGCTGTTGTGGAAAATCTGTGTTGTTGCTAATAGTCAACACTGACATGATGGCATATAATCAAGTTGCTTGATTATACATTTGCTCATACGTTTATTAAATGTATTGCATCTCCCAAAAGAAAAGATTAGATCATATGTTTCTCCCCTTCCAAGGTAATAAGAGAATTGCTATCCTGAGCAGAAAAGTAAGATTAGCGGAATCATCTAAGACACTCATGTCAAACTCAATCACATTACGTGACATATCGTGACATTTTTTGCCTTTGTGGAGCCAGGGAGGGTGTGGCCTGCTCGTGATGCATCCGGCCCATGGGCCGCAAGTTTGACACCACTGATCTAAGATGCATACTAAAAGAATGAGAAGACCCATTTTTATGGAGAGGGAAGACTGAACATTACATTAAAAAAAAAATCTAAAAGGATTTGGATTGTAATATTAATAAATAGCATGTCAACCGAAAGAAGAACATTGCAAAAGTATTGGATTGGTTGGGATACGGATAGATTACAAAACACAAAGAGAAACACAAGACTCCCTCCCACCTCATCTGTTAAAATGCCTGGTTCAAAACCCTGCATCTTCCAAGTGAAAAGTTTCCATTGTTTATTGAAATATGGCCCTGATATATATATATATATATATATATATATATATATATATATATATATATATATATATATATATGTGTGTGTGTGTGTGTGTGTGTGTGTGTGTGTGTGTGTGTGTGTGTTTAATTAAGGAGATATAATCGAAAGAATTTAAAATAAAGCCCTTAGCTGAATCATAGAACATGTTTTCTGTGTGGAAAAAGGCTCAGATTCAGTGTTGGCACTTCCAGGCGGTGCTAGAAAAGGCTCCAGTTTGAAAGCCATTACCGTAGCTTGATAGATTAGTGGTTTCCTTTACAAGGCAAACTTCTGTGTTCTTATGAAGAGCAGAATGAAGACTCCACAATTACAGAAAAAAAAATGGAGGCCAAATGGAGTGGAAACCTGGAAGGCATATGAAGTAGGGGGGAAACTTTTGTTATGTTTCATGTTACTCTCTTGTTTTCTTCTCAGTGTCCCAAGTGCAATATCTGTATTGAAAAGAATGGTGGCTGCAATCACATGGTGAGCAGTTTCTAAATAAGCGTAAGAATCGCCTTTAAAATTTTATCTGATTTTTAGATGAAAACTTTGTGGTTTGTTAACTTCTTCTTTTTTTCTCTCTGTTTCCTCCAGCAATGTTCCAAATGCAAGCACGGTAAGTGGGTAACAACTGCTTTTTTGAACTGGGAAAATATTTTCCTGTTCTTTACTTTAAATATTATCCTGCTGATCCATTAAAGCATTTGTGGCCCTTTGATTACTGTTCTAAGGGACTCGTTCAATAGCCTGCTCAGCACAGCCCCTTAGGCTGCTCTAGGTTTCCATAAGATGGATGTTTTTCTATTAACTAGCTTTTGCCTTCTTATCTCTTGCAGACTTTTGCTGGATGTGTCTAGGGGACTGGAAGACTCATGGCAGCGAATACTATGAATGCAGTCGGTACAAAGAGAATCCTGATATTGTAAATCAGAGTCAGCAAGCACAGGCCAGGGAGGCCCTCAAGAAGTACTTGTTCTATTTTGAGAGGGTAGGAAATGTCTCCTTAGCCAAAGCTAACTATAAACTTTTCAGGGCATCCTGCCTTGTGCAGAGGCACAAGGATTAACGTCAAGAGGTCTATGTGATAAGCATTACATTCTGTGATAACAGGATGACCACAAAACCAAAATTCTGAATCCTTAAGTTTATTTTTCAAGACGTAAATGTCTTCCTAGATAATTCTTGTAACAGGAGTTTTTTTTCTTTATGGGGTCCAGCAGAAATAGTGCTACACTTTTGAAATTGGATTGCTTCTTTTGAAATGTTGCCTCCCATAAAAGTACATTTGCTATCTTACAGATTTGCCCCAGATATGCTTAAACCATTTTCTGTATCCATATATGTGTAACCAATTTTAAAATGGTGACTTTCTAGTTTCTGCTCTTAGAAATAAGATATATGGATGAAATTCATTGCTGTGTGAGTTGAATGTCACTTTTTTTATTGCTTGTGGCTGCCCTCCCAATTACTCCAAAAAATCTGGGGGGGCGGCAACCTCTCTGAAGGCGCTTCTGAGGAGAGAGAGAAACTTCAAGAGCCTATTAGATAATTTCTCACCTTGTTCTGTCAATAAAAATAGCCTTATCAGTATTCCCCCCCCCCAAAATCAGTCTGTTCCTTTTGGTTCCTTCTTAGCTTTTTTACTGTTCTTTTCAATGGAGTGTAAATGTAGTTTATCCCTATGTGTCTATTAATGGCTGATTTGACTGAATGCCAAGCATCCAGGAATTCCCTAATGACCAAAGAATATCCTTTTCAGCATCCCACGCTGAGATAAGCAGGGATTAATATCAGACAAACAGTTAAACAATACCCTAATCAAGGAACTACCAAGGAGAGAACCACACCCTTACCAAAACTGGCAGAGCAAGGTAGTGTATGTAAACAAGGAACAAACCCACATTCACTGATGATATTACCTAGTTGGGTCAAGCAAACAACCAAGCTCAGAGGGCACTAAGGACAATTACGTAGCTAACCAGATATTCCAGATGTAGTTAAACAATATTTGAGGTAATTTTTTAAAGATGACAAAATAGCATTCAGTAGGTTGCACAACTATTTATTTTATTCAAATTTACTAGCTCTCTGTCTGTGGGCAGCATACAAAACCTGAAAATCCATAAAACAGATAAAACATTAAACCAAGCAGACAGCCAAGACTAAATCTTACATACAACACAGAACAGCCCCCTCCCCTACCCAAATGCAGTCGTACATTAATATATCAATCCCAGGCCTAGGACCAAAGCCAGGTTTGTAAGAGCTTTCCAGAACTCTAGGAGAAAGGGCACCACTCTTGTCAATTTGAGGACCTTCACATTCCTCAGCTACTGGCTGTGTTCAATAATTATGCCAGAACAGGTATGTAGCTTGAGGTTTGCAGGTGTGGATGGGAAGATGAGTGTCATAAAAGAGGATCTGGAGCAGTGAAAGAAGGAAGTGGAATATTGGAGGAGAGCTGCCATTTATAGCTGTGTGCTTCCTGTCTGGGTTGACCTTTGCTTTCCAGCTCTGTAATTGAACTAGCCAATTATACCACATACCAAATGGGAATGCTGGGATAAATAAATTGCCTTGCCTTTTTTAAGAGCCCATTGACAAAAAACAGCTTGCTTTTAGAAGGTGATTGGAATGCTTTCCCCACCCCCCAGCATAATACAACTTTTTGATACTAGAAGTGCTTAGTATGGAAAACTATCCTTTTCTGCTGGATCTCAGTTAGGTTTTTTGCTTGCTTTTCCAATAAACATGTTCATTTTTATTCCTTTTCTCCATTGTGAAGTGGGAAAACCACAACAAGAGTTTACAGCTGGAGGCGCAGACATACCAGAGAATTCAAGAAAAAATCCAAGAAAGAGTCATGAACAATTTGGGAACGTGGATAGATTGGCAGTATTTACAGAATGCAGCAAAACTCCTAGCCAAGGTAACTATCTGTAAATCAGCTTTGTCAAAATACCTGAGGGCGGGGGTGGGTGGTAGGTTAGGGTATATTGCTGGGTTCATGGGTTATATAGCTATGGAACACTAACTCTGATTGTAAACCACAACTAGGTGCAATGGATATTATCAAAGGAGTTACTATGTGTTGTTCAGTACTCTGATCTGAACCTACAGCTGAAAACTAGATTAAGTTCACCTGGGATTGGTTGAGGTGTAGGAGCACATTCTGTTCTGTTCTTGATGCTTCTACTATTACCACCACCACCACAAACCTGGGAAAAGAGGAGCTCTGTTGTCTTCTGCTTTCACGAATATAGCTTACTGTATTTTCCGGCGTATAAGACGACTTTTTAACACATGAAAATCTTCTCAAAAGTTGGGGGTCGTCTTATACGCCGGGTGTCGTTCTCCTGTAACCAGGCAGACCAGCCCGAAAGGCTCTGACGAGCCTTAAATGGCTCTGGTGATCCAAGCTCTGACGATCCCAGCTGCATTGCCTGCTAATCAGGCAACGCAGCTGGGATCGCCAGAGCCACGTAAAAGGAAAAAAGTTTTCCCCCTCCAGCTTGCTTATCTTAGCTGCTAGTCGCAACGCTTGCCTTGCTTCGCTTGCCTGAATCCATTCCATCAGCAAGCCACTCCCTGCCTGCAATCAAGCAGGCAGGGAGTTGTGGACTTCAACTCCCAGAATTCCTCAGCCAGCAAAACTGGCTGAGGAATTCTGGGAGTTGAAGTCTACAAGTTTTAAAGTTGCCAAGGTTTGAGACCCCTGTTCTATTGGGTAAGTTTTTTTCCCCTTTGGGAGCTTTAAAAAAAATAGTTAATTGGGGTTTTTTTTAGTTGTTCTTTTTTAGACCTAGCCATTTAAAGTTTAGGAAGTTTTAAATTTAGCTTTCATATAAAAATAAAATAAAATAATGTTTGTGCAGCTTTCTGAGATTTAGTGTGTTTCTGTAGTGTTTCACTCTAACTACACAAACACACAAAATCTCACAAAGATGTTTGCGGAATTTTGTGTGTGTAAAGTGTAAAAGTTGTTTTTTGGGGCTTTTTGTGGCTGTGTGAGGTTCCTGCTTGTTGCAGGGGCCATTTTGGGTCTAGCACAGCTGCTTTTACATTGTGGGTGAGCCAGTTGATGTTTTTTAATTTTTATTTGGTGTGCGTTGGAAGAGGGGTAGTCTTATACGGTGAGTATAGCCCAAATCCTATATTTTAACAGGAAAAGTCGGGGGTCGTCTTATACGCCCAGTCATCTTATATGCCGGAAAATACGGTACTTATGAGCAGCTCAAGGTCAACTCAGCCTTCCATCCTTCCGAGGTCGGTAAAATGAGGACCCAGATTGTTGTTGGAAGCAATAGGCTGATTCTGTAAACCGTAAAGAGGGCTGTAAAACACTGAAGCGGTATATAAGTCTAAATGCTATTGCTGTTGCTGCAACTTCATATTGTGCCCTGGGTATTACAGTATCGTAGATAGAAGCAACTGCTAATAGGGGCTGCTTTTTCATATCATAATACATATATGGACTGCTGCCCCTGAAATTTGGAGAAGAACAGCAGATAGCTCTATTGGCCTAGTTCACGAGTACAACTTGCTAATCTTACTTCCTTTTTTAAAAATTGCAGTGTCGTTATACACTACAGTACACCTATCCATATGCCTACTACATGGAATCTGGTCCGAGGAAGAAATTGGTAAGACCATGTAGTTCTGCGTATTGAATGATAACTGAAATTCTTAAAGAGCAATGAAAAAAAAAACAAAGTTGGGACTTATACAAATCCATATCTAAAAATGGCCTAAAACCACATGGTAGCTTTCATTTACTGAAGCTGAGCTTTTTGATTCTTTGGAAGTGATGGGAGGGGAGGCCGTTGGAAGCCACAGATAAAATCTTCCAAGCTTGGAAGGGGAAGAAACAATACAGTTCTAATAAATTAAGGGGTTTTGCTTTTGGTCTTGGGATATCTGTGTATATGCCTTAAAAAGCATGTTAATGGGCAAATGACCTGTCATAAGTATAATGAGTACTGAAGAAAATGTTAAATATTTGTCACTAGCACATCCTAACTCTACTAGTTTTCAGCCAGGCTTTCAATAATTGAAAGTTCTTATAAGCCTTAATGAATATTATTACTATAAATATGATATAGGAGAATAAAGAACAAACATGCCCAAGTCTAATCAATTACAAACAAGGATTTGTCCATCCTTAATTTCATATTCTTTTATGTTGCTCGAACTGTTTGCGTTCATTGAATTAGCTGCCTGTTTTCTTAATTTGAAATGCTTCTGCTATAGATGCAAATAGTGTATAGATACAATGTATTATTAATCTGTGCTGTAAATTTGGCTGAAAGATAGAAAGAGTTTTTCCTATATCAGTCCTGGTTTTTTTTTTTCATAATGTTTTGTTTGATTTTCAGTTTGAATACCAACAGGCTCAACTTGAAGCAGAGATTGAAAATCTCTCATGGAAAGTGGAAAGAGCAGACAGTTATGACAGAGGAGTAAGTAATAAACGAAGTTCAACCCCTTTTCTCAGTCATGAACTCATTTTTTACTCAGAAGTCTGAGGAGAAATTGATTTCAATAATAAAGGATGAGAAACTACTACTGCTATTTTTGTTTTTTAAAATAATTTTTATTAGAAATTTAGAGTATATAGATACAGACTACAGACTATAAAAGATAAAAAATGAAAAAATAGAATTTCTAGCATACATACACCTTTCACAATTTATCACCATCTCTTAAAATACAAAAAATAAATTCTTCACCCCATAGGTCACCTCATTCTCTATATGCATATCGATAAAATCTCATCTTTCATCCTAATCAGCAAAGGTCTGTTAAGAATTACCAGAAATAATCATATATTTGTTATAAACTTAATCTAATAAATTCATTCAGTTTCCTTCCTTTACATTTATATCTATTTAACTCTTCTTAAATCCCCAAATCTCATCAATCCAAAAAAGTCCCTAATAAACTAAATAAAGAAATAGTAACATAACCATTCCTGTTTTTGAGGCATTGCACTGATTACTGAGGGCATCTAGATCCAATTCAAAATGATGTTTTTGACCATTAAAGTCCTTGGTTATAGAGTACTTTAGGGTCTGTCTTTTCCAGATAGAATTTGCCAGATTGTATATGCGTGCATAGACAAGACACTAAGGATATCACCCCTACAGGAATTCAGAAAGGCATGGGCATTGCTTTCTTCCTTGAAAACACCTTGCTTTCTGAGAGTGGCCCAGTAACTTCCTTTCTAGCCTTCCATAAGATAGTGAAAAAAGTTTTCTTTGAGCATTTAGGATCCAGAAGGATGGTTGTGCAAGGCAATGTTATTATTTGGGCTGCTTTACATTTTATGCTGTCGTTTAAGCAAACCTAACTTCCCCAATAGAGTGCTTTTTGCCAGAAATCAGCAGAAAAGTTCGCAAATTGCAATCACATGATCATAAGATGCTGCAATCGATTGTAAATATATGCCAGTTGCCAGGTACCTGAATTGTGATCACATGACTGCAGGGATAGTATAGTGCAACATTTGTTAAGTGTCAGTCTAGGGAGTAAGTCACTTTTTCTGAGACCACTCTAATTTTGAACTGTTGTTAAACGAACAGTCGTTAGCCAAGGAATACCTGTATATATATTGCTATGACGAATATGATGCCAGCCTATGAAGTATGTGCTTGTTAGCAATATCTTTTAATGACCTTCCATGTCAGGGAAGTGAAGGGATCTATAGCCCACAGGCAATGTTTTTGGTAGCAACTGCCTTTTTACAAAATAACTTCCCTCTACGCAGTTAGGCTGATACCCTCATATATATATATATATATATATATATATATATATGTAGATGATATATCTATCTATCTATCTATCTATCTATCTATCTATCTATCTATCTATCTATCTATCTATCTATCTATCTATCTATCTATCTATCTATATTGCATACTGGAAATTAATGAAATAATACTCCAGACAGAGCTGTTTCGGAGGCTCTTTGGATAGTGAGTGCTCGCTATTGTTGGATGATAGTTTTTCATGTTTTTATACGTTGTGGTGAAAACTGCTAGGAGTCTTCTCCTGTTTCAATAAAAGAGTATGTTTTTGTTTCCTCTAGAGTTCCTTTTAGCGTTGATCAATTTTCTCCCAGCCAATAGAAACAATAGCAATAGCACTTAGACTTATATACCACTTCACAGTGCTTTACAGCCCTTCTCTAAGCGGGTTACAGAGTCAGAGTTTACAGAAATAACCCCTTTCTTATTCCTTTTATTCCCACCCAGGATTTGGAGAATCAGATGCACATTGCTGAGCAGAGGAGGCGGACTCTGCTGAAAGATTTCCATGACACATAAGACCGCAGGAGCTACCAGGGCACAGAGCTGAGAGCAAAGTAGCAAGATGGCGGTGCGAGCAACGAGGGAAGCAATCAGAGGAACTGGCCACCGCCTTTCCATAAAACAGGGCTGAGGACATCACTGCACCTTCCCCTTGCAAACCAGACATGAGCTAGCACCACCGCTTGGTCTTCTATTTTTTCTTCTGTTTTCTGCTTTTTCATTTTTGGCAGGTAGAGGTTGAAATTCAGTTGGCATTTTTTCCTGGGACATGTTATTCCCCAGTTCTTGGATTGTTTTAGAGGGGAGTTTTATTTCCCCCGCCCCCTCCTGAATGGCTGTTAATAGTATTAGATCATTATAAACTTCTGTAATTTTTCGACAGTTGTACAGTGATACAACAGTGGTTGATACAAAGTGAACTCTAGAATAACACAGACCCCTTTTTAAAAATAAATTGGGACTGGAGAGTGTTTCTTTTTTTTTTTTTTCTTCCAATAAGCAGTTTGTAAACTTAATGGCTTACTTCTCTTTCCCCATCCCCAAATTCACTTTGCCATGAAGGTTATGAAATAGTCCAGCTGTTGGTTTGTTTTCCCCTTTTCTGGGCACTTTCTTGCTTGCTTGTCCTGGGAGTGCATGAGATGAACAGGGCCTGCGCCAAGCAGAATCAGCAGTTGCCAAAGGACAGCATAATTGTTGAAAGGTTCCTCTTCTTCTTTGACCGGGTTGGAGCAATAGGGCAAAGCTCAAGGCAGCATGGGACAGTTCTAGTCCCATCAACATGAAGTTGATCTCCTGCATGGATTTATTGCTTTGTTTTGTTTCCCTGGACTGCTACCTACTGCCAGATTTAAAATACTTGGAGGAGTTCAGGGAGCATAACCTTGCTTCTTGGCAGCATTAAGAGTGAACATTAGTTTTGTTTAGGGCAGTAGACACAACCATGTTTGGGCCATAACTTGCATATCTGTGCAGCTCAGTCCTGCGCAATCTGATTCTTTAGGTGGCTATAAGGTGATGCATCAGAGTTGATCTCTACTACCATAACAAAATCAGACTTTCCTACTATACTGAGGAAAAGTTAAATTTATTATTAAAACAAAAACAAAAAACACACACCAGCATACATCAGATCCTGCTAAATAGCCACCACTGTTTTCGAAACTGTTCTGCTGCTAGCTGAAAAGTAACCAGCAAAAAACATTGGGAGGAGTCCATAATTACTGTTAAGATTCATAGGTGGTTGCTTACTGGCAGGGGTTTGTTAACTCTTGAAATGTGTTTAATGTCAACAGTTCACATTAGAGGCAAGCTTTTAAAATGTATAAAAATAGCTATATAAAATACATATTTGGTTCTGCTGATAATCTGTCTAGAAATGGAAGATGGAGCTGCCGTTTCCTGAAGCTGCTCCAAGAGATGTCTTGAAACAGGAATTTCCTTGCATCCATGTTTACAAGAGCATGTTGCACTGAGATTTTCTATGTGCATTGCTTGTGACCTTTGGGATTGGGATTGGAAAGCTTTACAAGAATCATTATTTTCTGTTTATGACACCTATTTTCCTAGCCTTTCGGTGAAAGTTATTTTATTAGCATTTGAGATTTTGTCCTAGCTTTTGGAGGTCATCAACCAAGCCGTCATCTTCCATTCAGCTGCTGCTGCTGCCACTACTACCTCAGGCACTCCAAGGAAAATGATAAGCTTGTTTCCTAGACCCTAAGTCCTAATATGGCTTCTCTGTTCCCAGCTAACCTCAGATTAAACCAGTGGGTGGAAGAAGTAAAAAGCTTGTTGGGGATGCAGAGAAAGTGATCTTTACCCAGATTCACCCTTGCTCTTTCCCTTTGCCCATTCCACTGGACCCTGGTAGCATATGTGGTATGATGACCTCAGCAGGTTTGCTCTTTTAATCCATATCTTTGTCAAAAACAGAGATCATGCTTGTTTTTCTGGCTTAAATGTTTTAATTTCTCTGCATGAAAACCACTGCTGGGCTTTGAAACTTAGAAGCAGGCAAAACCTTTTATCAAATGCAAAATGTTCAGTGTGTATGTCAGACACTGCTTACTACGATATCTGTTTGCGTTAATTCTGTTCAGTGTTAGCACAAAATTATTGGCATCTTAATAGGGAAAACTGCTGGCTTCCTAACTTCCTCAGTAATGCTGTCCTGATCTTGCTTGCTTGCTTACACAAAGTTCAGATTTTGAGGGAGGTGAGCGTCTTTTGAAACTTTAAAGTTCAGACTGAGCTGTTTCTGCTCATGAAATTAACTAAGATAAAGCATACATGTTTCTTGTTCAGAATTATCCAATGCAGAAGAGTGGTGTTACTTGCTGTAGCTGGCAAATATCTGCGATTGATTGAATTTACAGTAGCACAATCACGATTGCGCAGGGGTGAAATCTACTTACTTGCTCTACTGGTTCGGAAGTGCATGCGCCACACGTCATGTGCGTGCTTGGACCCGCTGCGCATGCGCAAACTCTTCTACGCATGCGCAGAGGGTAAAAAACAGGTTACTTCCTGGTTAAAACCAGGAAGTAACGACGACCAGGCAGGTGAGCAGAGCCTCGTGCTGCCGCCGCTACTGGTTCTCCAAACCACCTGCCGCTGTCGCTACCAGTTCGGCCGAACCAGTCTGAACCGGTAGCATTTCACCCCTGGACTTGCGGTGGCAAAATTTTCTCTGTCTGCGACGTTTGGCATATTGTTCAGATGCTTAGATCCAATCTCACCTGGTGTACTAAGATGTAGTATACAATTGTCACATCACATAATGCAACATATTGAAGACGGGCTTCTGCTTGCTCAGGAGAATATTCTCACCTTTTGGTCTCTGTGTCAGCCCTCTGTGCCCTCCAGGGTTTGGGAAGAGATGGCTGCACAGACAGGAGGAATCTACTCAGCTGATGGGTGACAAATACATGTAATTGTTACCACACAGCTGCTCCTAAGTTTGGAATCAATAGATTCATCCCAGAGTTTAAACGTCAGTGGATTCCCTACCTCTTTTTCTTATCTTCCCTGTTCTAGAACAGCACAATGATTGGGTGCTATCTAAAAGTTTTTATCATTGGCAGAAAACAGTCCTTCCTCTAGAAATATATTCTCTTCACTCTGTAGCATTTTTCAAAGTGATCCTACGATAATAATAATAATAAAAAATAAAAACTTGTTAGAAAATTTCACTTTGTGATGGAACGGACTGTAACTAAAGGACATCTAAGCCAAAGGGAAAGCACTACATTTCCCTCACAGCAGGTTAACATCCTATACTAGGAGTTTTGGTCTTCCTCTTGTTCTATCAGGCTTAGCCTAAGCCAACCTGGCAGCTATTTTCATCCTTCCCTCTGCATGTTGAGATTGTTGGCTTGGCTTACCCTTGATCACAATGTTTATTTCACTTAGTTTGGTTTACTTTTTAAAATTCCCTCTCACAACTTGCCTTCCTGCTTTCTAAAAGAGAGGTACAGAAAGCTAAGGCAAATAACCACGTCCTGATAGTAAACACCGAAGCACGTAGGTAGTATCCAATTCTCCTGTCCAGTAGAATTCTGTACACGTCAAAAACTTTCATACAGACAGCAGTAGAGGCTGTGCAGATAAGGGAGAGATTCTGTAACGTTTTATGCTTGTACTCTTCTAGCATTCATTCTGTAGCAGTGAAATCACAATTTTCCTTTTAACACCTAACGCCATGCTAGTGTTACAGAAAGAACTGAAGACTTTTTGTTACTGTACTGTCTTGATCCATTTAAACTTGTGTTTCTGTTTTTCAAAATTCAACTTCACTTTAGTAACTTTTTGTAAAAACAAAACAAACTTCTTACGTGCTTGCTCAAGTCTGGACTGTTCCAAATTTTCAGGTAGTAGCTTCTGCTATGGAAGCTTTTTTTTTATTACGCAGAGTGCTACATTATCATGGCTGCCTTTGCTCTGTCCCTCACTGAGATTTGGGGGAAAGCAATCTCAAGAAACTGCCAACACTTTTCCGGCATTAGGAGGGGAAGAGGGCAGAGGAGAAAGAGCCCTTTAAATTTTCCCCTCCTGAAATTGTTTTATTTGAAATAAATTGTGAATTTCTAATTTTAATTAAGTGTTCTGTGGTGTTTACTCTGGCTATGTTTTCATATTTATGTGATCTCCATGTTTGAAAAAAAAAGACATTAATAGAGCAGGAAAAAGCATTGGGCAATAAAAAATGTTCAAGTAGGTTGAATATTTTCCCTATGAGAACAGGCTAAAAGGTTTTGAGATTTCTTAGGTGGAAAAAAAAACAAGTTTTTATTTCCCTTATTCTTCAGTAAAGTATTTTTATTAGTTTGTCAAAATATAAAATACAGAAATAAAAATATGAAAATAGTGGGGAAATAGGGAAGGGAAAAGAAAAAAGGAAAAAGTGTAGGATAGAGGGGAAAAGAAAAAGCAGCATTGATTTCTGATTCTTTTGCGCAGTAGATAAGGTAATAACATAGAATCTCAACTTTTTACTTTTACATAATACAGTATATACTAGCCATTTCTATAATAACAATCCTATCTAATCAGCAAAACCCCAAATCAAAGTTTCATTTTTCCCCACCTCAAGCACTAAGTCCAAAAACAATTTCCAAGTAGAAATAAAATTAATTGTATCCTTTTCTTTATTCAAAACAGTCAATTTAGCCATCTCTGCTAACTCCACTTTTTCCATTCATCCACTGAGGGAAGTTGTTCTTCTCCTATCAAAACATTAGAATTGAGGATCATCTGGTGGAACTCAGGAGATCTGGAACAGACGAAATTAGATTATTTCTTCACATACCACGCCAAACTTTAGAATTTGTTGCCATGAGATGTGGAGACTATGACTAGTGTAGATAGTTTTAAAGTGAGTTGGATAAATATTTTATAGAGGACAGGTCTGTTCAGGGCTATTGGTCTCAATATTCCCTGTTACTACTGGGTTGCAGGCAGCTTGCCTCCAAACAAAAGTTGCAGGATCATAACAGTGTCACAAGGGTCGGTCCTCTCGCCCCTTCTGTTCAACATTTATGTGAAGCCGCTGGGTGAGATCATCCGTGGCTTCGGGGTGGAGTTCCATCAGTACGCTGACAACACTCAGCTGTACATCTCCACCCCAGGCCACCCCAACGATGCCCTTGAAGTGATGTCCCAGTGCCTGGAGGCCATGCGGGCCTGGATGGGGATAAACAGGCTCCGACTCAACCCTTCCAAGACCGAGTGGCTGTGGCTTCTGGCGTCCCGATATAGCCAGCTGGTGCCATCGCTGGCTATTGGGGGCCAATCATTGGCCCCCACGGAGAGGGCTCGCAACTTAGGCGTCCTCCTGGATGCACGGCTGTCTTTAGAAGAGCATATGACGGCCATGGCCAGGGGGGCTTTCTATCAGGTTCGCCTGATACGCCAGTTGCGTCCCTTTCTGGATCGGGACTCCCTACGCACGGTCACTCAAGCACTCGTCACTTCCCGCCTGGACTACTGCAACACTCTCTACATGGGGCTCCCCTTGGGGTGCACCCGGAGGCTGCAGTTGGTCCAGAATGCGGCCACGCGGGGGATTATGGGAGCGACGGGGCACTCCCACGTGACACCTCTCCTGCGCGAGCTGCACTGGCTTCCTGTGGTCTTCCGGGTGCGCTTCAAGGTGTTGGTGATCACCTTTAAAGCGCTCCATGGCTTAGGGCCGGCGTATTTGCGAGACCGCCTTCTGCCGCCAATAGCCTCCCACCGGCCAGTTCGCTCGCACAGAGAGGGCCTCCTCAGGGTGCCATCGGCCAGACAGTGCCGGCTGGCGACCCCCAGGGGGAGAGCCTTCTCTGTGGCAGCACCAGCCCTCTGGAACGGCCTACCCCCTGAGATACGCATGATATCAGACCTCCGGACTTTTCGTCGGGCCCTAAAAACCACACTTATTCCATCTAGCTGGGCTGACTTGATCCCGTCCTTCAGTTTTAATTGATTCGGTTTTAATTTGGGTTGTTTTAAATTATTTGGGCCAAAATTATTTAATTGTTTTAAAATTGTTTTTTAAATTTTGTATACAATGTTTTATTTTGGCTGTGCACCGCCCTGAGTCCTGCGGGAGAAGGGCGGTATAGAAATAAAAATAAATAAAAAAAATAAAAAAAATAACTTTGGGGGTTAATTAAGTCTTTAGCCCGTTTGCAAGCACTCCAAGAGTGTCTGTTGGCAATCAAAATGTTGCATAAAGGTTTTTTTCTGCAGTGCAGCCTTAAACTGCTTATCTTCCATGTATAAACTGGAGATGAAGTCAGCTTAAATTACTTTCTGGATTCAGTCTCTTTTGCTTTGGCCATGGAGATGGACTGATGTTTTGGTCAGATCCATTTATTATACTCTCTAGTGTACTCCCTTTTTCCACCTTTCCTACCCAGACTTGGAAAGCAAGTATCAATTGCTTTCCTTTTATGACTAGGACTTTTGAAAGCTTAGTTATCCGCCGATAATACTTTTTGTATTAGCCCCTCAGTTGATTTACATCAATGAGGCTGTGAAAGAAAGGAAGATAGTTTTCATATTCTCACGTTGGCTAAGAGGGCAAAATAGCAGAACTGCCAACTTTATTTGGTTTAAGAAAGGCCTATCACTATTCCATTACCAAATTCATTTAAAAAGGAGGGCAGATTTTCACCAGTCCTGTTAAATTTACTTAAAAATTGGAGAGGAAAAGACATTCCTGCCATAATGCACTTTAGCCAATTGGAGCAGGGGGAAGGGAGCTACCCACAAACAAATGAAGCACAGGTGAACTGGATAGCATTACTTATACTGGTACAGGTTAGAAAGCAGATCAACCAGAAGATAGATGACTTCCTAGTTAGCTGTAAACCATGATATTGCACATTCCTGCCCTGGGAAAGTGGCCCGTACTGTTCCCCGGGGAAGCTGGGTTTTTTACCTTTCCGATCTTTTCCCCATTTTTGGTAAAAGATCATATAAAAGCAGGGTTGAAAATGTGAAATTAGGCCTGAAAACCAGCTGGGTGGCTTTGGGCCAGTCACTCACTCTGGCCAACTCACCATACAGGAGGTGGTTCTGGGGAAAATGAAGGAATACAGGTAGTCTTCAACTTGCAACCATTCATCTAGTGACTGTTCAAAGGTACAAAGTCCCTGAAAAAAGTAACTTCTATGACTATTGCAATGTGGTCATGTGATCAAAATTTGGAAGCTTGGCAACTGGCATGTATTTATGAGTTACAGTGTCCCAGCCAGGGTCATGTTTTCACCTTTTGCAACCTGACAAAAGTCAATGGGGACAACCAGATTCATTTAAACAATCGTGTTACGAACTTCACGGCAGTGCTAACTTAACAACTGTGGCAAGAAAGATAGTAAAACGGGGCAAAACTCAACTGTCCCAATAATAAAAAGCAGGATAAAAATCGAATGTTTGCAGTCAGGGGCATGGTAGTTGGCAAGAATGTAAACTGCGGTCACATGCCAGCACAGATACTATAAGCACAGATTGAGTCTTAAAATTACCATTCTGACATTTTGTGATGAGCAAACTCTTCAAAAGCACACTAGAGATTAGATTTAAGGCCCGTTTTTGATTTTTTTTGCCAGAAGTTTGCTTGAGAAGCAAAGCTAACGCCGGAAGCGTTTTGCCCTTACTAAAAAAGGTTCCAGATTCAGAGCAATGAAACAGAGGACGCCCTTTTCAAAAATGGCTTCCTATGTTACGGGTAATGAGGGAACGAGAGCGACTGTCGAGTTATCGGCGCTAAAATGGCTCTTTCCATGGCGGATAAAATCTCAGCCTCTAAGGAACGACCGCCTCCCTGTCCGAGTTCGTCTCGCACCGCGGCTCGGGCCACATCTCATTCAATTTGGGCCGGAAAGCCGCAGCAAACTCTCGCTTGGTGCGCGTGGGTGACTTCACGCCGTAGCGTGATGCTCGGGAGGAGAGTTTCTCCGCCGCGCTCGCGCGTGGTTGCCGTGGTAACGCTTCACCGAGCTTTGGCCTAGGATGGCTGCGGCGGCCGGGGCAGCGGTGGCGGCGGCGACGGCCGAGCCGGACGACGGGCCTCTCTTGCCAGGCCCTTCCGTGGGGCGACGGGCCGTCTGCTCCCGACCCTACTTCGTCGTGCTGATGGTGTTCGCGCATCTCTACGTGATCAACGTGCTGGGCTTGCTGCTTTTCGTGCACATCAGCTCCGACGATGGAGGGGAGCCGGAGCCGAGGAAAGAGGCTCCTGGCCCCGTCCAGGATGCGCCCCCCGTCCTGCCCGTTTCTTCAGGCAACTTGGACCCTCAGGCTCTGCCTCGCCTGCAGGGCATTAAGGCAAGCGCTGGGCTTCAGGGGAGACGACAAAGCGTGTGGGGGGGGGGGGGGGTTGTTGTGGCTGCTTTTGCAGGGGCTCCTTTTAGCAATAGCACTTTAAACTTACATTTCCCTGGCTAGGTGGCTCAGTGGCTAAGACACTGAGCTTGTCGATCAGAAAGGTCGGCGGTTCGAATCCCTAGTACAGGTCTCCTTCGTGAGCAGGGGGTTGGACTAGATGACCTCCAAGGTCCCTTCCAACTCTATTACTGTTACATACCACTTTACAGTCCTCTCTAAGCGGTTTTACAGAGTCAGCATAATTGCCCCTGCCCCCAACAATCTGGATCCTCATTTTACCCACCTCGGAAGGATGGAAGGCTGAGTCAACCTTGAGCCTTGGTGAGATTTGAACTGCCAAATTGCAGTCAGCAGAAGCAGCTTATAGTACTGCACTCTAACCACTGCGCCACCTTTTGTTGGTTTTTGCTTGGAAGTAAAAGTTTTAAAAAGCAGGGAGGAGCCAGTCCCCCACCTCAGACGAGCACTGGCGCCTCTGGTAAGGCATCAACGGCAGCTTTGAGGGCAGGGCTGAGTCCAAGTTTTTCTCCATCAGGTGACCGTGGCCACTTGTCTTTTGAACTCCGCATGCCCTCTATTCCGGCCCATCATGTTCCAGCAGTCTCAAAACTATGGCATTTGAAAGGCGTCGGTTTGGAGAAAGCTTAGTGACTGCTCAAAGTTACAACGGCATGGAAAAAAGCGACTTAGGACCATTTTTTCACCCTTATGAGAGTTACAGCATCCCCATGGTCACGTGATTTGCCGTCGGTTGCTTGACAACTGACTCACATTTATGACAGTTGCAATGTTCCAGGGTCACGTGATCACCTTTTGCAACCTTCTGACAAGAAAAGTCAACGGGGAAACCAGATTCACTTAACAACCAACCGCCTTACTAATTTAACAACTGCAGTGATTCACTTAACAAATGGGGCAAGAAAACTCATAAAATGGAGCAAAACTCACTGAACAAATTTCTCACATAGCAACATAAATTTGGGGCTCAATTGTGGTCATAAGTTGAGACCTTGACTTAAAACAGTTCATTTAGTGACCATTCAAAGTTACAAAGGCGCTGAAAATTGTGACTTATGATTACTTTTCATACTAGAATAGAATAGAATAACAGAGTTGGAAGGGACCTTGGAGGTCTTCTATTCCAACCCCCTGCCCAGGCAGGAAACCCTACACCACTTCAGACAAATGGTTATCCAACATCTTAAAAATTTCCAGCATTGGAGCATTCACAACTTCTTATTCACATGATCAAAATTCAGATGTTTGGCAACTGACTTATGTTTATGAGCTTTGCAGTGTCCTGAGTAACAGTAATATTTTATCATATCCAATGAAAAGAGTTTAAATTTATGCTTATTTTTAGGCATGTAATTAAACATGCTACTGCGCAACTGTATCCTGTCTGGAAAGCTTAAAGTTTTCTGATGCATAGGTGAAAGTTTTTGACCAAATCACAACCATAACTTTTTAATACGTGTGTGACATAATTCTACATATAGTTTTAAATTAGTTAATTCATTACTATCTTTTAAAGGTGGGCCATAAACAGAAGTTGCAACTGGTTCCTAACAAAATCCATGTTATGAAAACTCTCAGCTTGAAACCACTTCTTTTTGGTAAGTAATATATTTTATTTAAAATATATATCTGTACATCCAATTCCAAGTTCTAGGAGCAATCCATTTTTCGGTCTAGCATATTTATGACATATTTATGTCTTGGTAAAACCAGTGCATGGTTATCTTTTGCTTCTCTTGGTCATAGCATCAGCTGTGGTCTTCAAAGTGACTATAGCTGTCAGTCACTTTGAATAACGTTGTATAACATCAGATAATCATCATGTATATATTTCCCAGCCTCTTTGTACTGCAGCAACTTCCAGCTTGTGTTTTAAATGTCGCCTGTCAGGTTTTTCCATCAAATCTTGAAGACAGAGACAAAGACTCTGTTTTCTGTAACATTTTAACTTTTTTTACTATATGCGTAAGAGGTTAGGAGCAATCGCCAACCTTCTCTTACATACTGGAATATTGTTATTTTTCATTACTTATTTCCTATCAAGAAAGGAAAGGGGAAAAATCCACTTTTCTTGAGTTCTGATCCAGTTACACCAATTGTAGATCATTGTTTTATTGAATTCAAACAGTACCTCACAAATGGTTTTAGTAAAAGAACTGGAAGCAATATAATCTAGATGGAGCTGGTGGCAAATTTAACTTCTAATAGCCAATAGGAATATACTAAAAGAAGCTTTGAAAGCAGTTAGACTATTTTTCTCTTTCTAATGAACACATTTAATTTTGCCATCATTTATGGTATAATTCATTGATCCTGCTAATACTTTGGAAATTATTGCATTCTTACTGTTAAAGATTCCATAAGAAAAAAGATTAAAAGGAACAGAGAGGCACTGTTTCAACATACTCATTGATAACAGAGGGCTAAGATAATATTATACAGCCAGTTTCAAAGATTCTCCAACATAGCCCCTTGCTTCTTGCAATATATACTCTGAATCTTTGAGAAACGTGCTGTCTAGTTTGCAAGTTGCCATAAGGGCTTGACACATTCCTTTCTTATTTCTCTCATACACAAGATATTTTGAAGAAACTGTATAATTGGTATGTCTTCCTCCTCAGAGTTCCATAGATAGTTTAATAGAAATTAAACATTGTCTTATGCAACCTTGCATCTAGACTCGCATGCACAGTTAAAAACAGATTAAAGTCTTTTCTTTTTTTTTTAATTCTTCTCCAAAGAGTTCTAAAACAGGATTTCCCTAATCCTGTCTAAGGTTACTTCCTGAAAAGTGTGTTACAAGTTTTTTTAATACCCAAAAGCTGTCATTACTTTACATTGGCATAGAGATGCTATAACATCAATAAATCATAGAATGGAAAGGGTCCATTTAGGTAATCAGCTACTAGTTTTCCCAATTTCAGCTGAGTAAGTCTCCCATCACTACAATTTTATGCTACCTTGAAAATCTGCACATTTTTTTGAATAAGTAACTGATGGCATTGCCTTTATTTGTTCTTCTACTTATTTTAACATCTCTACATATTGCTAAATTCATTCCTTCAGGTTTATTAAAATGGAAAATATAACGAGGAAATAAGCAGTCTTACTTATTTTAAAATAATTTTTAAAAGCAAGTGCACACGGTTGCCATTGGATTCTAAATGCATATTTATAATTTATGAATTTCAGAAAGGTTTCCTTTTAGGTACAGTATGTGAGTCCGTTCATGTAAAATACAAAATAATATTTGAGCAAAACAAAACTAATTAATGGTAGAACCTTGAGAAGTAGATGATGCCAAGAAAAAAGAGAGTCATTAAGTGGTTCCTACTAAGCAATTTTGGCCCAACATTTGTCATGTTTCCATTACCACACAACAGTTTGTAGATTTCAGTTCTGATTGAGCAGTTTAGGAATCTGGTAGAGATTCAGTAGTGTGGAAAACCACCCAGTGTCCCAAATTTGCAAATAACTCATGAATATTTATATATATTTTATATTTCTTAATTGCCCATCTCTCTCAGAGAAGGGCTCTGAGCAGTGTACAATATAATCAATAAAATTATCATTAAAATCAGAATTAATTTAAGATTAACAAGTTTTAAAATTATGAAAGCAACATTATAAAATTATAAAAAGTAAAAAGATGGCATGTAAGCAGTGGTTAATACAGGGCGGGGTGGGGGGGGGAGTTCTCATGGAGCCAGCCAGCCACATGGTTGTGTGAGCTTCTTTGACCCCCATGCTGGCTGCGCAGCCAAGTTTTGACCCCTTTGTGGAAGGACAAGAGATGGGGAGCTTTCCTCACCTCTGAGGACAGGATGTTCCATAATGCAGGGGCATCATCAAAGAAGGCCCTCCTCCTAGACTCTACCAGTCGAGATAAAACTTGCTGGTATCTGCTCAGATATTGGAGATAACACAGTTTTCATTGATTCCTTGAATGTATTCCTCAGTGAAGTAAAATGAATTAAATTCTACTTTCCCTTAGATCAGGGGTGTCAGACTTTAGGCATAGCGTTGTTGTCACATGACGTATCACAACTTTTTCTCCCTTCATTAAAATGGGGGTGGGCGTGACCAGTGTGTGGCCCGTGGGCCACAGGTTTGACACCCCTGCCTTAGATACCATAATTCTAGATGTTTTCCTAATGGAAATTATTGGCAATCTTGCTATATAGGTAGGCCTAGACTTAACAAGTGTTGATATGAGGGCTGTCAAATTATCTTGAATGATGCCCACCTGAATATCTTGATTGAATGATTGTGTTGTTTGCCTGCTTAGAGATTAATCATTTTTTAAAACCACTGTTTTCCTCTCTTTGTTTAGGGGAAAAATAATATTTAGAGACATTTGTTTAGCTGGATTAATTGTTAAAGAAGCGTTGGAGTTTGGATTGCTAGGCCTGTGTGAACTAGTTAGCAGAGTTTGGGTATAAACCTAGATGTTTTATTTGCTTACAGGATGTAATTTGCAAGATTTTTATTTTAAATATGAAGCAGAAAATTAATTGTGGATAGTGGTATATATCTTATTTTGGTATGAAATTAATTTCTGTGAGTTTTATCCCTGATCTTTATTGAAAAAATTGCCCTCTCACTGCAGTTCAATGAAAGCTTTTTAAAAACGATTGCTTGTTTTCCTCATTACAAATTTATTTAATCAATAGATGGCAGGGAAGTTAAGGACAATGGTCGTCTAAGAGAAGTGTGTTTTCTTCATTTGTACTCTTCGCTATTTCTATTTCTTATGAAGCAGGTAACAGTTTCTGACCTCTGCTGGCTGAAATGAAAAGCTGAGTCTAAACTTGTATCATAAAACATAGTTTATGGTTTAGTGTGATCTGTTTACCTGATTTGTTCACAGATATTTAGGCAAAGTACCTTTTTTTAGGATTGGAAACTTTGGGAGATGTACCAAAATAGTTCTTTGCCTCATAACTATGGAACATTTAGACCCAACTATTTCTTGCCTTCATAAATCATCTTAAACATCAATATTGGTATTTGAGCAGTTTTAGATTTTTGAATGTTTTGTCTTTGGATGGGAAAATCATTTTCTTCTGCCTTTCTTCTTCCATGTTAGAAATCCCAGATTTCCTGAGTGAAGATGAATGTAAATTAATTATACATTTGGCTCAGCTGAAAGGCCTACAGAAAAGCCAGATTTTGCCCACAGAAGATTACGAAGAAGCTATGGAAATGATAGATATCAGCCAGATGGATATCTTTAATCTGCTAGATCACAACCAGGATGGACAGCTGCAACTTAAGGAGGTATTCAGAATGGAATGATGGGCTATTAACTGAGAAATATCAACCTCATTCAAGTATAAGCCTGAATCAAGTTCTGTAAGAAAAGGACTGAGAGCCCTGGGCTGGCACATACCCTTGCCTACTGTTATAACGAGAATATTAAATATATTTATAGGAGTTTGTAATTACATTTGAACTTGGATAAACTGCACTTTGTTTAACTATTTGTTTTGACAAGCTGACTTCAATATATGATACATTCTTCCTTTTATTTGGATAAAGTAAACCAATCTTTTCTTAGTCTGAATGTAATGAGAAACTCTGATTAATTAAAAATGGAGGCATAATTTCCAGTTTTGCTTTTGTGGCTATGCCAACAAGACAAAAAATGGGAGATGGGGAAGTATATGATCCTGGGGCTTGCTTCTGTAATGGAAAACAGTGAGTTAGTATTGTATCTGAATGAAGTCATACTGTGTGAATATTGAGCATTTTGAAGTATGAGGCCTTAACTATCTTTAATTGTGTTTTAACATCCTGGTACAAAATCTGCATGTCATGTCATTGACAAATATATGAGGACGAACCTCCAAATGAAACAAATAAGTAGAGGAAATTTTGTTCCTGTCTAAAAAAATTGTGGCCCTTTAAATATGCTGGGATTCAGCACAGCCAGAAATATGGGTGCTTCATAGGTGCTTCATAGCATTTACCAATTAATTTTTGAATTAATGGATTCTGCTAATGCTTCTTGATTATATACATAATTCATCTTTAACAGTAAGGTCGTCTCTGTGCACTATGTTCCAATTGCAGGTGCTGACACATACCCGCCTAGGAAATGGTAGGTGGATGACACCTGAGAGCATCCGGGAGATGTATGCCGCAGTCAAAGCAGACCCAGATGGCAATGGTAAAAACAGAATGGATGCTGCTTTTTAATGTACTGTGTAGCATTGTTCCCTTCCCTCTTATTCTGTCATGTTAGATTGGAACAAATATAAAGATAGTCATATCACAGTTTAGTATCAAGTTTAGAATCAAATCAGGAGTTAACAGAAACAGGCAAAGTTGTAACAATTAACAAGTAATTCAGTAAATATGAAGCAACTTATATTTAATTTTATGGCCAATCAGATAGCAATAATCACCAACTTTATTTTTTAAACCAAATGATACCTCTGGCTGTAGGTACTGATAGCTATTTTAAAGCCAGAGAATAATTCTTCTCTGTGATACTTTAACTTCAAGTTTTGGATTTGCATTCTCTTTTTTTAATTTCTGCTCTCCCACCCCCCACAGCTTTTTGTTTGCTAAGACCGTTCCTTTTATTAATTTTATTTAGATAAACATTCCTATTATTTAATAGCCTTTCCCCTCCATCTATGTTGGAGCTGTCCAGTTAAAGTAAAACTCATTGAGATCACCAGAGGATGGTTGGTTCCTGTGGTTCTGATGTGGCATACCTCCTGACAGCATGTTTACACTGATCAGTGTCTGGCCTGACATGGGCATGTATGTTTTTTTCCTTCATTTTATTCAGGTGTTCTGAGTTTGGAAGAATTTAAACAATTGAACATTCGAGACTTCCACAAATACATGGGTAGCCAAAAAGTGAAAATGAGCGATCTGGTGCGGAACAGCCAACATACATGGCTGTACCAAGGTGAGGGGGCACATCAGGTCATGCGCTCCATACGGCAAAGGTAAATTTATCTCACTCAGCAATTTTTACCAATTAGCCTTGCTGTTGGTTTGCTGATCAGTTTGGCCAACATGTATAAACCAGTACACTTAATGCAGCTACTTTCATTAGATGCCTAATGTGTTATTGTAAGCACTATAAATCTAAATGGCATTTTGTTGGTTAGTGATATATAAAATGTGAGAAATTGTACTTGCTGAAAACCTGAGGTAACAGCATAAAGCAGGGGTGTCAAATTCAAGGCCCATGGGGTGCTTAGATCTGGCCCGCGGGCCCCGCCCTGGAAATAGCGAGGGCCCAGCCCGCGAGGCTTCTATCAGCAAAAACGGAGCTCAGGAGGGCCTCATGCGCCCCCCTGAGCTCCATTTTTGCTGACAGAGGGTTGCAGGAGGCTGTCGCAGCCGGAAACAGCTCGCAAGGACCGTGCACGGTCCTCCTGAGCTCTGTTTTCACTGGCAGAGGGTTGCAGGAGACCATCACAGTCAAAAATGGAGCTCGGGAGCCCGTTTTCGCTGGCAGAGCGCTTGGGCCACCACAGGTGCCGCCAACATGCGTGACATTGAGCTGGCCATGCTTACCCTGGCTACGCACCCCCCCCCCCCCAAATCAAACACAACCCTGATGCGGCCCTCAATGAAATCAAGTTTGACACCCCTGGCATAGAGGATACAATTTCAAAAGGACAGTTTTTAATGAAATCTGGTCACTATGTTTATAAACAGAGTTTTCCTAATAGATTTTGCTACTTAAAATGCCTTTCTGGATAACCATGTTGAATATTGTTACATAGGATGTGTATATTTCTCTTGACTTTATAGATATTCAGTGAAATACACACACATACATCTTCCTGTGTTTTGATAATCGTTTTTCTTTTACATTTCCTTTATCTGTGTTTTGACTATTTGAGTTAAAAAAAATGAAAGCTTTAAAAAGAAAGAGTGACCCATACTTATTCAGGTGAAACAGAGAAAGCCATTGATTAGCATTTACAGCTCCTTTGTTTCAGATGATTTTGATATTTTCATTTAAATCTAATATCTTTACATTACACCACGTGTCTCAAACTCAGATGAATATTAGACCACATAAAATGTGGAAAATGGTGTGACGCATTTACGCATATTCAAAAATGCAACAAATATTAAATGTTAATGTTAATAAAATGCATGACTAAATTAATACAAAACTTACAATAATTTATAATAATATAAAATACTTTACTGAAAATTAATAAAAGCAAAAACATGTTTCCTATTATAAATCAGTATTATCATTGATCAAATTCATATAGCTGCTCATCTCATATGTATTATATTTGTGGCTGTAATCTCCAACCTATCATTTGCCCCTGTCACACTGTTTTGTTGTTCTGTGCAGATCCTGTCACCAACTAGCATGATGACAAATGGTGATATCACCAGTAGTAATCCTTCTGCGTCTGTTCAGGGCCATCACATAAAGTACAGTGTCCTTCAACAAGACAAGACAATGAGGCAGGACAGGCTCCAGCATTGCCTTAAATTTTTATCACAGGCCACATAAAATAAGTCAGCAGAGGCATGCAGTTTACAAGCCAACATTTAAAACTCCTGGTTTATAATTTGCTCTTTTGTAGATGCATGTAAAAAATGTTTAAAAACAAATGTTGACTTGTAGTAACACTCGCTGACTCACATCCTCCTTAGATTCCTGATTCTCCCCACCAGCATCATAAGCAAAAACTGCAACAAAATCTTAAAATGCCAAGCTAGAAAGACCTGTATATGTTCAGCATTATTTGCTCTTACTTAGAAATAGCAATTGTGAGGTGAATTAGAATCACTTTGCTATAGCTCTACTGCAGATCCTCTTTGTTTCAGACTATTTGTCTTAATCCTCTTACGGAATGGCTGGATGTTGTTAAGCAAGTTTATGGAAAAGATTTTAGCCAGTATGTTTAGAATTGCAACATGCATCACCCATTGTGTTATTTTCCCCCCACAATTCTTTCTGAATAGTTTAAATGCTTCCTTATTTCTTCGTGAGTTTCTATGTTCCATTTGTGTTTTAAGATTACTCTTTTTTTTTTTGTATGGGAATGGATGCAGGTGATCAAGGCCAGTATTGTGGACTGAGTGTTTTTTTAAAAAAACAATTCTGCCTCCACCAGTATGACACTTTTCAAGTAATTATTAAAAAGCCCTTTACAAATGATCTGATGGTCTGATACTGGCTAAGGAATCTCAGTGGCTTGATGGGAATGTTTGTGGGAACCTGTTCACCCTTTCTTTCCATCAGCATGCCTCTCTGCTTGTCTGCCTTCAGGGTAATTAACTTAACCCATCTGCCGCCAGAGATTGTGGAGCACAGCGAACCGATGCAGGTAGTCCGCTATGACCAGGGAGGACATTATCATGCTCATATGGATAGTGGACCAGTGTTTCCTGAAACTGCCTGTAGTCACACCAAACTGATTGCCAACGAAAGTGCTCCCTTTGAGACATCTTGCCGGTAAGCCTAGAAACTGAAGACAGAATGGGTTTCCTGGTTATCTTGTAACAGTGGTTGTCTGTTGCTTGTAGGATAGCAAGTATTGTTCTCTTTTTTACAGCTATGTGACAGTACTGTTCTACCTAAATAATGTGACGGGAGGAGGCGAAACCACTTTTCCTATTGCAGATAACAGGACTTATGAAGAGTTGGTAGGTTTGTCTTTCCTGTGCAGTATGTACTGGCTGTATCTATAAAATGTTAATTATTCATTTGGCTTATACCTCATGTTTCTACTCAAGTTCTCAAAGAAAAAAATAACAGTAAAATTCAACATGCAGAATAAAAAAACCAAAACAGTTGCTGATATTAATTTACCTCCAAGCCATTTTCTTTTCTGTGCTAGATACAGAAAAGCCTCTTCTGTAAAACATAGAAGTCAGATAGATTGGTAATGGGAAAAGCGCTCCCTAGATAATCAAGCTCTAAGCACTTTAGTGCTTTAAAAGTGAATGCCATAGCTATAAATGACACTTTATCATTGCACATCTTTTGGTATAAAAATAGCAGATCAGCTGCAGTATTTTATAGCCAATGCAACTGGCAGATGCTTTTTCAGAGTAACCCTTTGTAGAGAATATTGTGAAAGATAAGATAGCTCAAAGTTGCCAAGTCAGTTGGCTATGGAACAATAGCAGTTGGACCACTGCCGTAATTGTATAGATCCACTTCTCATCATAGCCATCAGTTGAGGATGAGGAATTAAATGTTTAAGATTCATATTACTTCCCGGATTAAAAAACGTTTTTCAGCCTCCTATTGCTTCTTCAGGCAAGAGGGAACGTTTTACTCATAAGTCTTCTCCCAGAACAGTTTACAACTGTCTAAAATCACACAAAAAAAATTATAGAGCTCTAAACTAACCTTAATTTGCAATTCCAGTAGATACCAGGAATTCTCCACTGGATAGTGGAGGTGTTTACTCTGAATAACCATGCAAAATAGGATAGTGGATGTCAGCTATTTAAATTTTATTTGCGAGTTTTCTGCAACAATAGGCTTAGCATACATTACTTGCAATAAGAAAAAAAGCTGCTGGCCAATAAATTAGGACTTTTTATTTAGTTAAAAAGTTTTAATTGTTAATTAAACACTGGATTTAGTTAAAATATAATGAGATGTTTATTGTTGGTTTCATAGATATACGTGGAGCTGTTTTAATGGGAGATCTCTATATAAGATGGAATGAATAGTGGTAATTGAAGAGATCCTTTTATACATTCCCTAATGAACACCCTTTCTTCAGTCTCTAATCCAGAATGACGTTGATCTACGTGATACTCGAAAGCACTGTGATAAGGGAAATCTACGTGTAAAACCTCTGCAAGGCACTGCTGTTTTCTGGTATAATTATCTGCCTGATGGGGAAGGTAAGTTTCTTCCTTAGGCAACCAGATAACAATCTTTCTATTTTTATTTATTTTATTTATTTATTAGATTTTTATCCCACCCATCTCCCCTACAAGGTGACACCGAGTGGCTTTTATTTACCCTCGGTTGGCTATTTTGGAAAGCTTAGAGCTGCAGAAAAGTTTGAGCTGTATTTGTGTGAAGCTGATCCCTAGAATCGTGTTTCTTTTCAGGCTGGGTTGGTGATGTTGATGAATACTCCTTACACGGAGGCTGTTTGGTCACTGAAGGAACCAAGTGGATTGCCAACAATTGGATTAATGTTGATCCCAATAAGAGGCGACAGCTCCAGTTCCAGGAGGAAATGGCTCGATACATCAACAGTGAAAATGAGGACCAAAGTGCATGGACTGTGGACAAATCCTACAGCAATGTGCATGTAGAGCTGTAATGTTTGGAGAATGCCTCTTGGTTGACTTGAAAGCACCTTTTTTGCACTAGCCATTTTCAGCTCTTCTATTCTCACGTTTCCCAATTATTATGTTTCTTCAGAGAATGTAGGGTTGCCTATCTAGGTAGATTGGGGAAAGCAGAAGCAGGGCACCTAATAATGCAGTCTGAGGGGGGAAAGGATTATTTGGCGAGAAGAGACAGTAACTGAGGGCATATTTTGATTTAATGGATGGCTTTGCTTAAGGAGATTTTGAGTCTGTCCGTGAATCTCTCCTATGACATATGCAAATCTACCTTCAAGGTTCCTTATCATCCTGACTTGTTCTGCTGGATGCAGTTTTCCTTTAGCTGGCTTTGTAACTATAATCTTGTAATCTGCCTTTCTTTCCATCTGTCCAGTTTCTTGGTCTTTTCAGGCAACTGATACGGCTTACATAAGGCCAGTAAAACCCACATCAACAAAAGGATTGCTGCATATTCTAGGTTGCTCTGTAGAGAGTGGAAACGGCCAGTCTCAGCCTGTATGGGAACAGATCAGTAAAGTGGCATAGATGTTAAGATGTTGGATGAAGACGAAGGAAACTCACGGTTCAGGTTCACCCTCTGCCTTGGAAGCCGATTGGGTGATTTTGGATCAGTTTCTCTCAGCCCAGCCTCCCTCTATGAGTGGCTATTGTGGGGATAAAATGAAGAGAGATCTGACTTGGGCTTTTGTGCAAGTGGGTGTGGGGGGAATAATTCTAACCAGTACCATATGACAGGGCAAAGTATATGTTTTCAGAAGTAAGCAAACTCCCAAGGGAAGGTGTATACGATTGCAGGCTTAAATCCAGAGTTATGCAAAGGGGTCTTGGGCATGTTTCTGTTAAAAGAACATGCAGGAACTAAAAGTACTCGAGGCCTTCCATGGGACGGTTGTATGCTCATCATGGAAATTTTTCTCAGGGTTGGACATAGTTCTGAATTACTATTCGGAAATATTTATACCAATAATTATCAGGGAAGTAATGGAACAGTTAATATGTGCAATTGGAACGTGTGTTGTATGTGCTGCAGTTGTTATTTCAGCCATTTTACTTGTGTGCTTGAGAAGTTGTTTACCTACGGGAAACCTTTTCTTCTGTTTAGTTTTTTTTTTTATTTGAGCCAGTAGCATAGTAATATTCCTTCTGGAAGATAAATATGTATTTAGATATGCAGTGTGGAACCAGCAAGTTTCTCAGTTATGAATTTTTAAAAAAATGTTCTGTAGGATTAGGCTTAAGGTATACGCAGATCATATAGCTTAGGCTTAATTATATTGTGTCTCATGAAATGAATAGCACTTTTCCGTTGTTCCTCTGCATTCAGTGAGCTACTGCCTCTGAATGAGGGGCTGGATATAGCAGTCAAGAGGGTAAGAGTATCTGGTAGACCAATCCGAAATGAATTTAGCTCCATTTTAAATCTGTCCAGTAAGCAGCCTTGCTAAGCAACATCTTGGACTGTGAACCACATTGTCTGGAATATACTTCCTAATTTTTTTTCTGACCAAGAGCCCTCAAATAAAATACAGGCAGTCCTCGTTTAGCAACTGCCTCTTTTAGCAATCGTTTGATGAAAAAGTAACAAACAATCCTCACATTTAAAGCCTTTGCAGGTCTGTGAAGCAATGGAAAGCTGAAGTAAAATCATGCGAACAATTGATGTTTCACTTAGTGACCGCTTTGCTTAACAATTAAGTTGCTGGTCCAATTGAGATGGCTAAACAAGGACTACCTGTAATCTTTTGTCATAACAAAGGTTCTTTGAGCATCACTTGATAGCCCTTTTGTGCACTTTTCCTAACTGTAAAATAAATTGGGGTGGAGGGTGGGGTAAGACTAAGCAAAAGGAGTTTCCTTTGTCTCAGTAGAGCTGCCATTCCCCCTCCACCCCTTCCTCATTTATTGCCTTGAATACAGGTAGTCCTCAACTTACGACCACAATTGAGCCCAACATTTCGGTTGCTGAGACATTTGCTAAGTGAGCTTTGCCCCCATTTTATGACCTTTCTTGCCACAGTTAAGTGAATCACTGCAATTATTAAGTTAGTAACACTTGTTCAGTGAATCTGGCTTTCCCATTGGCTTTGCTTATGAGAAGGTTGTAGAAGGTGATCACACGATCCCACGACACTACAACCGTCATAAATATGATTCAGTTGCCATGCACCTGAATTTTGATCACATGACCATGGAGATGCTGCAAGGGTCGCAAGTGTGAAAAACGGTCATAAATCACTTTTTTCAGTGCCGTTGTAACTTCGAACGGTCACTAAGTGAACTGTTGTAAGTTGAGGACTACCTGTACTGATACTTAAGTGTCAGTAATAAGAAGAAATGGCATTAAACCAGGAGAAGATGGAATTTCTGTTGCACTGCATTGCACCATAGGAGAGTACCAGTTCTTGGCAAATATTCTCATATTTTTTTTTTTTTTTTGTACAAAGGCTGGAATTAGTTTCCTTTATTCCTTTTTTCCCTCATACTCACTGGGGAGACTGAAAAAGGATTTCCAGTTGCAGAATTCTTAAAGAAATTTGGACATCTTGAGTTGAATCAAACTGCAGGTTTTGGTAATAGACATTATTAGTAGCTTGCTGCAGAAAGCAAGAGTGCTTTTGCTTTGGCCATTTAAATCACAGTGAGCAGATTTATCTCTTGTCCAGTTCAACAGAGCAGGGGTTGGTTTTGATTTGAGAAAACTAATATTGTAATGGGCCTTCTAGCCTGATGAGAAAATGAAGCGTGTTTCCCATCTCCTGTTACGTTTTGACGTTTTGGTGACTAGAGGAATATATTTTAAGGTTCAATCTGGTGGCTGCTATTTTGCCCTGGTGTCTCCATTACAATATGAACAGCATTAAGTGGTAGGACATTTGCGTGCTTCAAGACTTGCCCTTCCTACCTATAGCCTTATTGAGGTAAAAATCCATTGTTATTGTGATTGTTGCATATGGAATCAGTTTGTGTTTCTTCCGGTGAATTTCATTCCAAGCAATTAGAAGTAACCACCTCTAATTTTATTGGAGCTCTTCAGTGTTGCCTTAGAGAGTTGCATAGCGTGTTGTCTCCTAAGCCAAAAATAGCTCACCCACCATGTTACGTAATTTGGCAGATGTTTGACAGCACTCTTGCTAGTCGATTGTTGTAGTCCCAGGCAGACAAAACCCAAACCTTGGGTGCTTATGTGTCACTTGGTGGAAAACTAGTTATGTAACTCTCCTGTTCTGTTAGTGTGTTTGTGATCAGGTGAACAAGTTGCAGAATTTTCCCAGATGATACCTGAAGGATCAATTTAAAAAGCAGTGAAAACTTCGCTCCGATCCTCAGTAGTGTACTCTCAAATGTAATAGATTTAAGTGCAAATTATTTCCATGAAAAATACTTATGATTGCAGCTTTATTATAATTCCATTCTAATTTTTCATTTTTATGGGGAAAAAAATAGCTGCTTAGTAACTTGTACCCTGAAACATCTTGGGTTTTTAGATGTGGCCTTGATTCAAGAAATGTCACTGAACAGATAGTTTAATAAATCATTTAAACATTGTATTGATTCCTTTCTAAGGCCCGTTTAATGGCATCAACCTAGCATTCATTCATGGGTCCTAATTTCACAACATACTTCTGAAATGCGAATAGGTTGAATGCAAAATGGACACCACCAGCCTCCCCATTTTGCTTTTCGTGTGTGGTTTTTGGGATCTAATGTCATATATGAGAGTTTTGAGAGGGACTGTACCTCTGCCTTGGGCTTCATTCAATTAGCAGAGACTATCCCAGAAAAAATGTAGGTATGTTGTAAGAGTTAAGGAGCCATCAGTAAGGTTGGGTATGATGGCGCTTTGTGACTGCAGCCTACAAAAACAAAAACTCCTGCCAGACATGTGTGAATGCTTTAAACAGCTGCATGGCTTGAGAATAGCCTGGTTCTCTAGCTTTCAGGAATGTACAGGGTTTGTTGGGGCTCAACCACATGCAACGAAGCGAGTGGCATTTAAGACATTGGTTTGTGTTATTGAATCATGTTTTTTTTAATTATCCAAAGGGTTGTCTAGTATCCATAGAAAGACTTGAACTTCTTAGTAATTATAGCTAGTTTTTGAGTGATGTGCTTTGCCAGTTCCATATTTGTAGGTAACTGGTGAATACTGACTCTTTTATTTTTATTTGTGTGTGTTCCCTTCAATTCTTCATTTTGGATACTTTTTTTTCTTATTTAATATTTATTTAATTTATTGTGTCCCATGCACTGATGTAAGGCTGTCAGTCCTGCAAATAAATATTTGAAACCCATGTTCTTTGGATGTTCTGTTTTTAATCACACATATAACAGTCTCCATTCTATAAAATATTTTATTCTCTAAAGAGTATCAATAAAATAGCCCTATTAATGAGGACATTCCTCAACATATAAGCAGTTTCTCCTATCTGGTGCAATGGTTCTGTTTTCTAAATTTCTCTGTAATACTAACATTTATCATCACAATTTATCTTTAAATTAGCAGTCACACCTGTTTTTTTTATTTGATGCACACATACACACAGAATGCTACAGGCAGAAAATCAACCAAATGCAGTATCTAAGATGAATGTAGAGATCATCTTATGTTGAGGAAAATAAAAGGAAAATGACAGAACAGGGCATAGAGATTATTAATCTGTTAACTGTTAATCTGTATAAATGGAAAATGATAAGAAAATAGTTGATTGTTAGTAAAATTAAACTTTTTGAAACTAAATACATTAGTATCCTGTTCACACATGAAAAGGTTTAATATTCTATAAAAATTACTACTTTAATTTCCTGTTTCAAAAACATTTAAAATCTACATATTCTCATTTTAGAAGAATTAAGGTCAAGAAAATCATGGTATTTTTACAACCTTCAGACAGCTTCCATAACATTAAAAATCCTTCGTTAAAAAGTTATTTTAAATCTCTAGATAAAATGAATATTGTTAAAATTAACAATGAGCCTTGGTGGCACACTGGTTAGAGTGCAGTACTGCAAGCTAATTCTGCTGATTGCCAGGAGTTCGATCAAGGTTGACTCGGCCTTACATCCTTCCGAGGCCGATAAAATGAGGCCCCAGATTATTGGGGACAATATGCTGACTGTAAACTGCTTAGGGCTGTAAAACACTATGAAGCGGTATATAAGTCTATGTGCTATTGCTTATTAAAGCACAGAAGATATAAATAGGAACTATACACAGAATCTGGAAACTGATCCATATTAAGAGAAAAAAATGCCCAGGAATAAAACCTATCCTGGAGAAAAAAAAGCTGTTGCATTTATGAACCGATAGTTTGATATTTTTTTTCTCTGAAAACTCAAAAAAATTTCAATGGCTTTTTAAATCCTTCTAAATGCCCGTAATCAATTGAATCAACCTTTTGACAATCCTAGTGTTTGGAACAAGGGAGGAAGGAAACTAGCGGAGGTGTCAGCATTAGACTTGCCCTCTGCAAGGTGCTAGCTGCAGACAACGGCATCAGCTGCTTCTAGCTGCATATCAGTCTTCTCTGGGATACAACATTGTCATGCTTTCCAGCTATAGTAGGCACTGGGGCTACAGCTCCCCTTGTCCTGGCTATTCTGGCTGGAGAACACGAGAGCTATAATTAAACAGATCTAGAGGGAATCAGATAGAGAATCTAATTGCTTGCAGCTTAGCTTGATGGAAAGACTCAGGGCAATGGGTTGCTTACGTTACATACTGCAATAGCCCATGTCTGCCTCTCAAAGGGCAAAGGCCACTGAACAAAGCAGGAGAGGGAAGAGATAACTTCATTGTGCCGGCAATGCCAGAAATTCAGCTGAGTGCTGGGTTGTAGGAACAGCAAAGCCTCTTGTTGGCTGGACCCTCAGAGCAAATGAGTGCAGTTCCCTCTGGGGAGCAGAGCCATTGGCCTTTCCACCTCTCCACAGAGCATTTCATCAAATCGGGCTATCAAAATCCAGAGGACCATAAGACAGCAGCAAACTTTTTTTTAAAAAAAAAAAATCTTAGTGTGTTACATTGGCTGGCTGGATTTTGGTTGTCCAGATAATTATAATCCTATTATATCAACAAAATGCAAAAATAATTATGATGAATACATTCTGAAAGGGAAAAAACTGCTTTAGAAAAAAGTGAAAACAATAGAAAAGAAAAAAGTATACTGTATCATAGGTTAACAGCTACAACTCTATATATACTTACCTAATGCAAATATTCCTGGCAGGGTGGATAAAAATCAATGATTTTTTTAAAAAAAATTAAAAAAAAACAGATTTTTTTTATTTAAATCGGATTTTTTTTTATTTTTATCAAATTCATTTTAATAAAATGCTTTTGGAGCAAAAAATCTATCTAAAGATAGTTTCTATTTAAGATACATTAATCATTTTGTTTATTCAGCATGAAATGGAGCTTAGTTATGTAGCATGAGGCTGTATATTCTGCAATATTGGGACTCTCGGTGAGTCAACAGCAGGTCACAGGAGGAGCCGCTGAGGGACAGAGATGGCAGTTGCTCTTTAAAAATTATGATTTAAATCTAGTTGATTTAAATCAAGCCTTTTTACTAGTGATTTAAATCATGATTTAAATCGTGATTTAAATCAACTTGATTTAAATCAAATCCACCCTGATTCCTGGGCTCCAAGATCACCGCAGATAGGGACTGCAGCCAAGAAATTAAAAGATGCTTGCTCCTGGGGACGAAAGCTATGGCAAATCCAGACAGCATTCTAAAAAGCAGAGACATCACCCTGCCAACAAAAGTGCGTATAGTCAAGGCTATGGTTTGCCCAGTTGCAATGTATGGCTGTAAAAGTTGGACCATAAGAAAGGCTGAATTGAGGCCTTTGAACTATGGTGCTGGAGAAGACTCCTGCGAGTCCCTTGGACTGCAAGGCGATCAAACCAGTCAATCCTAGAGGAGATCAACCCTGACTGCTCTTTAGAAGGCCAGATCCTGAAGATGAAACTCAAATACTGTGGCCACCTAATGAGAAGGAAGGACTCACTGGAAAAGAGCCTAATGCTGGGAAAGATTGAGGGCAAAAGAAGGGGACAACAGAGAACGAGGTGGCTGGATGGAGTCACTGAAGCAGTAGGCGTGAGCTTAAATGGACTCCAGAGGATGGTAGAGGACAGGAAGGCCTGGAGGAACGTTGTCCATGGGGTCGCGATGGGTCGGACATGACTTCGCAATTAACAACAATGCAAATATTATTCAAGTGTATATATATTTATTTCTAACACACATAATTATCATTCTTTTTCACCTTATGTATTCTGCATAAATGAGTTCCATACAGTATTTCATTATATTTGACCCTAAAAAGTCTAATAAGTTTAATTTAATTTAATTAATTCAATTTATATGCTGCTCCTCTCCGAAGACTCAGGGCAGCTCAGGAGAAAGTAGTGGATTCTATAAATATAACTGCTTGGCAAACGCTAACATTTTCAGAGGATAATATTCTCTTGAATAACATGCTTAATGCATGGAATTTGAGAACTGGACAACGTAATTGCTTATAGAAAATAAATACTTGTAGAAAGTAAAAAATATATATATCCATACCCTTATTATGGCCAAAAGACTGATGATATTGCAGCCTTGGAAAGACAAATGTATGGCCACTTTTACTGTCGACCGGATTCACTTGCCCCAGTGGGTAAGACACTGAGCTTGTCGATCAGAAAGGTCGCCAGTTCAGCGGTTCGAATCCCTAGTACTGGTCTCCTGCATGAGCAGGGGGTTGGACTAGATGACCTCCAAGGCCCCTTCCAACTCTGTTACTGTTAGACTGCCTACAATCGTAGAAATCCACACATCTAAACAGCCGCCAAGTTTGAGAAACGTTGCAAACGGCTCCGAATTCCTGCTCTCTTTCTAGCTTTTGAAACGAATCCCACAAAAGATCGCTTTTCTCTTTGGCTCCGGGCGAATCGCATCACGGAAACTGTCTCGGGCTCCTTGAGACACACAGACCTTTGCTGTGATGTTGCCGTAAAGTTGCTCTTGCTTTTTCCCTCGCGTCCCTTTTCACCCAGGCCTCGCTCCGATTTCGAGATCCGGCTGTTTCGTTACGTTCCGGAATCCTTTCCTTGGGTGGTGCCCAGCTTTCGATGGGCAGATAATTCGGCCCCGCTGTCCCTTTAAGAAAACGTTCCTTCCCTTTCGCTACAATCGAATCTCTCCCAGGCGAGAGAGAGAGAGAGAGAGAGAGCCAACCTTAGCGACCGCTGTCCAATGGCGTCTCTCGGCGAAAGGGAAGCGGGAACGAGCCTCCCGAGGCAGAGCCAATCAGTAGCGGCCCGTGTATGAGAGGTGAGAATTCTAAAGACTTCTTAACTCGCGAGATCCTTGCGCGAAGGTTCCGCCACGTTACTTTCTTTCCTTCTCCGCTGTTTTTGTTCCTTGCTCTGTTTGCCGGGCGGAAAGCAGAAGAGTTGTTCGGGTTTTTTATATTTGATGGCCTCAGCCTGGCCTGCCTGAGTCCTGGTTACACAGGCGCCTCTTTTAGGCTTCCTGCTCTGTAGACACCCGAACGTGGAGTAAATGTGCTCGGCTCTGTAAAATGGAATTATCCGGAAAAAACATACACCGGCGGACGGGTGACCAAGTGGTATTTGCAACATTTTACAGCAGAAATTAATTCTGATTTTATCTGCCTTGAGCCAGAACTTGGAAAAAAACCAGATTCTAGGCTTCCCATTGCTGCATCAGAACGTCTTCCTGTCTTGCATTCTTCATTAAGTCCCATGGAGTCGTTCTCAGTGATCCCGAAAGATCGGGTTTCCTCCAGATGATCCTTCTTCCGCTTTTAGGTCTCCCAGTGGCGGATTTCACCTTGTGGCTGGTGGTCACTTTCCAACTGTAAATCCGTGGAACGACTTGCCTCCAGAAGTTATGAATGCTCCAACACTGGAAATTTTTAAGAAGAGGTTAGATAACCATTTGTCTGAAGTGGTGGTGTAGGGTTTCCTGCCTAAGCAGGGGGTTGGACTAGAAGACCTCCAAGGTCCCTTCCGACTCTGTTATTCTACTCTGTTATTCCTTGCGTTATGGGCTTCTCCAGACAGTTGGATCCCCACACGGTGTGTCGAAAGTACAATAGTTTGAACATGATTATTTGTTACCGCAAGAGAAAATTCTGCATTGATTCTTCAAAATAGGCTTCCGAAGCTCCCCACAGGCATAGGTGGGTCCTCTTCTTGGCATTCAAGACCGCAACAACTAGGTCAAAACAGACCCTACTTTCTAAATACTGTGTTTACATCAATTCCCTTAATGTAATAAAGTCTATAGTTTTTGCATTTTATTTTTAGTTCCCTACTTTCTAATGCTCCTAGATAGACTTAATTTTCTGAGACCCCCCATTCAAAAATATTTTCCATTTAAAAATAAAATATGTATCTGGCTGTTCAAAACTTAACTTGGCAACTGTCTTTTATAACCAGGTGTGTTGATTCTGCTTGGGAGCAGCTCTTCACGATTCCTCTGTTGTACATCAAAAGGTAGCTTGTTCCCATATTTTCCTGTTTGAGGTGATGCAGATCTATAGGGTGGGCTAATCATTTTTCCCCTTTCCTCAGAGGTCTGCATATATCCGTATATAAAGGAGAGAGAATCAGGAGGGGTTTTCACCTCCCATCCTTGAAAAGTCATGGAAACAGAACTACTATTGGCTCCTATAACAGCTCTGGAGATGGTGGGAGATCATCTTATAGCAGGTGAATATCTTAACTTTTTCTACAATGGGAGGCCAGAATCCCCACTTTTTCCCCATTTCTTGGGGATAGGGGGCATTGTCACACGGGCCAAATATGAAGCTTGCTATTCAAGGTTAACAATCATTTTGCTGTAGGTCGTTTTTAAAGTCAGTTTTCTGCTAAGCTAAACCAAGAACACTCCCCACCCTAATTAAAAGCTGGCAGAATATAATGGCCTGTGATGAAAGCCTAGAATAAAAGGAGCAGCAAATAGGAATCCAGTTTAGGATCAATAAGACTACTATGTATGAAATATGTTAATGGAGTTCATGGGAATTTGGCAATCAAATATATGTGGAATGGCAATTCTGGGAAATTGGTATGATGATTGGTATGATGACTTGATAGCATGCGAAATATGCTGACTTGGCATTCTGGTGTTTCTCTTCCTTTAGGAGAAGGACCCTATGTAGGCATATATAGTTTGTCGCCCGATGCCAGCCCGTTAGCAAGATGCTCCAGGCAGGTCCTTCAGAACTATACTGTCCATGGTATTAAGGAGCAGCAGAGTTTGAGTCCTGGAGGTAACCAATCCTCAACCCTGGCTATCTTTGGAGGCAAAAGCTTTGTGGTTGTAGAGCTCAGCTTCCAGAGCAGCTCAGTGGAACTCAATGAAGTCTTTCCTTTCTGTGAGCTGCACGACTGGATCTGGGACCTGCAGTGGATGGAAGGCAGGACTGAGAGGCCCAGCAGTGTGGCTGTGGCCTTGGGACACAATTCAGTGGCACTATATGACTGCGTCGGCCAGAGGGTTCTCCAAGAAGTGCACTGCCAAGAGAAGTGTATCCTGTATTCTGCCCACTTGGTGGGGAGCCGCTGGGAGACGTTGGTTCTGGTGGCTGGCACCGTCTTTCATCAGTTGGTGGTCTGGCGTGTGACTGACCAGACAGATGACACTGGAAGAATAAAGCCCCGCAGCAGGATCAGTGGACACAGCGGCGTCATCTTCAGCATTTGCTTCTTGGAAAGCCAGGGCATCCTGGCCTCTGCCTCCGACGACAGGAGTGTTCGGCTCTGGAGCATCTGTGACCTCAGAACACCTCCTGCTGTGGTCCCGTGCTTGCTGGTGTGCTACGGGCACCAGTCCAGAGTCTGGTCAGTAAGACTGCTGAGGGACTACATCATCAGCATTGGTGAGGATTCAGCCTGTCTTGTGTGGACTTATCAGGGCAAGATTGTCCACAGCTTCAAAGGACACAAGGGCCAAGGACTCCGGGCGGTGGCTGTGGATGAGGAGCGAGGCTGGGTGTTTACAGGGGGAGCCGATTCGGGCATTAGACAATGGTGCCTCAAGGAAAGAAGCAGCACTGGAAACAGGCTCCGGCAACTGGATTTTCCTTCCACTGGCAGAAAAGGATCCCCCAGGGCAGTAAAACTGGTGGATGAAAACCATCTGCTGGTGATGACCGATGCCGGGGCTGTCTATTCCTGTGACTTGACTCCTAAAACTTGGGCACTGCTCCTGGAGGATGCTGCTTATCAGTCTTACAGTCTCTTGGAAGTGTCCAAGCTTGCCAGTGGAGGCATTCTCTGTGCCATGGGCAACTTGTCAGGGCAGGTGAAAGTTTTCCCGTTCAGCAGTCCCGCACAAAGCAAGGAGTTAAACCTCTTTGAAGGGAAAGTGCACACTTTGACTTGGGCCACGGAGCTAAACCGGGACCCCAATACTTGCAACCTCTTTGCTTCTGGCCCGGCTGGGGCTTTGCTGCGGCTGGAGATCTCTTGGCGCCCACTTGGGGGAACAACAGTGGTGGTAAAGCAATGTTTTCTCCTGCCGGTCTGTAAGCAGCGATGGCACACCTGCATTGCTTTTTTGCCCCGAGGAGAGTTTCTGCTTTGTGGCGACCGCAGAGGCTCTCTTATGATGTTTGCCTGCAAGCCAACTCCGGGAGTGGAAGAAGCACAAGGGAGAGATGAACCCAGCTGTTCTACTTCAGAAACCGCCTGTGCCTTGCCTGGATTTTCCTTCCCTATTGGAAGTGGAGAGCCCCATGCCGAGAGGCCTGTTTCTCTGCTTTTCGGGCTTCATGGGAAACAGGGGGTGACCTCCGTAACCTGCCACGGCGGCTTTATTTACAGCACGGGGAGAGACAGCTGCTATCGCCAGCTGCAAGTGAAGGATCGGCAGCTCCAAGTGCTGAGGAAGCAAAAGCCGTGCAAAGACCTAGAATGGCTGGAAGAGCTACGCTTTGGCCCCAATGGGAGCCTGAGGGTGCTCGGCTTCCATGCTACCCACTTTGTAATTTGGAGCGCCAGCAGCAATGAGAAGCTCCTCTGCATTCCCTGCGGGGGTGGCCACCGCTCCTGGAGCTACGCCCGCTGCCTTTCCGTGGAGACCTTTGCGTATATCAAATCTGGGGAAATTTGGTTGTACCAAAGTAAAGACGCCTCCAGTGGGCAGCGAATCCTGAAAGCTGCTCTGCACGGCAAGGGGATGACATGTGTGTGTCACGTCGGTACCCTGGAAGCCCCTGGGCGAGAGACGATCAGTGTTTTTGCTACAGGAAGTGAGGACAATACGGTGAACGTTCTCGCTTTTAATGTGCAAACTCGCAGAGTGACCCAGCTCGCTGCTCTTGGCGACCACATCTCCAGTATAAGAGCTCTGACTGTGGTCCAGAACGGCCTTAGTCAGCCTGAGAGGGAAAGGATCTCCGCCATGCTTTTTTCTGCAGGGGGACGAGCCCAGATCGAGTGTTACCGATTAGCGCTCAGCCCTAAGCCTGGTTCCAGCAGCGGGGTAGCCTGTCAGCTGGTTCATGTGGCATCGCATCGTTTAGATGAGCAGTGGGACTACAAGAAGAATAAGCACAAACTCATCAAGATGGATCCAGAAACCAGGTAGAAATAAATGGTCTTTCCCTATAACAATAGCACTTAGACCAGTGATGATGAACTTTTTAGACACTGAGTGCCCAAACTGAAAGATGCGCGCAAACGCGTGCATGCATTGGCATGCACGGACATACATGGACATGTGCATACATGCGCAGCAGAGACCTGAAGACCAGCTGCCTGGCGAGAGGCAGAGCATCCCAACACCGGCAGCATGGCAAGAGATAAGCTCTTTTTCTTTCGTGAGCTTCTGTTTCGTCATTTGCAGAGAAACAAAAGCTCACGAAAGAAACGCCACGGAGATCTGACCTGGGGCGACAGTGCGTGTGCCAGCAGAGAGGGCTCTGCATACCATCTCTGGCATACATGCCATAGGTTCGCCATCATGGACTTAGACATATACCGCTTCACAGTGCTTTGCAGCCCTCTCTAAGCGGTTTATGGAGTCAGCATATTGCCCCCAACCATCTGAGTCCTCATTTTACCCACCTCGGAAAATATATAACTCTATTAGGACAACCTGCACTGGTGCTATGACTGATCCTCATATACAGAGTATAAAGCCTTGTTTAGCTTTGAGTCTAGGCTGTTGATTCTCTTTGTGTCCTCAGCTCCTTCAACACGTGTGCATGTATACAGTACTTATACTTAGTATAAGTACTGTATTTTTCAGAGTATAAGATGCTCTGGACTATAAGACGCACCTACCTTTTTTGGTGAGGAAAACAAGAAAAAGAAATCTGCCTCTGCCTCCCAGTAATTTTGCCTCCTTGCAGCAAACAACAAATAGCCTGCTTTACTTTCATTTTCGTTTTCAGCATAGCTTGATTAGCACAAGAAAAAAACATCTGCTCCCAGCTATTTACTTCCTTGCAGCAAGCAGCAGAGGCCCCTGCAAAACAGCTGAGAGCAAAACAGCTGAAAGTCGGGAGGCCTATCTAATCAACTTGTGCTAATTAGGCTGTGCTGAAGCTGAAACGAGCTGTTTCTTCTTGTTGCTTGCTGCAAGGAGATAACTGCTGGGAGGCAGAGGCCAAAGGGTGGGGGCCAGTGGGTGGGCAGGGCTACATTCGGTGTATAAGACGTACCTAAATTTAGGAGGGGGAAGGTGCATCTTATACTCCGAAAAATACGGTAATCTTCATTTAATGGCTGGTTGCATAGCAAGTTTGACATTGCAATGGAAAAGGTTTTTATGACCCGATTTCAAAGTTCCGACACCACAATCATGCACACGTGCGCATATCCACACACAGCCACAGAGTGACATGATTTCATTTGGCAACTGGCTTGCATTTTGGGCCATTTGCAGTTCACAGGACTGCAATTTTTGGAGTTTTTGCCAATTTCCAAGGTTTGCATCCAGTTTCTGGCATAAGCTCAGTGGATAAAATGGATTGACTTAATGACAGCCACAAAAAAGTTGTAAAATGGAGCATGGTTATGTGATGACCCGCTTAACGACTGTAACAATTTAGGACTATAATCTGTTCTAGGCTCAGTTACAGTAGTCGTGAGTCAAGAACGACCTGTATTCATTTCTAATTGCCCTCCAGTGTAATTTTCATGATGGTTTGGTTTTTTGCTTTTTTTCACAATTCAGTCAGGTATTGCCTATAATGACAGCTGATCTAATAGAAACTTCACCAGTAAGCGGCAAAACTTATTGAGGCTCCAGGAGTTGCATCAAAATATCAAAACTACTGCGAGATTTTTCAACCTGCTTTGTGGTTTTTCTAAAATCTTGCACACTCCCAAACATTGATGAAATTGTCAGCAGAATTCTGCAAAGTTGGATTTTGTCAACAAACTTCTGCAATATTGAAGGGGAGGGGTATCTGCAGAATACACACACACAAATACACACCTAATGAACATAGGGAAGCCATCAGTCTTTCACAAATAATCTTAAAACTAAGATTGAAAAGACATGAAAAGGATCATCATATGATTTTGTTTTTTAACCAAAATGTCTGAACATAAATCTCTCTCCTCCAAATTTAAATCTTAGAAGGATGGAACATCCTGGTATTCTGTGGAAGTAGTGATATTTAACAGAGAAATGTGTGCGTGCTTTGATTTTGCAGTTCCCCCCAGAACATGTAACCATGCAGTTGTGTCATGCTGTCTGGGGAAATCTGGGAGCCAAAGTCCACACATCTTAAAATTGCTGGGAAACACTGGTCTAAACCATTAGAGCAGATTTTTGTTCCAATTGTGGTGTAGTGTTTTTAGCATTTGTGTCCAGTAAAGAGAACTGGTGAATCTATAATAGATACCAGACAGTAAGCAGCATGGCATTTTCTAGCTTGCATAATGGCTGTTTCTCTTCTGGAATGAAAAGCTGGCAGCGAATGAAAACCTTCTGGAAGAAGTGACTGGCTTCTGTGTTCCAGGTACATGTCTGTGGTGGTACTTGCTAGGATGGAAGAGATGGAATTGCCCGGTCCCTTGTGCTTCCTAGCTGCTGCTTGTAGTGATGGATCTGTCCGGTAAGGAAAATAATTCTGCTCCTCTGGTTGGGGATTCGGATGGCTAGAATGGTCTTTGCTTGTCAGAGCAAATACACCCAGAGATGAGGGAAGTAGGGCAAAAAAAAAAAAGACAAGGTGGGGCAGATGCTGTTTACTCCTATGAAGCATTTCCCCCACATTCAAGCAAGAAACAGGAACAGTCTTAGGTATTTAAAGAACTTACAAAACAGCCTCTCTCACAGCAGTGACTCTAGGTGGTGTGCAAAGATTAAAACATCATGACAGTATAAATGAATGACACCTCAGGTAAATAATAACCTCCCAAATAAAAACTGCATCACCAACTGAATTCATCTAATTATCTCTCCCAAAAGTCTGGAGGAACGGCCACTCTTCAAAGCTTTACAAACAGCTAATGGGCCCCTCTGGATCCAAGATGGTTAAACATGACAAACAGTTGCAGGAACTGGGTATCTCTAGTTTTAGAATAGAATAGCAGAGTTGGAAGGGACCTTGGAGGTCTAGTTCAACCCCCTGCTTAAGCAGGAAACCCTACACCACTTCAGACAAATGGTTATCCAACAACTTCTTAAAAACTTCCAGTGTTGGAGCATTTACAACTTCTGGAGGCAAGTCGTTCCATTGATTAATTGTTCTAACTGTCAGGAAATTTCTCCTTAGTTCTAGGTTGCTTCTCTTCTTGATTAGTTTCCACCCATTGCTTCTTGTTCTACCCTCAGGTGCTTTGGAGAATAGCTTGACTCCCTCTTCTTTGTGGCAGCCCCTGAGGTATTGGAACACTGCTATCATGTCTCCCCTAGTCCTTCTTTTCATCAAACTAGACATACCCAGTTCCTGCAACCGTTCTTCATATGTTTTAGCCTCCAGTCCCCTAATCATCTTTGTTGCTCTTCTCTGCACTCTTTCTAGAGTCTCCACATCTTTTTTACATCGTGGCGACCAAAACTGTATGCAGTATTCCAAGTGTGGCCTTACCAAGTGTGGCATTATAAAGTGGTATTAACACTTCACGTGATCTTGATTCTATCCCTCTGTTTATGCAGCCTAGAACTGTGTTGGCTTTTGTGGCAGCTGCTACACACTGCTGGCTCATATTAAACTGATTGTCCACTAGGACTCTCACAGTTACTACTATTGAGCAAGGCAGTTTAACAAAGAGAAGGTCTAGGGGTAGCATGATAGCAATCTTCTAATATTTGAGGGGCTGTCAGACAGAAGAGGGAACAACCTATTCTCCAAAGCCCCTGAGGGCAAGACAAGAAGTAATAGATGGAAAATTATCAAAGAGAGATCCGACCTAGAACTAAGGAGAAATTTCCTGACAGTGAGAACAATTACCATAATCAGTTGAACGGCTTGCCTTCAAAAGCTGTGGGTGCTTCATCACTGGAAGTTTTTAAGAAGAGGTTGGACAGCCATTTGTCTGGAATAGTATAGGGTTTCCTGCTTGAGCAGGGGGTTGGACTAAGAGAGCTCCAAGGTCCCTTCCAATTCTATTATTCTGTATTCTATATCTCTGGGGGGGGGGGGGGTGTTGCAGTTCCAGAGCTGTAGAAAGAGTTTGGCTCTGGAGTCCAACAAGATGGTGTTTTTTTAATGAAAGATATATAAATTATATATATAAATTAAATTAATAAATAAATAAAGAGACCTGGAAATAACATGCCCTTCCTGATAGACCTGGTGGAGCAGGCAGAAACAATGAGAGATCGCCTGGTCCTATGCCATGTAAGGCTTTATAGATGGCGACCTTGAACTGGATTCAGAAGCCTACTTGGAGTCAGTGTAGCTCACAGAGCAGAAGTGTTATATAAACATATCAAGAAGGCTGTAGAGATTCTCAGTCATCCAGGACATCATTGTCCCAAAGATGCTTTTTCAGGAGGCAACTGGACTGCCTTTTTTTTTCTTTGAAGACGTTTCACTTTTCACCCAAGAAGCTTCTTCAGCTCTGACTGGATGGTGGGGAATGGAAGGATTTATACTCCTTGCAGTCATCTGGTGCTAACAAGTGCTAATGACCAAGATGACTGCAAGGAATATACTGTAAATCCATCCATTCCCCCCATCCAGTCAGAGCTGAAGAAGCTTCTTGGATGAGAAGCGAAAAAACGCCTTCAAAGAAAAACAAGGAAGTCCAGGTGCCTCCTGAAAAAGCACCTTTGGGACAGCATATCAACAGAGACCCTGGAGCAGGGGTGAAATCTACTTACCTTCCTTACCGGTTTGGAAGCGCATGATCTGTGCGCGCACAGACCTTCTGCGTATGCACAATACCTTTGCATGCGCAGAAGGTAAAAAACATTACTTCCTGTTTAAAACCAGAAAGTAATGACATCCGGGCAGGTGGGCGAAGCTTTGCTTCGCCATTGCTACTGGATCGCCGAACCACCGGCCGAGATTGCTACCGGATCAGGCGATCCTGTCCAATCCGGGAGCATTTCACCCCTGCCCTGAAGAAAATATGAGCTCTGTATCCATTTAAGTGCCTTCTTTCCTTTTTTTTGGTAGACTGTTCCTGCTGCTTGAGAATGCCAAGAAGTTGTGTCTTGTAGCAGAATCCTTTCACCATCAGCACTGTGTCCTGAAGGTCGAGGCATTTGCCTACAAGATGGCTAGTGGGAGAAGGTAGGAATACAGATGCAACGGCATGTGAGTGCCATCTCCCTTGGCTCAAGAGATGTTGCATGAAGTTTGGAGGACTGGAGGACTGCAAGAACTAATTTTAGAAATACCTCTTTCTTTTACAGGAGACACTTTATGGGCAGTGCGGCCACTGATGGTAGCATTGCATTTTGGGACATTACTGCTGCCCTCGGCCATTTTGCAGCAATAGTAAAGACAGGAGACATTCAGATGAAACCTCTAGGTAGGTGTTGGCGGTCCTGATGACGCAGCCAGCGCATCCCCTTTCTTGTAAAGCTCCTCAGCTGGGGTTTCTGTTCATCTGAAGGTACAGTTGAGCCTTTGGATTGTGTTCAACTATTCTTCTCCAATTGTGATGACCTGAGGTGTGACACAAAGGCAACACAGCCAGAGAACCGATATGAGTCCCTTTATTATCACCAACTATGCCCCCAATGTCCCTTTCAACTCTCCGGCCTGGAGAGAGCTCTTCCATCAACCTGTAATAGTCTTTGGCTGACAATACTTCGGTCCCAAACGTTGTAAGCAGAAAACTTCCAACTATAAATCCAACAAGGCAAGATAAGTTAATTAGTCCGGCAGGGCAGCAAGATAAGGAGTTCCAGAAGTAGCACAGCAGTAAATCAAACCAGTTGGGAGGATGTCAGGAACTCAGATAAACACAAAATGAACTCAGTGTTTGTTCCCGACAACCGCCTCTCCCATTTGACTCTCCTTTAAACTCCATCAGCAGCTGTGCCTTGTAAATCTCTCACATCCTGGACATAAACTGTTTCAACTCCTACCCTCAAAACAACACTATAAGCACTGTACACCAGAACTACTAGACACAAGAACAGTTTTTCCCCGAATGCCATCACTCTGCTAAACAAATAATTCCCTGAACAGTGTCAAACTATTTACTAAGTCTGCACTACTATCAATCTTCTCATCATTCCCATCACCCATCTCCTTCCACTTATGACTATATGACTATAACCTTGTGGCTGGTATCCTTACGATTTATATTGATATTGTTTCCTGATTGCTTATTTGTAATCTATGACTATCATTAAGTGTTGTACCTTATGATTCTTGATGAACGTTATTTTATGTACACCGAGAGCGTATGCACCAAGACAAATTCCTTGTGTGTCCAATCACCCTTGGCCAATAAAAATTCTATTCTATTCTATTCTAAAGAGAATCAGGCCCCTTTCCTCCCTCGTAAGCCACGCAACCCACGTTGCTCTCTTCTCTCTTCCTCCCTGAGCTGCCTAGGATGAGGAGAGGGTGGGCCTTGGTCTTCATCTGAACCCCCTCTCCCTTGTTCTACCTCTGCCCTGCTCTGTCCAGCCTGACTTTGCCCTTCCCCAGTTTCTTCCACAGCCAACCGAGTCACTCTCTGTCAGCTGTTCCTCTTCCCCTTTGGATTCACACTCCAACAGGGGCATGACATTAATCTTGGATCCTTTCAGTGTACAACTGTTTCTTATAGTTCTACCTGTCAGGGAATTGCGCAACTGGTGTCCAAATAGAGTCAGAAATACTGACACGAATTTGTGGTTTTATATAAATAAATATATTTTACAATCTAAATTTACAGCAAAGAAGATGGTCAGGCACATCAGTATATTGTCAGGTAAATCAGAGAACAGCATACAGAGCACACAGAAGAAAAAGGGCTAGAAAAAGAAGAACTCCCATTTCTCACCCGGTAACCAATCGTAACATAGATTGCCTCATGCAGGAGCTCACACCTTCCAACTATCAACTAAAAACTGTGTCTTCTGGCCCATTAAACACTTTATTGTTCCAACTATTAAATTAAATATCTTAACACTACCTCACCTTTCCAATTTTAAAAAAAACAAAACTGCCCAAGGAGCCAGCAGTAAATTGCAGAAAAATAACCAGCGCTTCTGTTCTTTTCCAGCCCTGGAATCTCCAGTCCTGACCGTTCAGGCTCACAGCTGCGGTGTGAACAGCCTCCACATCCAGAAAACAGCCGAGAGACGTTTTGTGGTGGTCAGTGGCGGTGACAACGGGTCCATCTCTGTCCATGTTATTGAGGTGAAGGCTGAAAGCGCTGCTGTGGGCCAGGAGACCCCAGCCAGGGCTGGCATCCAAGTGATCAGAAAAGTATCGAGGCTTTGCGCTCACGCGGCTCACGTGACAGGAGTGAGGCTCCTCCATCTGAACTTCCTCCTTTCTGCGTCAGTGGACCAACGCTTGACCCTCTGGAGTCTCTGTGAGGACAGCTTGTCTTTCGTATGGAGCAAATTCTGCCACGTGGCCGATGTGGCTGCTCTGGAGTGTTGGGAAACGGAAGGACACAGCTGTCGCGGTGTGATATGTGGTCAGGGGTTGCAAGTGCTTTCCTGGGGGCTGGATGCGCGAGGGGGAGAAATAAAAGAGGTGATCTGAAACGTCTTTATTCCACTGAAATTCGGAAGATGAAGGAGGACAACAGCAGGTATCAAAAGGAATTCTGCTCATAGCATCATTTGTAGCAAGGTGAAAGGCGTTGTTATCCTAATTTCACAAACCATCTTGGAGGGTTTGAATCTCAGGTCCCACTTCACAGGGTTGTTGTGGGGAAAATAGGAAGAAGGTGTGTTGGATTTGTTCGCTGCCTTGAGTTATTTGTAAAAATAATAAAGGCGGGATATACTGTAGATAGATTAGAATTAGATAGAGGATGGATGGATGGATGGATGGATGGATGGATGGATGGATAGACATTCCAGGGCAGTAAGACTTTCAGCGGCAGGAGAAATGAGTATTGGGGGGGTATCCCCCCCAAACTCATTTAGAACAAGTGGCTCCCAGTACTAAGGACCTTTGCCTTCCCCATATATGCTAGCTTTTCTCCATTAAGCCCAATACTCCAAGTTAGGATTCATCTTTCATCAGTTTCTTTAACCCCAATATTTGCTCCGATAAGGCCGATGCAGCGTCATGTCTTTCAGACAGATACTTGATAATCCAGCATTTCAGTTCCTGGCCTGACTGTGGTTATGGATTCTCCAGAGCAACAGGCATATTTCATAACCCCACAGCATGGTTGTACTAAGACTCCTTTGGCGCACTTGGAACTAGCATAGGCATCAAAATAATAACTTGGTCTCTCCATCGGAAAACAATTTTGCAGAGTGTTCCATACCTTACAGATGGTACTTACTAATCCGGGAGGCTACATTTCAATTCAGATGTGGCAGCCCAGCCACACTTTGTTCCCAATGCTGAACAAAATCAGGTTATCAAGAGAGATTATCCTTAAAAATAATTGGTAGTTCCCTTAGTGGGTCAGTCTATGGCCTACAGCAAATGTACCATAGGACAAGTGTGACTCCTTCCTTTGGGAAGTGCAGGGTGCATCCAGGCACTTTCAGAGCACATGGCGGGGAATAAGGTGGGGCCATGGTCCCAGGATCACCACGCTCAATTTCAGCTGCAATTTCATCTTGCCCTTGTAAACTGCTACCACATTGTGACCATCAAGATTGGCTAAATGCAAATCACTCATTGGTCTGATGAAACGGTGGCAATAATTAATGTCTATCATTGACCACATTTCCCCAAAGAAAATGTCTCCACCACCCTACACAAAGAACTGCGATGTCCACTACATCAATACTGACGGGCCATGTGATGGGCACATGAGGATAAAAATAAAGGTAGATAGCACACATTTTATTACATTACTTTGTTCTCCATATAATGTTATTGTTCATGAGAGCGGATGCTGAGCAGACTGGTGATTATAATCTCAACCTTCTTTCCCTTGTCTTTTCATAAGCCATAGACCAATACTATAACTGAACCTTTGTCCACCTTCTGATGTTTAGATAAAATTAGTACCACAGCACAGACGAGCTTGTACAGAGAACCCTCAAGGAATTGCAGTCACAGATCTCCATGTGTCCGCTTTATTTTATTTACACACTCTTGCCCTGCTACTGGTATCAACTTTTTTCTGTTTAATTGTATGAAAATAAATGTTTCCAATTTGAGAACAGAATTTTAAAAACATGTAAGTAAACAGTCATTTGCATCCACCAGCATTCTATTCATTTGGCTTAACACTGCTTAAACCCAGTGCGATCTAAAACAAACTTCAGAAACAAGGCAATTATAATACAGGGTATGTGCCTCTTTCTCTGTTCCATGACTGGAATTCATTATCTCCAAGAATTTCAAAATCATTTCAGAAGAAATTGATGTGTCCTGTTTTTATCAATTCAGGGCTTTAACAAAATGTGTGTCCTGCAAGGATATACTGAGTAGCTGTCCATTAGTCAGTACAGTGTAACATCCCTTGCTCCATTCTCCCACTCATCGGAATGAGTTCTCCATTTCCTCTTCACCAAAGGGAGGCAGAGGCGGTTCCCGAGCCCAGGTATGAGACCAATCTGATCAGATCTGACTTAGAGGAGGTAGGTGGAAGGTGGCCAGGGCACTGTGGAACACTTCCCTCACAGCTTTCATCAGCTGCAGCCGGGCAAACATCTGGCTGAACAAATGGGGACGTGGTTCCTGTTGGGAGGCAGAAGTAATGATCAAGATGATGTGGAGAGGGATAGAGATAGATTTCTTGTGGATGAACTTCGGGGTGGGAAGAAAAAGGGATGAAATCTTTTCATGTTCTCCCTTTTCTTTCTTTTTCTGTGGTTGTGCTTGGAAAAGATGCATTTCACCATCCAGATATGAGCTGGATTCACACAATAAACAGCCATAATGGGAGAATTTCATTTTTAGTAACCAGTAAGGAGGAATTTTTCTGTGCTATGGGATTTTCCAGTGTTATGGAACCTTTGGCCAGCAGAGAGGGGAAACACTGATGCTATTGGAGTATAAAATTGGTATTGATATCATGATCACATCAAAGAAGAGGATTCCCACATGTAATAATTTAAAGGCAGCTTACTATTGCTTTAAAAAATCTCAATGAAGGACAACATCCAGAAGAGGATGTGTTCATAGTTCCATAGATGCTGAGGAGACACAAACAACAAATCACCCAGATTGTGTCATAGATCATTTTGCATGCCAAGAGATGTATTGGGAAAAAACCCTACACTTGATTTTAAAATTGTAAGAGCTAAGGATGAATTCAGCCTTCCTCCATAGTGGGTTGGGAATGAGATAAAAAGAGTTTATCAGATAAAAGGTTTTGTAGGAGTCTCCATGCTATAGTTAACAGCACAGGCAGATAAAACAGATTAAATTATTCATAGTGCTTTAAGTCTCTCATTGTCTCACAGTAAACCCACCATTTTCTTTCTATTTGCTATAATGAGAAGCATTAAATGGTGCATTTTGGACTTACGTTCTGAATTTTATGTATCTTCATATCCTTTCCAGAGCACTTACCCCCAGAATGTGCACTCGGTTGTAGTAGGAACTGAAATCCATGCTTAGCTGAATCAGGAACTTACAAATCTATAATATAACAGAAGCACTAGTTTCATTTCTCTTAGTACAAATACCTTGGGAGAATTAAGGTTGCTGACAGTTGGTGTCTAGGAGTTGATTAAAACATTTCTTCAAAAGTGCTATCTGAGGTCTTTTTTAATTGGACATCACAGAGACTGAATCAGAAGCAATCTAATGCCTAGGAATTTAATAATTATCCCGATCAAAGCACCCTCTGAAGTGAAAAAAATATCTCCCCTATCTGGAGTCTGAACTTCAACAGCAATTAAGTGTTTGGGGTTTGGAATAACATGCTAACACTGTTCCCCAAAACAAGATGAAGGAAGGGAAAGGAGCCATAACATTCTGCCATGCAATAGCCCATCTTACCGCCTCCGTGCTAACTGTTATTCTTAGTCCACCACTGGGGAGCAGGAGCTGGGTTACGAGGGTCAAGACCTCCTGGAAAGGCAGGATGCTATTGAATAACAAGAGCCATTCCCCCTAGAGAAAACAAAGAGCAGAGGCCCGGGTTTGTCCAACAGAATCCATTCCATTTGCTATTTCCATATTGCACCTAGCAGGTAGAAGCATCAATCCTGGCTTCATCGGGGTCATTAGTGAATAGGATGGAGAAGAGTGGAAACCATGATCCCCTTCCAAAATATTTGTTTTTCCCACTCCCATGCTATAAACAAAAGTACTGGATCAGCAATCTTTCCCTCGACACTCTATTTAAGCAAAAGAATGGGGGGGGGGAAGAGTGGGGTGTCATGAGGTGGTACTGCATATATCAGGAATCGTCAAACTTTTTAAACACGGGGCCAATTCACGGTCCCTCAGACTGTTTGGGGGCTGGACCGGCTGGGTAGGCGTGGCTAGGTGGTCATGTGACTGGGTGGACGTGGCCAATTTAGCAGTCCATTAAACAATGCACACAAGTTAAACTTTAATTTGTTATGCTCCTGAGGGTGGAAAGGAGGTTAGTGAAGGGATGTGGCTGCCTCGTGGTGTGTGTTAGGGACTTGTTTTTGTGAGTGTGTGTGTCTTTCTCTCCCTCCCTCCCTCCCCCTCTCTGGAGCCTGGGGAGGCCAAAAATGGGCCTGTTTTTGGCCTCCTCAGCTTCTAAAAGGTGGGTGGGTGCCGGCAGGTAGGTGGGACGATGTGGGCGGGGCAGCCTTGTAGTCCTGCGCAGGCTGGATTAATGGCTTTGGCGGCCCGTATCCGGCCTGTGGGCTGTAGTTTGAGGATCCCTGGCATATATGCTATGGGGAAGGAAGGAAGGAAGGAAGGAAGGAAGGAAGGAAGGAAGGAAGGAAGGAAGGAAGGAAGGAAGGAAGGAAGGAAGGAAGGAAGGAAGGAAGGAAAAACTAAATTATTGGGAGCAATCTTTTATTGGGGAATTAGGTAAAACAATCTTTTATCCAGAAAATGAAGTTTTCATTTCCGACGCATCGGACTATTCAATTGACTCTAGAGAGGTCTCCAAGCTTGGGTCTATGTAATTCTTTGCTCACCTCTTCCCTGAGAGAGGAGTAGTTCAGTTCAGAAGACTGGGGAAAGACTGGATACAGACCTGAATTGGATGGCAGATATTAGTTATCACAGTAAGCAAGAAATGTAAGAAGATTAGTCAGAGATGGAAACAAAATTAAGTTAATGCACTGTAGTGGCATGATGGAAGATTGGTGAGGACCAGATATCGTGATCCACTATTTCCTTTTGTATCAATAAGATAATTACTCTAACAAGCCAATGCAAATTATATGCAACTTAATAAGCTTTCTATTATAAATTCCTTCACTTACACACTTAAAATTACTTAGCAGATTGCTTTACTGTATTGCAAACCACTCTATATTTATATTGCTGTATGTAAACAATTACGATAAAGAGGAGATGAGCGGGCTCTTTCAAAATAATGCGAAGACTGCCAATTCAGCCAAGCAGAAACATGGATGAAGCCAGTATACAAGCCAAAAAGACTTTCACCTTGTTCTACTGATCTCTGGTATGTTTCAAAGAGTGTGGCAAGTCGAGCACAATTATACATCACAAAGGCTCCACCTTTGGTCCCCTTCATAGAGATATTGTTTTCTTCTACATCCAAGAAAACCTGAGGGAGCAAAAACAAATTCTCTTGGCAAGAAAGTAAGTAAAGCTCTAGTCCTATTGCCAATGAGTTCCTGAACTCTGCTCCCGTAA